GGGGTCGGAGTGGAGGCACCCGGAAGGCTTTCCAGGGCTGGAGCTGGGGGCGTGGTCGAGGGCGGTGTTGTGGGGGCGGGGCCTTGGGTGGGGGCGGGGCCCGAGCCGGGGGTGGAGGGAGGCTGGGATTTGTTGAAGTTGAGCTCCAGGATGTGCTGCTGCAGATGCCTGACCCAGTCCTCCTGCACGGAGAGCGGGCCATGGAACTCCACCTCGCAGAACCTGGGGGCACGGCAGGGAGAACCACCTTCAATGAAACACCAGCCCCGAGCAACACTAATGCCCCCCCCCCCCGCCGAGCCCTGTCATATGACCGGATACCGGCCTTCAGTCTCTGCTGAGGAAAACCTGCCCCCCCTCCCCCCAGCCCTTTCACTCACCTGCACTTCAGAGAGTAGACCTTGCCCACCAGCTTGACCAGTGGGGTGGAGGGGGGCTTTGGTACGAGAGCTGGGATGGTGCTGGTGCGGGGGGTCTGCGGGGGTCGGCTGTCCCTCTCGCCGCTTTCAGAATGGGGTAAGTGCTTTGGGGGCCGACGTTCAAAACCTACAGGAGGTGGGACACAGACACCCTTAAACACACCAGTGTGCGAGGCATCGGGCATTTTGCAGGGCACCCCAGCTCTCAGGCCTCACCTCGGGGCGAGCGCACATTGAGCTCACTCCTCGCCACCTGTGAGTGCGGCGGCAGACCCTGGCGGGACATCCCGTGGGACCCCTGCTGCAGCGAAGCACCGGCCCCCCAGGGGGCGCTGGTGACCTCACGGCCCGCCCGCCGCCCCAGGGGCGACCCCAAGCTGGGCCGATGTGACGATGGGGGCTTGTGCAGGCCAGAGGACGTGGCATCCCTGGAGTCAGCGCTTAGAGGGGGGACAGAGGCGGAGCCACACTTCTGTGGAAGAGAGAGGGAGGTGCGTATAAGGAGGCGCAGCCAACAGGCTGACACACAAGCAGGGAGGATGGACTCCCGGACCGGAGGCCCAATGGAATGGAGAGGAACCGGCCAACAACGGGTCTGCAGACGGCAACCAGAGCTGCGCATGGGCAGCCAGGGGCCTCACCTTCTTGGGGAAGGGCCGGTCGCCCTGCAGGTAGCGCCGGTGCATCTCGGCCACCTTGTGCGGCCGGCTGCGCATCCAGGCGCTCAGCGTCTCAATGGGCGAGCCATTGACGCACCACTCGGTCACGCCGAACTGCCGCAGGTGGGCGCGGGCGTGGCTCGCCAGGGCCTTGCGGTTCTCAAAGTAGTAGCCGCAGAGCTCACAGCTGGCGTCAGCTTGGGAGGGGCAAAGGAGGGTCAGGAGGTCCGACAGCAAGGATGGCGGCATTCGTTGCAAAGATGCTTCTAGCTAAACTATAAACGTAGCGCTTCCTTTATTACGAATACGAGGCTTCCCCAGTCACATGTTGCCAGAACACCACTCTCCCAGACCTACCTGAGGGGGTGGCCGCAAACTTCTCAGGGGACGACTTCCCCTTGAAGGAGAAATCCAGAGGCGAGGGTGAGAATGCTTTGGGCTTGGCCTTCTCCAGTAGGTGAGGCACTTCTGGGAGGGGCCTCTTCCCTAGCAAGGACACGCCCACGAAGCCAGCTCCCTTCCCATTTAAGGGCGCGGCGGAAAGGGAGGGGCCGCCGTGCTTGTGCGGCCGAGGCCCCGGGTGTACCATGGTCAGCGGCGACTTGCGGGAGAACTTGGGCGGCAGGTAGGTCAGCTCCTCCCAGGCCCCGCCCCCAAACCCAGGCTCCTTCTTGATTGGAGCAGCAGATGCGGGGACGGTGCCCCGCTTGCGCATGAGCTCCCGCAGCGTGTCGATGGGCGAGCCGTTCACCGACCACTCGGTGATGCCCAGCTGGCGCAGGTGCGAGCGCGCGTGGCTGGACAGGCCCTTGCGGTTCTCGAAGTACTCCCCGCAGAACTCGCAGCGGATATCCCGGGTAGGCTCCGGATCCAGAGGCGGCGCTGGGGAGGCGGATGAGGAATGGAAACAGTGAATTAAAAAAACGGCAAGAACATATCTGACCATTTATGGCTAATCTTTGGTGGGATGTTTTTTTTCCCCCCATTCCATTTCAAATCTTTGATTATCTGTCCCACATACAGGCCGCCAAGAAACAGAAATGGGAGGGCAGTCAGAAGGAGTCACACAGAGACCCAAAGACAGAGCAGCGCCCCCCAGAGGCGGAAATGTATGGCGAGTGACCTGTATAAATGAAATGCTTGTTGTTTTATGCTTTTTTCAGCATTAACTGGCAATAATAGCAAAAACACGCCGGGAGACGTGGGAAAGGCGGGGGCTGCGGTGACCGTACCGAGGCTGAGGGGCAGGTTGGCGTCGTGACTGGTCCAGCTCGGGGGACCAGGGTCAGGGCTGAAGCTGCCCCCACCCACTGCAGGGCCTGACCCGCTCAGCTCCACCTGCACTGGCTCAGGCTTTGGTTTGGCTGGCAGCACGGAGCCAACCTTGCGGGCCGTGGGCGTGTGGCTCTGGGGTAGGGTGAAAGGTGGACGTTTGCCAGAGCTGTGGGAGGATGGGGAGATGGCCGGGGGGGAGCGGGGGGAGCCCGGCGAACGTGGGGACGACTTCAGGGGCCGTAGGGGCAGGGCACAGGGCAGCCCGCGGCGGGCGATGAGCTCCCGCAGCGTGTCGATGGGCGAGCCGTTCACCGACCATTCGGTGATGCCCAGCTGGCGCAGGTGCGAGCGCGCGTGGCTGGACAGGCCCTTGCGGTTCTCGAAGTACTCCCCGCAGAACTCGCAGCCGATCTCCTTAGACGGCTCACCTGCGAGCCCAGCGGATAAACACGCCGTGGAAGAAAAGATTGAAGGGAGACAAGAGGGCGACAGAACCTTGTTATTCAACAGCAAATTAATCAAACATACATACACAGATCATGAAGTTGATTAATTTGATTGACTTGATATTAAGAGATTAAGCTGATAAAACATACAGGGGTGCTTATGCTAGTCTGCTAACTGCGGAAAAACAGAAGTAAGGTCAACAGAAGGACATGATCGATATAAACGTGACATTCTACATTCGAGATTCTAATAAAAAAGCAACAAAATATGCTTAGAAAAGTTAGAAAGTCAAGAGGTGACCTTGGAAAGTACCAAATTACTTGCAGAGCCCATATTGTATTAGCCGAAGAAAGCGGTTTAGTTGCTAAGGGAAACCAACTGCTATACGATGCTGAAATAACGTACATAACCTGTAATCATTCGCAATGGAACACAACCGTTCAGAAAAATCTTAGGTGAGACTCCCTTTGCCCAAAACTCACCTACCATTTAAAAAATTATTACTTGTGCACAAAGCACTAAATGGCCTTGTGCCTAAAAACGTTTCTGATTTACTTTTACATTATGAGGCATCCAGGCCCCTGAGGCCATCTGGGAAAGGTTTACATAGCGTCCCACAATCAAGACCAAACAAGGTGAAGCAGTGTTCAGTTTTTTTTGCTCCCCGTCTGTGGAATAAGCTTCCTGAAGATCTGAGGTCTGATAAAACAGTCAGCTCATCTAAATCACCGCTTAAAACATTACAGTTTGCTGCTGCTTTTCAATTAATTAAATCAGTTTGGTCGTATGCTATTAATACAATAATACTTCTCTTCTCCCACCCAGTCGATTTCCCAACCTGGGATATTTTTTTCCGTATGGTGTACAAACTGTGGAAATAACTGATAAATTTAATAAGCAAACCGCATAATAGAAGCACCAAAAAACTGGATGTGCGACTCTGAATGGGGTTTCAGACCCCCTGTCACATGACCAGTCACATGACCACACGTCCGCCCCGCCGCCTCCCCAACCACACCAGCTGGCTGGGACTCACCATGCGTGAGGGGTGACAGCTCACTGCCACTCAGACGGAAGACCTGCAGGGCGGCCCTCTCGTGTGCCGAAGGCTTGGGCCGCTTGGTGGGGGGACCCAGAGAGGCGCTGGGACTCTTTGGCCCGTGCGAGATGGCCTTGTGCAGCCCTCCGGAAGACGAGGACAGGTACAGGCGCTTGGAGGAGGGCGAGGAGGAAGGTGGGGAGAGGATGGGAGCGGAGCCCACCTCCAGCAGGTTGGGCAGCAGGCCGCCGGCTCTGTGCTTGAAGTCGTCGGTGTGGATGAGCTGGTTCAGGTAGTCGATGGGGGAGCCCTTGGTCTCGGCGTCCACCACCCCGAAGTGACGCAGGTGCGCCCTGGCGTGGCTGGACAGGCCCTTGCGCGTCTCGAACCAGGCCCCACACAGCTGACACACGATGTCCTTGCTGGATTCCCCTTCAACGGAGGCTGAAAGACAAGCAGGCAGGAAGGAGCTAAACTCTACGCTGGGATTCATAGAGTACAGGTAGACAGCAGGCTTAGGGGGGAACACTCCTGTCTCACACCCTCACGGTTTTAAGGTGCCCAAACCTCTCCTCACGTGCACCCCAGCCATCACATGTATTTATTATATTTCACCACCAGCTTATTTAATTAGTTAATCACAAGTCAATGAGATATTGATTAGCTATAGGATGGGTGCCAAACATGGGTTTATTGCAGGAGTGGGGAGCCTGATCCATGGAGGGCCGGTGCAGGTTTTTGGGATGGCCTCTCAATCAACCAATAATAAAGCAGTGGTTCTTAACTCCAGTCCTGGGGACCCACTGTTATTGGCTGATTGAGAGGCCATCGAGATGGCTAAGCTAACACACGTTGACAGGCGTAATAGCATAGTTTTACACAGATATAAAGATCATTTAAGCATCATTTTCTTTGACTTTCTAAGGCTTCTGCACAGCACAGTAGTTTCATTACACGGGCAGAACTGAAACTCACAAGTTTCCGTGTTCAAACTTTCTGCCAACTGAGGCTGCAAATCGGTTATGGTTAAAGCTGGTTACAGTCAGCTATAATCAGCCATTTTGGAACATTCTGGTTTCCCAATAAAGTACCGATGAGACCATGTCTGTCGGCTCCCTTATACATAACTTGGAGGAGCTAAGGAGCATGCACCGATTACACAGTGTGTAAGGAGCATGCACCGATTACACAGTGTGTAAGGAGCATGCACCGATTACAGTGTGTAAGGACGAAGCAACTGCAGGTTAAGGGCCCAACGGAGTAGAATCACTCTGGGCATTCACTGGATTTGAACCAGCAACCTTCCAGTTACTGGCACAGATCCCTAGCCTCAGAGCCACCACTCCACCCATAAATAGCTATACTGCATTGGGAATGGGACTGCTTGGGACACGAACCCAGACCCTCTTGTACCAGAGGCAGAGATCATACCCCTGCACCAATGAGGGGTGCTAGGCTTACCAGAAACATACCTAAACATATCTAATGTGCTAACTAATTTCAGACAACATCTGAGCTTGTGTATGACCAGAGAAAGGCAGAAACAGCCTCTGTAAGCCAGTCCTCCAGTGACATCAAAGGCGTTTTTGTCGGAAAATTCAGAGAGGCGTTTATCGGTTACTCGGTAGTGGAGTACACTGGATTTAGATGGGATTTATTTCATTATGATTGTTATGATGTTATAATTTTAATGTTTATTTATTTTATAAATACATGGCTTTGCCTTCCAAAATACAGTGACTTGTTTAGTAAAAAAAAATAAATAAATTTTGAATGTTTATACTTCAGAAGCAGGATACTTTGGTCCATGTTAGACCGACCTAAACTGCATCCTGAAAGGATGCGCAATATTGCTGAAAGATGCTATTCGGACACTTTCCCAATTGATTCTGGGCAACAAATTTCTATTTGGAAAAACTTTTCCTTACCATCCAGGTCCAGATGAGTTGCCCTTTGCTCACCTGGATGGTAGTTGCCCAGTCATACTGCTCAAAAAGTTGCCCTGTGTATCATCGCCTTAAGAGCATGTCAAATTTTGCTCTGTCGCATTAGAAGTGAATGAAAAAGCAGATGGAAGACGGATGGAGAGATAAAGGAATGTAATGCATGTGTAATACAGCCTAGTGGGCAGGTCATACTAAGAGTGTAATGGCGATTTCTGCTTACTCAGGTTCAAGGGGGCATCCGTTTCCTGTGGGGCCCAAAAAGGCTTGGTAGGGGCCGGCGAGGCAATGGAGGCAGAGGGGGGCTTCACAGGGCCAGGCTTGGACTCCAGGGAACGCAGAGGGGAGGAGGCAGGGAGCAGGGAGGAGATGGGGGCTTTCCGCAACACGGGAGATGCCGAGCGGGACTTCGTGAACACCATTGGTGAGGAGGCCCGGGCCCCAGAGGGCGGTGCTTTGTCACCGGGGACCAATGGGGAGAGGAGGGCGGCTCTGTGCTCAGAGACGGCCCCCTTTCCAGACACTGCCCCTCCCGTGGCTTCTTTCCGTGGCACAGGACCCCCGCCGTGAGGCTTCTTGGCCACGGATGGTGGGGTGGGGGGAGGGGAGAAGCGGCCATCGCGCTCCTTGATGAGCTGGTAGAGCAGGTCGATGGGTGCCCCGCTGCTCTCCGATACGCCCACACCCAGCTGCCGCAGGTGCGAGCGGGCGTGGCTGGACAGGCCCCGCCGCGTCTCGAAGGGGGCGGCGCACACTTCGCATTTCAGCAGGCTGCCGGCTGCAGGGAGTGAGAAAAAGGGGGGGGAAAAAAAGAAGAAAAAATATCCACGTGCCTCTGTTTCCAGGTCGACCAATCAGGGCCCTCCCATTCACCTTTCATTGACAATCGCTGCTCACAGCCTCCCCGTCTCCACCCCAGACGCAGCATGTCCCGCACACTCACCGCTCTCAGCTTTGTCGTCAGGGTCCTCAGTCGACGGGGAGTCTGTAGTCCCAAGGTCCGAGGCGGCAGCACTACTGCTCCCAGGAAGCCCGGTCACATCATCCTCCACATCTGGCATCTGGTCGTCTTCTTCACCTGAAGCACAACAATCCTCCCTGGTTCACTTGTCTGGTCACAATGTCGTCTGTATCCAGACAACTGTACATACTATACAATTAAACGGGACTCAAGCAGCAGCTTCAATTAATCTATAAGTCAGTGCAAATAAACCGATTACAGAGAAAGATAGATAGATAATGATCTATCTATCTTTGTATGTCTGCAACAAAATTTTGTGTGGTGACTCAAACAGAAAACAGCAATAAGTACGAGAGATGCATCTCTGACTATATACAAAAATAAAAAGCACTGAAGGCAACAGTAGGCCAAAAGACACTGCTCAATCAAACCGAATTAAAGTACTGTTATATAAATATATTTTTGGTGTGATGTTTTTATACTATTAAAGTAATATAAATGGATAAAAGAATCAAAGTATATTTATAGCACATTTACAGGACTGACAGTATCCTGCCTTGACAGCTCTCATTCATCTGAATTCCACTCTATACTTAGAACCCCGACAGTCTTGTTCTAAATGTGAAAAGGGACTTTTCTAAGTTTTTATAAAGTGAGGAAGTAGAGTATGTCTGGGTTTTAAAACATAGTTAAGTTTAACGTTAGTCTTAAAATCATTAATCCAGTAACGTCGATTCCGCCACAGCCCAGCGACGATCTGACGAAGATAAATGTCATACTCACCGCTGACTTCACGATCAAAAGCAAAAGCAGACGTGGACGTCAAGAAACATTAACGATTAAAGACCTGGATGATTATCCAGGGGATTCCTTTAACATTTATACTGTCGATAATCGCAATCGCAAAACGAAAGAAAAACCATTGCTCGCCGTAAGGGGGATGCTGTAGCTCCCGAAGCTTTAGCAGGGAAGTACCCAGCCCAGATTGGTGATTAACTTATGCTACAGCCCGATGCCTCCGTTTAAGAACAGCACAATCCCCCGGGGCTGAAACGCGACGTCCGCGGCCCCCTCACTCACTCCGCCTCGGTGACACGGCTTTCTAGCTGCCTTCGGCTTCGATTGATTTTTCAGGACTCGCACTTTATGGGCTCGTCTAACCTGCCATCCATCTGCCAGAAGGGGCGGGTTAACCGGGGTAACCGGGATAACCAGGTTAACATTTTTGTGTTTAAAAACCGAACACGGGCACACGGCGGATATGACGGTGCTGCCATTACCAACCGATGCTGAGCAGTGGGGCACCCGAGTCCGGGCCGCCGGCAGACAGACACCACTCCGGTTCGGTTTGCGGGGAGCTGGCGGCGGCCATTCTTGCCAGTCCGCGTTGGCCGAAGGCGTGACGAATACAGCCGACTGTCAGCCGACTCGACCCGAAGGCGTGACGAATCCAGCCGACTGCTCGGTGATTCGCGTTTAAGGTGTGATGAATCGAGCCGAGGGCGGAAAAAAATGACCGTCCAGCTTCTACAATTTACATTGCGACATTTTAAAAACGTATATTCGTTCGATTTTATTTCATATGCGACGAGAGCGTTCTAATTATTCACCTACCATCCTCCTTTTTCACTCGACTATTACAGCGCCACCACTATTGTACATCGTTAAAAAAAAGATGTCGCAGACGATCACATAAATAAGCCAACCCCAAGAACTAGCAGTACACACAGGGTTGCCACATTATACGGGACGATCCTGTATTATAAGAGACGGGTGGAAAACCTAGTACACACTCTACATACGTGTATGTCAGTGTATATTCAAGCACCAGACAAAAGCTTGGATGCACCTAGCCATACAGTTTTATTATTACTATCTATATCAGGGCTCACCTACATGGTGCCTGCGGGCACCAGGATGCCCCCAAGGACCACATGAGTAGCTAAAAATAGCACAACAACAACAGTGAGCAGCCTCAAATTTAATTTTATCCTGTTGCTATTCTTCTTTAATTACACAAAAAAGCATTTAAAACATGTTTATTATACATGAAGTTTAGATAAGTTTAGGAGGGCGTTTCAAACTGGTAGCCCTTCGTATGGCTCAGTACCCGTGAAGTAGCTCTCAGTTTCAAAAAGGTTGGTGACCCCTGCTCTATATTTTATAATAAAGTATAAAAACAACAAAACAATTATATTATAAATGGATTATGACTGACCAAAAAGGTATTAAACAAAAAAGTTGTTTGGGGGTGGTGGGGGCAGCTCTGTGGGTTGGGACTCAAATGGTTGCTGGATCAAATCCCGTGCTCAGCACAGTAATGCCACCATTGGGCCCTTGGGCGAGGCCCTTAGCCCCAACTGCTCCAGAGACTGGCTGACCCTATGGTCTCCTCTATACCAGTTCCCTGAGGTGACCTCCTGGGATGCTCTCCCAAGCTGTCCTGAAGGAGCTCCCACATATGCCGAGCTCTCATTGGCCATTTTTCATTCTCTCTCTGGTCAAACTCGTCCAAAACCATCTCGACTGTGTTTAGGTCAGGTGACCAGGTCATGTGATGCGACACTATCATTCTCCTTTGTAGACAGCTTGGCGTGTCCAAACTTTTAACTGGTACTGTACGCATGTGTACATACACACACACACAGTTACAAGCAGATTGTATACAAAACTGAAAGCAGTGTACTGCATTAGTCATAATATCACTTCGTGTCTCTTCACTCACCTTCCACTTGTGCTGTTGGTAGGGTCGGGGATGGCGACAAAGATGACAGCGCACTGCCCACGGCGCCAATCCCGCTGGCCCCTGGCATGTCCCAGTCATCCTCCAGGTCAGGGCCATGGACAGGCGAGCTTCGGGGGGGCCCGGTCGGGAGAGTCAGGTCCGGCCGGCTGGAGAACAGCTCCCGCAGGATGTTGATGGGCGACACGGTGACCTCCCAGTTGGTGATCCCGAAATCACGCAGGTGTGCACGCGCATGGCTGGACAGGCCGGCGCGCGTGTCGAACCCGGCGCTGCAGAACTCGCAGCGCATGAGGCTGAAGGTGTCTGGGTCGAAGTTGGCCACTGCAGCCAGAGGGAAAGGCAGGTCACGAAACCTAGAATGTGACCATCTTTCCCCAAGGCTCTGCAAGCTGTACTCCTTAAACCAATTCTCAGAGCCTGAGCAATTGAGCTCCCTCCGGCACACGCCCTCCCCTTCACGATCCTCACCTTTCTTCCTCTTTTTCTGGTATGAGAACTTCCTCTCGATGGCATTGACCTCCTCCGGGGAGATGAAGTGCCGGACGTTGTAACTGACACCTACGCGATTGAGGTGGCCTCGCACGTGATTGGCCAGGCCGATGCCGTTGTGAAAGCGGTCAGGGCAGTAAGGGCACTTCCTCTCTACGTTCTTCAACATCCCTGCCTCCTCTCCCAGAATCTCGTCTGACAAAAACAAATTCTCTTCATCGTCGTCATTAAACTCGTGGTCCACCTCCTCCTCATCATCATCCTCTTCCTCCTCCTCCTCCTCTTCGTCGTCATTGGCTTCTTTACCCTTATTTTTCAGGGAAAAGGTAAAGATATCCTTCACCAGCAGAGAGGATTTCCCTGGAGAGGATCAAGGAACTGGTTGAACACAGCTGCTGGGAGGCATTTGTGTGTTCACCGACAAAATTTTACAAAAGTGATGTGAAAAACGCACACAGACAGCTGGACAGTAACGGGACTCACAAGGAGACTGTGCCAAAAGAAATGACACCTAGAGAAGCAGACTTATGGCCACTGATGGAGACCCAGATTCGGTAAAAAAAAAAATTAAAAAAAAATTATAGTCACTGGGAAACTGGTCACTGTCCTGTCTGTGCTGCGGCCTCAACTGTCACTCACCAATCGCCCTGCTGCTCATCTTAAGGCTGGCGCCAGAGAAGCAAGGTCGAGGGCTGAAGTGGAGAGACTCAATGAGCACGAGGGGGACCGCATGTCTGAGCTGGAACCGCTGACTCCGGGTCAGCTCCAGGCTCTCTGCCGCCACCCGGAGGCTGTCAGAGAAAGTGCGCTTCAGCCGCACGGCCGAGGTGGGCACCTGCACAGAGTCTGCGGGGGGGGGGGGGGGGGGGGGGGGGGGGGGTAAGGGTGGCCTACATCAGTGGCAGGGAGGGATCTTCCGCCATCCGCATAAACCATATACAGCTGAGTCAGCGAAGCCCACTGAGCCCATTTTAATAGGGAAACCAACCAAAATGGAGACTGTAGTCAGATGATGACTAGCAAACCAATTATGGCCCAACTTTGCTTCTCACTTGCTGGACTTCATTTCCTCAAGCAGATGCATGTACAATATACAAAAAATGCCATAAGCGGAAATACTAAAAAACATATACTAATACATTTGCTAGAATTTAAAAAAGACCAAGCCAATTTAACTCTGTAGGTGCTAAACATACAATGCATGACTGCATTCACATCATTAATGTTCAATAATATTCTCCAGAGCTGTGCAAAAAGCCTTACACAGAACTAAACCAGTGTTCATCTAGCCATCCAACAAAATACCACTCATTTTTTGGCGAACGAATAATTGTTAGTTTTTATCGTGTTAGCTAATTGGCATATGTTTAACATTAAAATGTTTTTTCTGGGCAGATATACACTTACTACCCAGATAAATGGCTTAAGACATTTTCTTTGACCGCGCAAGACTTGCACAGTACTGTAAGTGTGCTTTGAATATTATTGGTAATGAGAAGTGCTGCATGACGGTGATACAGGCACAGTACTGTAAGTGTGCTTTGAATATTATTGGTAATGAGAAGTGCTGCATGACGGTGATACAGGCACAGTACTGTAAGTGTGCTTTGAATATTATTGGTAATGAGAAGTGCTGCATGACGGTGATACAGGCACAGTACTGTAAGTGTGCTTTGAATATTATTGGTAATGAGAAGTGCTGCATGATGGTGATACAGGCAAACACAGCCATGTCATCCACATAGGCTCTCTGTCTCAAGCACACACTCCTGTGTCTAGCCCATGGTTCTCAGCACTGGGGGGGATTCCTACCCCTCCATGTTAGCTGATTCCCAGTTAACCACGAGTCAACTGGGTTTGACCAGATTCTAGCAAACATAGCCCCTGTGATCCCCTTCCCATTTGTTCCCGGGTAAGAGAGGTATCCGTGTTCTCGATTTACACACCTATTCACGATTCCTTGCTTTCATTCATAAAGCAAAACTTCAAATTAGAAGCGATAGGCTTTGAGTGATTCACCATTACTGCTCAATCGTTACTATAGACCAGGGGTGGGCAATCACATCCACAAAGGGCCCGTGTGTATGCCGGTTTTTGGGATGACCTTTAGGTCAGCTGTTCAAACCCAGGTGTGAGGACTCTTCAGCCAATTAGTCCTTTAATTAGTAATCTAACTAGGTAGTTACAGTGTAAACTCGCATACACCACAGCCCATTCTGGATAAGATAGCCCACCCCTGCTATAGACTGTTTCTCCCCCACTCCAGGGGCAAGAAACTATTGTGCGATAATCAGAATTAAACTTTAACATTATATTAACGGTCACTAATACGAAAAAACGAAAAAGATCTTTCTGGCTGAGCTGGAACAGACGTAAACTGTAACAGTGTTTCTCCAGACCTCATTGTGCTCGATGTGTGTATTTCTAGTGCCGTAATGGCAGGTCACATGTTGCCTGGTCTCACCTGGGAGCCAAAGTGCGCTAGGGGCAGACAGTGGCCCCTCTGAGGCCATCTTGGAGCCCCCAAGCCCCACAGTTTGGTCCTGTTTCTGCGAATCTCCCAACTCGTAAGCTGACAGTTCGGGCTTTGGCGTGAGAACAGCTGCCCTCGCCCCATCGTCCCCTCTTCTCCCTCCCCTTCTGTTCCCAATGCTCTTAAACGCCACGTCCCTGCGGCAAAGCCCAGGGGCCACACTCCCGGGGGCCGGGAACAGCTGGGAGCTGCCTTTGGCGGAGAGCCCCGCTTTGGGGCCAGCCAGACCTGTCTGATGGGCAGCCGCGGGCAGAGGGAGGGATGGGGGCCCAGTGCTGTTGCCGGGGGTGATCGGGGGGTGGGTGGGATTGAGCAGGTCTTTGCTGGTCCCTGGGTAGTCCTCCTCCTCCAAGCTGTTGGCCCACATGTCCGCACACGCCGACCGGCTAAGGGCCACATCCGAGGGCAGGGAGGAAGACAGGCCCCTGTGGCCCCCCATGGGGCGGGGCTGTGGGCCCCTTCCCCGCTGGCTGTCACTGTGATCGGGGCCCCCCTGTGCCGTACAGGTGCCCTTCACTCCCTCCTCGTCCAGCTTGCTGATCTCCTCTAGGATCTTCTTGCGTGACTCCTGGTGCTGCCTGCGGTGCTCCTCCAACGCCACGCTGTCCTCCAGCTCCCAGCCGCACTCGCTGCACCCCAGGCCCACGCCCGCCCCCTCCGGCGCCCAGCGGCCCCGCCCCCCGCTTTGGCAGTGCTGCTGCATGTGCTCCCGCAGGTGAACCTGCTTCTTGAAATAGATGCTACATTCCACGCACGTGAAGACGTCCTGGTCGGGCGCGTCTTTGCTCACCACCGTCTCCACCTCCTCGGCGGCCCCCCCCATGCCACCATCTTGTCCCTCCTCCGTATTCCCGAGGGGCGCGCTTTCCAGGGCGAGCCCCGCCCCCTCCCGGCCTTTGGCCCGCCTTCCCGCCCCTGGTGTCACGCAGTGAGGCGATCCAAGGCCTGAGAAGGGTCTCAGCAAGACCCGCTTCCTCCTCCGGCGCTGGGTGAAGGTGCAGTGGGCCCAGGGTGCCGGAGGGGGGCTCTCGGGGTCCGAGTCCCCGGGGAAGCTGTACACGTCCAGCGTTGCTGCCTCCTCCCTCTGCTTCTCGCTGTTCCCGGGCCCCTTCACCCGGACCTCCTTTGGTTTAGCTTTGGAAGGCAGCGGCTCAGCGGGCTCAGCGGTCACCCCCTGCCTGACGCCGTCTTCCTCCGCTGCAGGGACACGGAAGTAGACGCGTTACATAGAGGATAATGTTACGTTTACATGCATCTATCATCGACCGCGACGGGTCAGCTCAGCTGCATGTGGGGCCGACCGCTACGCACGGTCACCAAAGACCCGGTCGAAGGCTGCCTCCCACCAGCCCCCAGCCGCCCTGTACTCACAGTCTGGTGATCCGGGCTGTACAGTTTTTGACTCGTCACACCGTGGGCCTGGCCCGGCCCGGTCCCACCTCTCTGCATCCTCCAGGGCTACGTGCTCTTTCCTCTCAGACACTTCGTCCGTCTCCCCCATGGTTCTGGAGAGTAGTGAGGACAGGCATGGAGCGGGACTGTCCAGGGGGACGGACATGGCCTCATCCTGTAAGCATCTCCCTCTCCCCTTCTGTCCTTCCTCTTCTATGTCATGCTACCACACTCTACTTCTTCTGCGTACTTCTCCATCTCTCCCACAGCCATCCTGAGGTTCCGCATCCTCCGTGCCCTTCCTGTTCCCCTGATGCCTGTCCCCCAGGATGTCTCGGTGTCTCCTGTCCGTCCCTTTGCCTGACCTGTTCCCAGCTGTTCCTCATCACCTATCCCTAACTCATCCCCTGTGTGGCAGTGAGTTATATTCCACACCAGGGGGCGCCATATGTCCTTCTGGCCATCAAGTGCCTGTTCTCCCTCTCCCGCCGTCTTACCGGTCTTGCTGGGTTCCCGAGGAAGGGGACTGCAGCATGGGCCCAGGGCTGTGAGCTGCCAGACCGTGAGGGTTCGAAAAGTGCTGTAGCTCCTCCTCTGATATACAACCGCGACAAAAACGACCAATCACAAGGGACGTCACGCACCCACGGTTTGTTCAATTATGTGTAAATGCGAGTAAAATACATAAATACAAAATGACCTGAATTAAATGTGTGGACTATGAGATGCACCCACATACATATTTTCATTCATATTTCAGTCCTTTCACAAGGTAGGTGCTACTATGCTCAGATCTCTGCAGGTTTGTAGCACACTGGTATCACATCTGGTTTTCACACCCGCAGTAAGCAAGTTGGGTTTCAATTATTTGTTGTCATATACGAGAATGCCAGCGTGCATTTGCAATAAACACTAGGGGGTGCTGTACATGCACACTTCGTGTTTAGGGACTCCTTCAGGTTCCAAACTCAAGACAGTCTGGCTCAGCTGAGCCGACAAATGTGCTACAAAATTTACATAACATTTCCGTCCCAAAAATAAGGTGTGATTAATATAAACACAAACAACGAGCTATAACCACCGAGCATTTCCTTCTCCGAGTCGGAGTCCCAGGCCTGGGAGGACAGGAAGGCTGAGGGCCGGAGAACCTTCGGTGACGTGCCGCCTGCTTCTGGCCCATAGGGGGCGCCACCGCTCCCTTCCCCACTCTTGTCAGTTACTCCACCGCTATCATTCGGTTCCTCCCTTGTTACTGGAGAAAAGGATCTCTGGGGGAGGACAAAATAAATATCTGCCCCTTATTATTGCTCTTAATTACAAGAAGTGAATGTGCGTGCAGTGGTGTACGCGCAGTGGTGTACGCGCAGTGGTGTACACGTAGCTCTGAACACACTGTGCATGATCGATTTGCTAGCATCCACTTTAAATACCAACATGGATGCTTCTGACGAGCGTTGGAGTCGGTTGCAAACCCTACAGACTATTTACAATGTAATAAAACTGTTACATACATGTCTCGAATTGAAAATCTCACGCCAGCCAGCTGACCAAAGTTGACCCTGTGAGCTGAATTTGTAAAACATAGAGAAACAGACTCAAACTTCACTGCTCTGGTACATGTGCAGGGAATATCAGAATAAATGTATATTATTATTAATAATAATAAAAATATAAATACAACACGTTGTGCACATGTGCATAGTATGCGGCTTGGCTGGAGACCTATGGACGTTTCCATGTCTGCATACACAGTGTGGGTACGTGAGAAGTATGAACCAGCCATAACAGTGTGTACTACGCCTACTAGGATTTACCCAGATTGTCTATCCGGCAATTCGAATTGATGATTCATTTATGGCATCAATTTTGTCATCCAGGGCTCTTATATCCACCTGCACAGCAACATCTGCTTATTAGACAAGATGCCAATCACAGTAACAACACACTGCCTCCCCCTTACCTGTAAGGTGCTGCCAACACTTGCAGGAGGTGCCAGGTCCTGTGCCAAGGGTGAGAGGGAGGGTCCGGGAACCGTCATCTGACCCGGGGCACTGCTGGGGGAAGGGGAGCGCTCTGCCGGCTCCATGGTCCCCTAAGGCCACAGTCCACCTACCCACAGGCGTGCTGGTGGTCTACATAGCACAAGGCTCCAGAGCCACTGCACAGACAAGCGTACAGACAAAGGGTCAGCCACTGCACAGACAGGCATATACACAAAGGGTCAGCCACTGCACAGACAGGCATATACACAAAGGGTCAGCCACTCTACAGACAGGCGTACAGACAAAGGGTCAGCCACTGCATAGACAGGCGTACACACAATGGGTCAGCCACTGCACAGACAGGCATACACACAAAGGGTCAGCCACTGCACAGACAGGCGTATACACAAAGGTTCAGCCACTGCACAGACAGGCGTATACACAAAGGTTCAGCCACTGCACAGACAGGCATATACACAAAGGTTCAGCCACTGCACAGACAGGCGTATACACAAAGGTTCAGCCACTGAACAGACAGGCGTATACACAAAGGGTCAGCCACTGCACAGACAGGCATATAAACAAAGGGTCAACCACTGCACAGACAGGCGTATACACAAAAGGTCAACCACTGCACAGACAGGCGTATACACAAAAGGTCAGCCACTGCACAGACAGGCGTATTCACAAAAGGTCAGCCACTGCACAGCACCACTTCAGTACATTTTATATCAGAAACATCCATCCATCACTGTAACCACTTAATCCCAACTGGGGTTGCAGGGGGGACCAGAGCCTATCCCGGGAACAATGGGTGCAGGCAGGAACCAACCCTGGACAGTCGGCAACATACCGCATGGCGCACACACTCACACGCACAATTACAGGGAAAATTTAGACTCGTCAATCAACCTGCCCTGCACGCTTTTGGTCCGTAGGAGGACACCGAAGCCCCTGGCAGAGTCCTGTGCAAACTCCACACAGAAAGGACCCGAACCCAGGACCTTCTTGCTGTAAGGCAGCCGCACTAACCACTGTGCCACCGTGCCGCCCTATCAGAAACATTTATAGCTCAATTATAGAATATCATCTCAATACTGAGTGTTTTACCTCCCATAACATTAACCTCCTCCTACTCTCTCTCTCACTCTCTCTTTCTCACACACACACACACACACACACACACACCTGTATTCATCTTTGTGGGGACCGCCCATTCACTTCTATAGGCAAATCCCTAATCCCAACAATGACAACCTCACCCCTACCCAGCCCTACCCTTAACCATAAGTGACCGAGCAAAATATAAGACTTTTGGCATATTTAGTTTTTTGACTGCAGTCACAGACTTTTAAAAAACGGAATTCCCCCTGGTGGAGACCAAAAATTGGTCCCCACAATGTAATGTATATCTGACACACACATATACAGGGCTGGCACTGAAAAGTCATGTGTAAACATAGCGAGAAATGGTCTATACTTCCCTAGTGGATCATCAGAATTATTTCTGTATTAATAAGGGTTTAGGTTTTCATCAACTCAATCAAAGCACAACCCTGCCCAAGACTCAGACGTTACATGTTCTGTTTTGTCTTTTTTCCCTTTAACACGCACTATGAACAATGGGCATGTACAATTGCATGATTGCATGATTTCTGATTCCCGCATTTATCGTTTCAGATCAGACCCTAACAATCTGTCTGTCAGCAAATAGTGGGGACAGCGGCGGTCGAGGACACACCATCAAAACCACTGAATGGATTCAGTAATGATGGGATGATCACCACATCCCCTTTTGGAAACTCCTTCAGAGGCAACAGCTATTTTCAAATTGACTTTGGTAGTGGCCCTAAATCAACAAAAAACAAAGGACACTCCGATTATGAAAGGTTTGGAAAATGTTCTAGTGAGGCTTTGCCAGCTGACTGGCTTTCACGCTGTACCAATGTCTATCTCCTGAAGGCATGGAAAATTAGGTCAGTGTGTCCATGTTATGGAATACAAGAAGTATTAACCACTAGACGACTCGAATGGATGTGGGGAAAATATGACACGAGCGACGCATGTCACGACATGAAGACAAGTGATCTTATTCCTACTCATTCAGTGCATGCAGCACTGGGACACGCATACACGATTTGCCTCCAAGGACAGGAGTTTGTATCTGTTAAGCCAGTCCTATTATAATTGTGGCTTCTTCTGCAGTATATTTAAGACAGCATATTGGAAATAAAGCTGCAAGTGCCAAGTAAGCAGAGGCAGCAAGATTTCTGTGCGGTTTTAGCCACAGCTACCCTGCACGCTTCGTCCAGGCAGTTGGCTGGCTACCGAGTAGGCTTAGCTAGCGGGCTAGCATGCTAAGCATCCAGCAGCACCAGCGATGCACAGTGTCATCCGTCGCAAAAAGCACAGCTCCCCAGCTACCCCAAATCAGACCCAGTAAACGGTGTCGGCAGGCCGAGCTCCTCTTTTTGTCTGTCCGCCTTCAAAACGGCCCTCGTTAAGTACGTGTTGTCTGAGTACTCACGGAGAATGGCCTGGCTCGCCCGCCGTTCGATGTGAGCTCCCGGCCTGGGGGCCGCCTAGGCGCCGCGCCGCATGTTTCTGCGGGTGCGTGTGCGCCTCCGTGTGTCAGTACGCGGGTGTGCACGTCCCTGCGCGTCAGTGCTCGCGTGTGTGGCTGCGCGTGTGCGTGTACGTGTGCGCGTCGCTGTTTTATTTTTTTCAGCTGTCACATTGGCGCGCTCTCCCTCTCGCGCTCGGGTCCAGCGCGTCTCCCCAGCGGGCGGGCGGACAGGACGGGCCACGGCTGCGTGACATCACCTGGGCGCGAAGGGAGGCGCGGAGCGACGGAGCGGCCCGGCCATCTGCCATGTTGAGTGTGGCTGGGGAGCGTATCGCTGTCTAGAGCACCGAGTCCGCATCTTGGATTCGGCCGACTTCAGTGGTTTCCTTTCATTAAAAAAACGCATATTTTTGTAATGGGATATGAAGCGTTTTTCTTTTTATTGTACCGAGGACTGGAAGTTGCTAACGATTTTGGTTTCCGTTTGGTTAGCGTCCCAATGAACTGGAGGTTTAACTTAACCACCAGAAAAAAATATATACAGGTCATTTATCCTGCTTTCACCAAAGTTTAAAGTACTTGGTGTATTATTTCAGTCATATTTACTTTTGTGAGTCAAATTGTTTATGTTTTAGGGGAAAAATCCTGGGCAACTACAGTTCAACTTTAAAACTATTTTCAGGTATTAATAACGTATCGGCTTTCATAATTTTGGCAATCCCAAATTCATTTTAACAAACAGGTTAATTGTCAGTTTAATCCCGGTAGCCTACAGGTGGCAATTTGAAATGTCAGCGGGCCAGGCTTGCAGGTACTTTTAGGTATAATGTGTGTACATCTTGCTAAAATTAATTGGTCCCACTTTACAATAAGGCTTCCTTTTACCAGTTGTAAATGGTAGTAACTCATTACTAAAAAGAAAACTGTTATAACTTGTTAAAAATCGTCAATTAATAATAATAATTAAGTGTTACAACTTAATTAATAGCCAGATTATAAAGCATTCATAAACGCTTTATATGGGTAGCCTTACTGTAAAGTGGCACCAATTAATTTGTTTCTTTTTATGATATTTCCATAGAAGATATAACCAATGATAAGTGTATGCTAGATTTAAGCTCTGTACATTCATATTTTGCTGGTTGTCAGCAGAGAAAAGTGAGGTTACGAAATCATTTTTAACGTTTTATTAAGTTATGATATACAACTTAAAACTGAAATGAATGTATGAAACTGCAGAAAAGAGATTGAGTAGGAAAAAAAGTATTTTTTGGTAATCATCCACTTCTATTGAAACCCGTTTTCTAGTCACTAGTCCTATAGAACAGGGTTCCCCCATTACTTAGCTAGTTTTATTATTATTATTATTCCCCATGGGCCAAATTCCATCAGCAGTATAAAGCTAAGGCCCACTGCTGAGGATAAAATTTGCTAGGGGGGTGACGAGCTACCTATCAGGGAACCCGGGTATAAATGGTTTCCATTAGACTGCGGAGAACAGTTCTGGCCTGGTGCCTGGTGCCGGGTCCGGGTGCGTGCCGGAATCTGCCTATTAAGTATCTGTGCTGTACAGTTCACAGGGGGATCGTGGATTGGGATGCGAGTCTGTTGCAGAGCTCCAAATACGCATAGCAAGGGTGGCGATTAGCCCCCCACCCCTGGAGGTGCAAGTTGACACCAACTGAATTATTGTGCCCCCCCCCCCTTTTTTTTTTACCGGAACCCCCAACAAATTAAGTACTATTGAAAACAAAGTACAGGTGCAGGACAAAGCTTCCCAACATTCCTTTAACAATGTTCAAATTTCACTCCATTCATTATTTGAGCTGCACAGGACTATGAACCACGTGTAAAAGTCGCAGTGTTGCCACGGCGCCCTGCTGACGGTCGCATGTCCACGTGCAGCCAGGTGGCTGCGCTCAGTTGCTGTTGCTGTCAGGCTCGCCCGCTGACTCTGGATGCTGCATGTTCCTCTGACTGCTGAGCTTGTTCATGTCTTTGAGCAGCTCTGCAAACTGCTCCTCCTGAGAAAATGTACAAAATGAGTAAGCAGTGCGAGAGGAGTTCAGGGAGTGAAATTTTTAGATATTTTTGAGCATTATTCGGCACTCTAAATGGAGAAGTAATGGGTTTATTGATTAGCTGTGTTAAGTACCATAATAAGTGATCAATCTGGCTTTCAGTGGAATCCACAAAGACTCATATTGGCTGCAGTTTATTGTTCCCTTCACCTCTTTTTCAGCAATTTATTGCCCTTGATGACTTACCAGCACGTTCATCCTCTCTGCTGCAGCCATGGCGGCATTTAACTTCCTCTCATCCTCTTCCCTCTCTTCCTCTATTACTCCAAGTCTAATGGAAGTAGAGAAAAGTAAAGTCTGAACTGTTTCTGTAAGTCTGAGGTACTGTTTGCCGTTCCCGTGACCTGTTCCGGTCTGCCTCACCTGAAGGTGGTGCTGGCGAGCTGCTCCTCCTGCATGGTGAGCAGGTCCTGCATCTGCTTGATTGTGGCCCGCAGCTCTTCCTTCTGCTCCTCGCTCTCGGCTATGAAGTCCTCCAGTCGCTTGGCCATCTCCAGCTCTCGCTCCGTCACTTGGTCCACGCCGAGCCGCAGCTCGGACAGTTCTTCCTCGTGCTGCGCGTGCGTCAGAGGGTCCGCGTCAGCAATCGCGAAGGTGCTGCTATCGCCACGGGAGCAAAGGCAAAGACTGGCAACACCCACCTTCTTCAGGACGCTAAACTCCTCCGGCTCAGAGCTCATCGGCTGCGGCTCTTTGACTATGACTTGCCAGGGCACACGAGTTGGGACTCTAGGTTGCTGGGGCTCTGAGGGGTTGAGGATCTTAGGGAAGGCAGACACAGACGGAGTCGCTGAAACCCAGCAAGTGAACCGTGGCACCGCTGGCACATAACATCCATCATGACAACCAAGCCGGCAGCGATGGATAACATGCAAGGATGTAATGGTGCCAGATGGATAGTGCGCATACCGTGATGTCCGGGAGGTTCTCGCTGCTCGCCTGCCGCTTTGGGGGGTGCCAGGGACGTGGCTTGACACGGTTAGGGACACTCTGGGTCCTCGTCACACGCTTCCCTGCTCGGTTCTCCTTGTTCTTGCCATCGGCGGGCAGGTGCTGGTAAGGGCTGTATTCCGGAAGGTCCCGCGGAGGCACATAGGTTGGCTTGGTCTGCTCCGACCTCAAGCTGTGGGCCACACAGTGAGGTCAGTTTCATCCCTATCACTGCCACAGGGTGCTTTCTCTTTGAAATCGCTGTTCTGTTTGTTCGTTTGTCTTCTGGGTGCTGCCCCCCTCCCGCACTTACTTGCAGATTGTGATGCGGGGAGCGCTGGGGCCCAGCGAGTCTGAGATCTGGTTCAGAATGGAGGGCAAAGGGAGCAGCTTCTCCACCGTTTCCTGCAACAGACACTCATCACTATGATTCCACTGGCAGGCAGGATGGGATCGAGCAGGACAGAGCGTTGGAAGGGGGGGTCGTTGGGGGGCGCGTACCTGCTTCATGGGAGAGATGATGTCGATGAGCAGGCCGTGAAGCACGGCCAGACGAAGGGGCAGGTCCACGTAGCCGTCGAACCTCGCCATGGCCAGCTCGCTGTCAGGGTTGGACACCCGCTGCAGGAAGCTCCGCATGTCCTCCCAGTGCTCCTGCAGGAAGTCGTTCATGAAGAGCATATACTCCTCCTTTTCTCCAAACCTGCAGCACAGGCAAGGGGAGAGACTGCACTGAGAATTGGACACATGGCTGTAAGAGTGTTGGCTGAAGAACCAAGAGGGGCCTGTTTGTTATACCCGTGGACAGTGTATCTGACATGAGCTGGGCGTTTAAATGTGCACGCAGCCCTTCAAATGTGCTGTTTGGCACTGATTTATTGGGAGAGTAACAAGTGCTGAAAGAGCATTGTGTTTTCCAAAGGATTGGCAGAGTTGCGATGCCTCATATTGTCAACTGTAGAAAAAAAAACGCCGTAAACGTGTTTTCCACGACTGCGCCGATTGGCTTGATACAGCCGGCCAAGACTCACGAGGTAAAGTTGGCCAGGTTTTGTATGACCTTGGCGGTGAGGGTGAGGGTGCGCAGCGTCGGCGGATCCGGGTAGGGCTGCATTAGGCCGAAGAGGGAGGGGCTGAGGATGGCGGGGCACAGGAAACGCAGGAAGAGCGAGGCAGAGATGAGGCGCTGGCCAATCTCCACCCGCCCGCGTGCCTCGCAGTCCTCCACCCAGCTGGAGAAAATTTCATTCAGCTCCACTGGGAAAGATCTGGGGCCGGCGGGGAGGGAATGTTCCGGAAATAATCGAGTGCAGTTACGAAGTGGTGAAAATAAGAAAGTCATGGAGGGGGAGTGGAGGAACCCAGGGGACACACGTAAGATAAGAAGGCAGCGGAAAGAAAATGGAGAAGAGAGAGAATCGTTTTTAAGATCGTTAGTACATAAAAAGTCAAAACTTTTAAAAAAAAGTTTCTTTTATGCATATTGACTTGCAATAACGCACTCGTGCATCTCCGTGATTCTCTTCACCACATCTTCACAGGCCTCCCTCAGGTTTTTCTGGTTACTGGGGAGCTCTGAGGCGGTGCACTTGCGTGGGTCCACCTCGCAGCTCTCCGCGGAGGCGTACAGCCGTGTGATGAAGTCTCCTGAGAGCGGACGGGCAGGTGAGTTCCTGACGGAGTGCCTGTGTTCCTGCAGCCTGAATCAAGTCACCTTTGCGCCAAATCCCAGACCTTTCCATCAAATTCCAGCAATACCATCGCTTCTGGCTGATAAGTGTCCCCAGAGTTTTCCCTAACCTTTTTGGAGTGTTTTATAAACGCACCACTGAAAACACTTTGCATTTTGGCCCAAAAGCTCAATTTTAGTCTCATCAGACCATAAAACTCTTGCCCTGTCAGGTAGATTCCAAATGAGCATTGAGATGTTTCTTCCAGAGTAACAGCTTTTGTCTTGCTGACCATCCATACATATGCATGCATATATAGTTGCTCTTTCGTCTATAGTCGTTTTCGGCCCTATTCTAGACAATTTCTGGGTGGGTCTTGTGCCAGCAGTACTCGCAGGGATATCGATGGCTATTGTTTTGCATTTGGATAACTATACCCCTGCTTTTGCTCTGTTTATGTGCTCCCAGGTCTTTATTTTCATGTTTTGGACTCCTCGACTGACACACAATCCCTGCCTAAACCAGAGCTTTCATTCAGTAAACGGCTTCTTCAAAGGCCAATAGCAAGACAACTAGGAAATTCTTTTCATTCTTTTGTTCTACGGACAAATGATTCACTTCTGCATTTAAATATTTTCTGTGTCTCACTGCAATGCACTTAGTAACTAGACAAATATGTGCATTTACAGTCTGTAAGATATGAAAGCATACTTTTGCACGGCACCGCAGCAGTAAACAGGAAGTCGCCCCCTCCGCCCCTCCCCCCCCCAGGCAGGCCATACCCAGAGTGTCGATGAGGTACTTCTGCCCCACCAGCTTCATGTACTCGTCGATGGCCTTGGTGGCCAGTGTGTTCTCCCTGAAGATCAGCGCCTCCTTCTCCCCGCAGCGCTGCACCTCCGCCCTCCCCAGGGTGATCAGGAACTCCTGGAAACGCACCCGGTTGCCCTTTTTTAATGGTTTATAACGATTCGATTACTGGTCGCCAATGAGTCAACCACGAGATTTTAGTAGCCCGCAGGAAGCCAGTGAGCCACCTCCCGCCCCCACAACACCTTATACCGTCACCGCCTGGGGTGTACCTAGAAATTCTGGGCCCCCTCACAAAATTTCACCTTGGGCTCCTCCCACCCAATTTTACATAAAATATTACATATTCAAGGGCCCTTGTCAAGTGTAAAAAAAGGTTGAAGACCCTGGGATTAGATTGTTTTAAATAATTAGCCCCCAGTTTTTGGAAAGGAGACCAGATGTATTTGTGATGCGCCTTCCACAGTTTTGGTAGCGGCATCGGCCCTTTTGAACATGCCGCCCTGCAGCCCAGCCCTGCTCCCCGTGGTTAAACATTCTTGGCTCTCCCTGGGGGCTCACCTTGGCCTTCCCGATGCTCTGCAGCACATGCACCAGCGCCCTGGCCAGCTCCTCCTTCTCCCGCACGGACAGCAGGGGCTCCAGGTCGACGCACATCTCCTCGTAGTTCATCGTCACGAACTCGGCGAACTCCTTGTAGCGCTCGATGGGCAGCACCCGCAGGTTCTGGAAGCGGCCCTTAACGCGGAGCGAGGCCTGCGGCCCCAGCTGGTCCTTGGTGCCTCCAGAGCCCGCTGCTTTATAGGGGACGATGCGGTACCAGTCCTCGTGAAAGGCCCGTCCTCGGATGTTGGCCAGGGAGATGGCGACGCTGCCCAGCGGGAAGCTGGGGGTCTCGTCTCGCGAGTGGCGCTTCTTTTTGGCCTCGTCGTCCCGGAAGAGGTGCAGCGTCAGCTGGGACACAGGTGGCAGGTTGTCCAGTTCGAAAAGCTCTCCCCAGAACAGCTGGCAGCCTCCCGGGCCGGCGCCAGCCCCCCCCCCTCCCAGGCTCCCCGCAGAGGCCGCCACGCCCCCTTCGGCCATCAGGCTGGAACGCTGCGGGGATTTCCCGATGGCACGGCTGCTGGTGCGTGCAAAGAGGACGCCGTCCAGGTGCAGCTCGCAATAATAGCACCTTTTTGGGGGCAGGTCCTTGGCCTCGTTCACCCAGAGGCTGAGGGAGTTCTCCGTGCGCTCGCAGTTGTCCTGGAATAGCGGGGGCAATGAAAAGAGCAACGCTTTTAGCATGCTAACCCTGCTTAGGCTAATCTCACACAAACACTCAAACCCCAAACTATTCATTGTAAGACATTTATTCAGCTTCAAAGGTGTGTTTCATCCTGGACGCCTCCCTGGTGAGGTGTTCCGGGCATGTCCCACTGGGAGGAGGCCCCGGGGCAAGATCCAGGACACGCTGGAGGGACTATGTCTCTCGGCTGGCCTGGGAACGCCTCGGGATTCCCCCAGAGGAGCGGGAGGAAGTGGCTGGGGAGAGGGAAGTCTGGGTTTCCCTGCTGAGGCTACTGCCCCCGCGACCCGACCTCGGATAAGCGGAAGTTAATGGATGGATGGATGGAGGTGTGTTTCATGGCCAAGAGAGGCTGATGGATACAGCACAGCCAAGCTGAATTGCACTCTCTTATCATCTAACTTAAGTCAGTGTCTCAGTTTTTAGTGATTTAAATGGCCGGGACCTTTCTGAACACAAATGCTCATGACAGGAATTACCTTGTTTGACTTGTTTTGGTAGCAAGTGATAAATGAGTTTTGGGAAATTAGACACACAAGAAGCACCAAAGTAAAATGATATCATTTTGATTATCATTTTAATGACAGGGGTGCACATTTCGCAGTGTGAGACCAAAAATATGTGTGTCGCACTAAGAAAATTTGCATTTCAAATGATATTTTGCAATTAATTAAATGACTCTAATGCTTTGAGTCCATATCTTTAAATCAGTTATTTTCCCTGCTTTATTATTTAGAGGAAAGCTGTGTCCTGCAGCCTGCTCCCCGGTTCGAACCACGTTGACGTCACATTAACTGTCCAAGTATGGGTGCTATCCTTTTAAATGCATAACAAGATTGAGCAGATAGTGCCCCCCTCAGACAGATGACAGAGGCCACCTCAGACAAATTGTTTGGAGAATCTAGGCCAATGTTTTCCAACCTAGCCTCGCGGACCCCCAGAAAGTCCAAATTTTTGCTCCCCCCTGCTCTCAACACACATGTACCAGGTATTTGTTTTTCTTGGTTGGCTGGGAGCTGGGAGAGCAATAATGTGGACTGATGGTCCCTGAGGACTGAGTTGGGGAACGCTGGTCTATGTGCCTGGGGGATTGCAGCTGTACCTTATTGGGCTGGGCAGCACGCCTCAGGTTCTCGATCCAGCGGTCCCTCTCCGCAGCGGAGCTGCACCCGAAGCAGTGGTTGTTCTCGGAATTAATCACCTGTGAAAAGGTAAGCCATACTGTCAAAGAGGCATGTTGTCAACGCTCATACCGCTAATCCTTATTTTGTTAGCTGATGACCCAAGGAATGCGAGGCTCCCTATCTGCAAACTTGAAAACCCATATAAGACATCTTGGTGTTATTTTTGATTCACCTTTAAACTTTGATTTACAAAAAAGGTCTGTGGTAAAGAACAGTTTCATTTAAGGAATATCGCAAAACCGAAGCCCTTTCGCCTAACGATTTGGAGTTCGTCATCCATGCCTTTATTATTTTAATTACTATTTAGTTATTATTTATTTTCATTAGCTTTGAGTAGGCCTGAGTATGATTGCTTTTTTAATTGTGGTTAATAAATAATGTTAATTAATTTGTTATTTATTTAATTAATTTCATTATATTTTTATTGTGCTGTCCTTACAGCACTTTGGTCAACTCTTGTTGTTTTAAACGTGCTTCATAAATAAACTGATTTGGCTTGACTCGTGGGAGCAGCATGAACCAGATACAGGATGTAACACTGTACAGATCTACAGGGGAGAAGGATGCAAGCAAAGTCAGTTTGTAACATCTCGGAGGTCAGAGGAGCAGAAAAACAAATCACACTGGTCTAAAAATGGCTTCAATGGCAGCATTGCGGAAAAGTGTCTCCTGTTTAAAATCTTCATCTGTTTTGCACGTGATTGCATAGTGTCTGGTGTTTTTTCACTTGTACCTGGGCATTCATAGGAAGTTGAGCCAAGCTCCTTGACAACATGTATGTTTGCAATGTGCCATTTGTCTCCCTTGTTGGTCACTTTTGGACCAAAACATCTGCTAAATATGTAAAATGTACAGATCAGGTGGTAAAGGAAAGTGTTTGGGAAGCTGGTCACAGAAGCATGTGGTAAAGTCAAGGAGACCAGGGGCACCTCAAAGCAGAACTTCTCGCCCAGGATGGAGCTGTGCACAGGCCGGATGACTGTGGTCTGGTCTGAGCTCAGGTCCAGGCTCTCGACCGCGCTGACGGGGATGGACAGGGATTCCCGGGAGCCATGCAGCCTGAGGGGGGGGGGGGGTTCGGGACACAAGGTGAGCTCATGTTCATGCTGCATGCTGGCTTTTCTTGTAGCTAAATTATTAATTAAACTCTGATGGGGGTGGAGCAGTCCTGCTCCTCATGCTTGTACAGAGAGTGTGTGTGTGTGTGTGTGTGTGTGTGTGTGGGGTGGGACTTGCTGGCTTACGTTTATATTACATTGTGGGGACAAAATGGTCCCCAGATTGTGATAAAGACCTGTTATTTAAAGTTGTGTGGACCATTTTTCAGGTCCCCACAATGATCTGAGAATTCAATCTAAAAACTAACAATGCCAAAAGTCTTGAATTTTGTTTCTTACTTATGGTTAGGGCTGGGTAGGGGTTAAGGTTGTTCTGTTGCCCATAGAAATGAATGGAGAGTCCCCACAAAGATATAATTGTGTGTGCGTGCGTGCGTGTGCACCTGCACCCTGAGATGGATTGATGGGATAAGCTGATTGGGATAAGTAGACAGTAGATGGAGGTAAAGTCCCACTTAAGCTGCAGTTATTAAGAGGTCACTTGTGTCTGACATGAGCACGTCCACAGAACTGAAAATGCCATTGGGGGAAAGTCAGCGAGGGACAAAGCACAAGGGCCCGCAGCTCGTACCGGCTCACAGCACTGTGTTCGATGGAATTTAACTGCGTGCGGCTGTTCCTCTGAGCTGCATTCATGAAACGACGAAAGATCAGCTTCTGCGGATGGGGACAGAGAGAGGTGGCGTGTGGGAAGTCCGGCGTGCTCTCAGCCAATCACAGTCCCGGGAAACGGCAGAGCCCACACTCACTCTGACAGCACTGTTGGTCTCCTTTGCCTTGACGCTGGGAGCCACCACGTCTGGGTTGCATTCTGGGAGACAGGGGGGAGAGCACAGTCAGCAGCCAGACGCCAGGTGACAAGATCTCCGCCCCTTCGATCGCCAAGGGGAGGGCGGTCCTCTATCAAGGGAGCGATCTGCGTTTCAGGCTGTACCGCCGTGCGTCGATCTAAGCAACCACAGGAAGCAGAGCTATTTCCTCCCTGCAGTGTGCACTGCTGATAAACATAAAGTGCAGTGAGCGGTTGCAGGCATCTGCATGTCCATTACAGTGCCTCACTCGACGCACTTGGACTGCTGTGGTCATTCTCCATCTTTGACGCATTTGCATGGGTGGCCAGTCATGAAGGCCCAATGGTGTGTGTGTGTCCCCCCCCCCCCCCCCCCCCCCCCGCACCCCAGCCCCGACTTTAGTCATTTATCTATGAAGTGCATCCTTATGTTCATTATGGAGAGGAACACTTAAAACCATGAAATGAAACAAAAAGAATATTTACTGTGCCACAACTTACAGAACTTAGGGAAAATATGATTTTTCTTTTCTTATGGGGTAAAATCTTCATCATCCCTATTATTACTATTATTTGGATTATTGAATTGGTGTCTACTCTTTGCCCATGATAACTTCAGATGTCTTAGACGTCGTAGATTTTCAGTGACTACTCGTCTTAGCAATCGTGCAAAGCCTGCAGCGCGATGGAATTCCATTCACAGATCCCGGCAAAAGTTTTCCTCCCTTCCCATCTGCCGCGCCGTCCTGTCGCGTCTTCTAAGCCCCTGGGGATCTCAGGGAAGTGCTGCCCTACAGCCCCCCAAACGTAACTACGGTACCCAAACGTAACCACGGTAACTATGGTCAGAGTGGCGATGGAGGGTTCTGTGGTGCGGCCATCTCATGTGGAAGGATGTGGCACCCAGCCCTTCGAGGGCCACACCTATCGTAGGGTAACGGTAGAAGTTTGCATCGCCCATGCTTCAGTCATTAGAGCTTATTGTCATTGTCTTTCGTTGCTGTGATAATGAGTACAGAGTACAGATGGAACGGGTCCATTTTGATGATAAAGAAAACATTTCTAAAGGTTAATCACCAGGATCTTCTACAGGATAAGCAATATGGTAGATAGAAGAATTGTTGTTTTAAGGTTAATTACAGATTCATGAATTTTATATCCTACAAACATTTTATGTTGCAGCCATTAAAACGTACATTTCTGTAGGACATAACCATACTTCTCAGTATATTTAACTCATAAAACCCATAAAACACCCAAGGCTTTAGCATTTGCTTACCCAAGCCGCCTCCGCAAACAATCCATCGTCTAAATCCCATGATTTTGACTCAATGATCGCCCCAATGAAAGCACAGGACCGTTATACTTTTGTCGTCTTTCGTTTCCTTCTCATCACAGTCATCTACTGCCTTTTCATGATGTCTCTTTCGTTTGTTTGTTTGCCTGCTTGTTCATTCATTTGTTGAGCTGAGGCGTTTTTTTGCCTGCCACTGCAGGACCAGAAGAGGAAACTTCAGTTCGCCGTCCGACCCAACTAGCACTCTGGAGGGCTCAGTAGTGATGCTATCTTTCCCCAAATTTTAGAGGAAGCAATTTGACAGCCGCTTGCGTGTGTAATCACGTCAACCGCTTCCTCCGTGTTCAGCCATTGCTGCCTGGAAGCAACGGGTGCTTTTCAGGGAGATTCAGAAGCTTGAGTTTCACAAACTAATACTTTTATTTGGGTCAGCCTAAAATCCCGCTAACCTCACATTACCACACCTCTCTGCCTCATTTCATGTCTGAACTACCTCTGCCAGCCTTCAGAGGTGTAAGATCTTGTGTCAGCATTGCAAGATCAGATGTACCAGATGTGCGTTTTCAACTGGCAAAGTCACAAGTGCTTCCGAAACAGGAAACGATATCGCCAAGCTGGCTGCCTGTCGAAAACATCCTAATGGCATATAAATGTAGCATAAATATCTAAATATTTAACAGTCGTCACTCTTCAAAAATTGTATAAAGGTTCCATAAAGAACCAGTTGAATGGTTGGTCAAAAAACCACTGGGCTGCTGTTGGTGCGGATAGGGAACTACTTGCTTGGAAGTGGGAGGTGCTGTGGTACTGACCTAAGTTGGTACGGCTGTCTGCGAGATTCTGCAGGCTGAGGTTGTACAGACAGCTGCTCGCCCGGTTCCGGATCCGCAGCATCGGCTGGGAGAGGGCACAGATGGATCACTTGCATGGTACCCAGTAATAATTATCAGGAGCAACAGAGGAGAAACGGAGCAGGGATACGGACTTGGCCCATAAACTCATCGAGGATGTTCTGCCATTACAGTTACATGAGGAAACACCACTTGCCCCTTCTTGGCAAGTCACCGTAAAGCGGGGCGTACCAGTGATGAGTGTGAGAAAGAGCCTCTGTACGCATGTGTGCCAAACAGGAAACCGCACTTACCTCCTCCTCCAGCGAAATTTGGATCTGCCCGTCGTGCAGGCGGCAGCTGTTGATGTCCCACACTGGCACCTCCTGTTGCGGGACCCATGACAGCCTCACGGGATCCGGGGCTCCTGCGGTGGTCTCTGTCTGGGCCTCGTTGGGACCCGTCGCTGTTGTCACAAGGCATAGTCAGCACATTATCAAAATGTACTGTAGATATCGCACTGAAATCCCATCCACACTGTCCCGGGCTTGTGCCTTGTGCTGCCTTGGATCCTGGTTCACTGTGATCTAGTGCTGGACAAACTTATCTGGGGGGTCCTATGCTGCCATTAGCTAGGACATTTAGGTATTGCTGATTTAACTGATCATTCCATTTTTCCCGATGCCGGGCAGGGCCCAGATGTACAGTATTGTTTATAGTACAGTACCTACAGTGTAAATGTGCTCAGAACAAAAATTTAACAGTTTAAATTAAATTAATATTTTAACATTAGAACATATGCAAATTAAAAGTAGCCCAATAAAAACTAACAGGAATTTCTTCTGTTCTCTAAAAAGTTGCTGATGTCTAGTTGGAGTCAGTTCCCAAACCTCTTCTCAGGGGCACCCCAGCCATTCCATTTAACTTAACTCACTTAAGTTACTTATTTTTAAAAGTCAATTAGGTATTGATTAGCCATATGAGGTGGGGTAGTGATCAAGTCAAAACACACAAAGGTATATTGGAAGGTTGCTGTGAATACTGGGGTGACATTAATAGAGGTTTGGAAATGGCTAAGCTAGCACACTTTGACAGACATAATAATTTTACACCAACATTAAGATTATTAGACGTCATTTTTTTTCACTGCCTAAGACTTCTGCACAGTACTGTACACCGACGCCCTAGTCTATAACTTAAGATAACCCATGCATTAATCTACCCTGAATACTGAAGGTGGGTGGATGGATGGGTGTAGATTTTGCCCAGTTATAACGGCATGGTTGCACTGACACAGCAGAGTATCTTGGTAACAGAATGCACCAAATATGTCCGCTTTGTTTCACCCTAACGGCAACTTAACTGAAAACTGAGTAAAAAGGTGAACAGTACACGTGAAAATGAAAGAGCAGGCCCTCAAATGCTCATGCGTACACGCCATCTGCAGGCTAAACTGGTCGCGTGAAGCCAGATCGGTAGTTATGTTACATGTGATTTCGGTAACGTTTCTTTCCCAAATGTGACTGCGCCGATTACTGCAGCTTCAGAAAAGTGAAAGTATCTTTTCTCCACCTCATGAGATTCCAAAATCACCCTGTTTTACTTAAATCTTCCTCCGTCGCTAACCATGCACTTTGTCACATTCAGTTTGAGCTCCCTCTATTCTCTGTTTTGGCCCATCTCTCTCTCTCTCTCTCTCTCTCTCAAGAAAGTAATTTTCCTTTTATAATAATGACCCTGTGCTCCCTGCTTAAGTCCGCTGGGTCTTGCTCACGCATGCTTGGACTCCAGTCCACTTTGTGCTGACTCTGTGCAAAGCTTCAAATCCTTAGACGCGGTGCCTCTGACCACACAGCGATTTCTCCATGAATCTTGTCTCGTATTATCAAATTAGGAATAACTATTAGATAACGGTGTTTCCGGTCCATTTCGCTGCAAGCACTCTCTCAATTTAAAGACACCAGCTAACCTAAACCACATGGGCTAGACTGTGGGATGAAACTCACAAACATGGAGAGAATTAGAATTGACATCTAATTAATATTACAGTACCTTGTGCTTGCCAGACTATAATGGGTAAATGTAGTGATACGGGCCTAGATAATAAGAATGAAAATGATTGTTCTTATTATTGATATTGTTGGAGCAGGCTGAACGTGAAACCCCAAGCTGTTCGTGTTTATCCTCTCCAGCACTAATTTGTGTTTAAATCGCATTCGAGCTGTGAGGGTGGGTGTGCCCTCCCCAGCCTGACCCAGACTTTAGCATTCAGGGGGGGCATGTGTAAAACTAATCCTTAATGAGCATCTTTGCCAGCGTTCAAACTCTGACTCTGTACTGCCTGTTTATGCTTCTGAAGGGATCTGGTCTCATTCAGCTTTTTCAAGGTACAATTCATTCTACTTCTTTTTAAAGGTCACTAAAACAAATTAAATATATGGGCACCACAGCGTTGTCCCCTGCAAGGCCACGTCAGCGATAAGCATCATTTCCCCTCTTTTTTCACGTGAATCACGCAAATCTGTCATTACCAGAAAAGCAGCCATTTCACCTCAAAGAGTGAGGAAAAGAGAGCAGCGATGGCGGCCGCTCACCTTCCACACACACGGGGGTGCTGTTTCGGCTCTGCAGTCGCGGCCTCTTGAACTTCTGGGAGACGGTCCGCAGGTATTTCCTGATGGGGTTGCCTCCACCTCTCTGCTGTGCTTCCTGAGTGGAGGAGCCTGGGCTCTCTGCGGAGCTGGGGCTGGCCACCGATTGGCTGGATGTGGGGTTCGTGGCCGTAGAAAATAAGGCCCCGGGGGGCTCAGAGAGGGCCCTGCGGAAGGGGTTCTTGCGGGCGGTGGTGGACTTGCCCGGCTTCGCGTTCTCCGCAGGCTCCCGTTTCTCCGCGGCGTCCTCGCTCAGGGCTTTGCGCCAGCCTTGCATCTTGCTCCACTTCGTGGCGCTGCTCTTCTCAGGCCTCTCGAGCGAGGCTGACCCCCCCATGTCCCCTTTGGAGCCCGTGTGCCACTTGTAAGTGTTGAGGAGGTCGGGGTCTTCGGGGGGAGCCGGCGGCAGGTCCTTTCCGGAGGACCCTGTCTCCTCTAGCATCATGGGTGATGTCTGCTCCATATCTGATTCCTCATTAGTGCCCATTTACACTTTCTGATTCACACTTTCCATCCAAAAAAAAAAATCAAATAAACCAAAGAGTTTTTATATCACACTTTTCTATAACAATTTCTATATTCTATATTCTCTCAGCCATTGAGATTCGCAATAAAAGGATGACTGCAGAGCTTCCTGTACTCCGGCGGTTGCCCTCCGCCTCTGGTTCTGCGTGTTCCTCTCTGCTGAGCTGCCTTTCTCTGCAGTTCCCACCTGGCCCTCACGGCTCTGCCCACCCCTGCTCTTCTCCTAGCACCCGTTGTCTACCCCTGCAAACCCTCTCCTCGCGACATACCATTACCATTATTGTGTGAATCTCACCTCGTGCCTTGTTCTGTCCTCCAAAGCATGAGCGTCCTATTTTTCTGCCTTGATGTCTTTTTTCTTTCTTTAAAGTGTGTTTTTTTCTCTTCTTCTTCCTCTTTAACCTCTAAATATATTTTTCCTCTTTTCAACAACCTAAACTTCTGGGTATTCCTTCCAAGCAAAAGTCTCTTTGGTGTGACCTTCCTCCTCCTTTGTTTTATGTTTTTTATCAGAAGGTTATACTTTTAAAATTGTGCCTCTGCACTCTTGAGGCAGTCTACCTTTCTTCAGCCACACACAGGAAGTCTACTTTGCTCTGACAACAATATGACAGCCAATCAGTTTAAAGTATCTTGCGCTTATACGCAGTAGAACGAAGGGGAGCCGATTGTGCAAAAACACCCAGAAACCACAGACTCTACATGCTGGTGACAATCATTTGTGGAATTTCTAGAAGCATAATAATAGTATTTTTTACATGGGAACAACATTACCAAACGTTTTTCAGGTGTGTTGTCAGAATGTAATACTCTTCTCTTCTGGCCAAGATCAAACATTAAGGTTTCCACTCAATTGCTCCATAATCAGTATCAGTTTTTGTTACATGTGACTTATAATCCAAACGGTCAAATCCTCTGTGCCTCCACTGATAATTTAAGCAAAAATATTTAGTAACTGTTCCATAAAAGCTACTTAATTCTAGTCAGGACTTTCACAAGAGGAACATATTTCATATGATTGTGAGGAAAACTAAAAACAATAAGTCCTTAAGCAAGGTCTGTAGGTAGATACAAATTTTACCGTTGCTGACAGGCTCAGCTTCCTGCTGAAAGCTGCTTCACTTCCTGTCAGCTATGTCTGTCTGATTCCATGGCCACTTTGAAAACCACTTCCTGAAATCTTTTACACCGTGACTGGATCTAGTGTATAGTTTCCAATAGTCCTTATATAGGTAATATATTCTCATGTATACACTGTATTATACAAAAGTCTTATGCAACGAAAAATGATTTTTAAATGATCTTTGTGTTGGCGTAAAACTATGATATTATGACTGTCAAAGTGTGTCAGCTTATTCATTTCAAAACCTCACCCCAGTATTTGCAGCAACGGTCCCAAACGCCAGTGATTTTTTTTTTTTATCTCAACCATACCCAACCTTATATGGCTAAACAATACCTCACGAGTAATTTTTTAGTTAATTGAGCTGGTTGTGAAATTTAACAAACACATGGGATGGCTGAGGTGCCCCTGAGGAGAGGTCTGGGAACTGAAGCCATACAGCGAGATATCAGTAACTTTTTGGAGACCAGAAGAAATCCTGTTAGCTTTTATTGTATTGCTGTTAATTAGCAAATGTTCTAATGTTAAATTACATATACACTTACTACCCAGGTAAATAACCGCTTTCTATGATTGCCTAAGTGCTGTATGTTTATATTTCAAACAGCTATTATCATAGGAAATGTGGACTGATTCTTTGTACCGACTTCAGGGTGATTTGCGGGAGGATATACAGATAGATTCAGTGTGATAAGCATAAGCTAATTTTGTGGTTAACTGGTGGGATTAATGGTGACGGGCTGCTTGGTCCCGTGATCTGAACTGCTTCCAGCTCTCGATCTCCAGGTACAGGGCGCCGCCGGGGCAGGACGTGTTGACGAGCTGCCGGTGGCCGTGCCAGGTGAAGTTGCCGGTGAGCCAGCCGGCCATCACGCCGCAGCTCGCCAGGGACTCCCGCACCAGCTCCAGGGAGCGCCGGGCCGGCAGAGTGGCGGTGTAGTCGCCGACAAAGGCGATGCCGTAGCCCCGCGTGTTGTGGCCCCTGGTGTGGGCCCCCCGCCACTGCCAGCCTCGGCCCTCGTAGATATAGCCGTCTGAGCCCGCCACGAAGCTGAGGGGATAGTCCGCATAAGGGAGAGACAGCGGCACTTTATCAGGGCAGCTGAAAGGTGATTGGCTCCCGGAGTGGCCCCTCCCCTGTCACTCACCGATGATTCAAATCAAATCATTGGCTAATGACAAGATTGACTCCTCAGTATGAATTTTGACCTTGTTTATGGCCCTGACCTTTAAAAAAATCCTAGAATTGGCCCTGAATAGATTTTGGAGAAGCAAGCTCAAGATAAAGATAGATGCTCTGCTGTTAGAGTTTCTGTATATGCTTATCCATCCATCTAACCATCTACATTACAACTGCTTATCCTGGTTTATCTGGAAGAACTTTTTGGTCCATGCCGCTTGCCGTACCTGTAGCCGATATCATCCCAGCGGCGGACGTCCTGGTGGAAGCGTTGCATGGCTCTCATGTCGGCGGTGCACTGCCGGAAGGAGAGGCACGGCTGCCTGGGCGTGTGGGTGTGGTGGATGTACATGAATGCCAGGGGGAGGCTCAGTTGTGTGGGGGAGCCGCGGTAAGGCCGGGCCCCCCACTGACACCGGGGGATGATGACCGGACACTCTGCCGGGGAGAGAAGCTCAGGGGGGTGGTCACACTCTCCTGTGTTTGTACTGACTCTCATTGCACTGAAACTTCACCCCTTACAAATCCCTCTGTGTCTCCACAGATCCCATATACGGCTGCTATGACTCCCGAACTACATATAACCCCATATAGGTTGTACTCTGCCCATTTGCTGTGATTTCACTCACCTAGGTACCTGTGGACAAACTTCTGCACCCCCCCTTTGACCACGTCCTCCAGTGCCGCTGCCTGCCCCGTGTCCTCGGCTTCGCCGAGCCTCTGGAGAGTGGCCAGGGATCCCAGAACCAGCTCCTGCAGGACAGAGCCGTTGACCAGCCGCCTGAAGTTGTCCCTGCGCTGGAAACTAATGAGGTGTGGGCCCTCCGGGGGCCCCCCGGGGTGCAGCCCGTAGTAGTCCCTCAACACCGTGCTCAGCTGTAGGGCATGCAGAGGATGAGTGGACAGATACTTGCCCAGTAACACTCCGTCCATTCCCCCATTGACGAGGGCATCGGTGGCCAGAGAGGGGGGCCCAGAGAGAGTGAACACTCTGGGAAAGGTCACGTTGTCCCAGCAGCCGTCCGGGCCCAGGATTTGGGAGTCTTGGGAGTGCAGGAAGGATAGACCTAGATTCCTGGCTATGGTGAGGGAGTAGAGCCCTGAGACTGACTCTCCAGCCCCAGCCACAAGCCCAGCTTCGATGCCCAGAAGCAGGGAGCCGAGGGCCACTGTGGTTCCATCACTGCCAAGGACCACCCCCTCCTCCCTGGCCTGGCCCACTATCCTATGGCGAACCATGAGGTGGATGAATTCAGAGAGTGTAGGATCCCACATGGGGGCTTCGTTCTCGCCACTCGGGAACGGGTCGGGATCTCCAAGAAAGTGCTCCACAAAGGCATCACCTTCATAGGCCACCCCCCGCAAGCTCCGTACCACGGTCAGCGGTGAGGGACCGAGGCCCCTGCCTTCAATCCTCTGCACGACTTTGATGAAACTCTCCATACTTAAGGGCAGATCTGCGAGGACGTCAGAAGAGCAGCCACGTGATGCTCAAGCTAAAGTATCTGACATTCATTCCTTTGTGGTGGCTAATTTAAGGAGTATAAAGAACACAGTTGAGGTTTGAAATCCTGACATTCACATGAAAGGCTAGCACGTAGCAGAGGGATAAAGGCTGGAACAAACCAAGTCGATTTTCAGCTGTTGGGGAATCAGTGAGACCAGTACAGTCGGACACGGTTAGTCACAGTTTGCACTTGCGAAACTGAGCTCACTGATTGGGCAGAATGTTAACCATCACCTCTAAGTGTACCGCCATGTTCCAGTGCAAATTTTCACAATCGACAGGAGCTGACCGCTCGTTGGTCTTGGTCAGCACTAGTGTTTTGCCCTCAGCTTGGTGTGTACCCAGCTTTGTGGCCAGCTTAATGACATTGGTCAGTGTTAGTGAAGGTGCTCATCTGTTAGGATGAGCAGAAATGTCTTTACCGTTGCCATGGACACTCGACCACAGAGCTGCCAGCGCCAAGAGGTGTCGAGCCCCGGATCCCATCGTGGACGTCGGCGCGCTGTGTGAACACGACCTAGAAGTGCCCACAAATCTCCCGCATACGGTGACCCGCAAAAATATGATCCTTTGTTGTGTATCTTTGACAAGTCGAACTTTGCATTGGAGGTGCAGGGCAAACTGATCCCCGCATGCTCACAGATGCGAGTGAGCGTGTGCGTCTGTCCAAAGTCTCCTTCTTGACGTCATTTTGACCTCCACACTATTGATCTTAATGCACAGGCGCAGAGTAAGTGGAGGGTAGGAGGGGGCGGGACACATCCAATACTTTCATTTATTTATTTTAAATGTGTGCCCTACAGTACCACATGCAGGATTAGATCCAACAGGTAATGTAATGGCTCAGTGGTTAACACTATAAACTAGTGGGATTTACTCCAGTTTCTGCCCTATGCTTGCTGGGATAGGCTCCAGGCACACCGCCACCCCCTACTGGATGGGTTGTTATAGAACAGGGATGGGCAATCTTATCCGTAAAGGGCTGGTGTGTATGCAGGTTTTTGGGATAACCTGTAGGTCAGCTGTTCAAACCCAGGTGTGAGGACTCTTCAGCCAATCAGTCCTCTAATTAGTAATCTAATTAGGGAGTTGCAGCGAAAACCCGCATACACACCGGCCCTTTGTGGATAAGATTGCCCACCCCTGTTATAGAACATGGGTATTACATAAACATATAGGTTATGGTGTTTCTTCATAATTAGGCTTTACAATAAAGCAGCACTGAGAAATATGGATGGAAGTCTGGTCATTTTCACTAAACCAACAGATTTAGGCTCAGCAGCACAATGTCGGAAAGGGGTGGTTGGCAATTTATTATGTTGCAAAATATTTTGTCACATGAGCAAATCAGTAAGGTGGGACTTAAATGTTACACAACACTCCATGCTTTGTGAAATCTAAATTCAGGAAAGCGGCCGACCCGATGGCAGAGAGGGCAGCATGCGTGACTTTTCTGTTCACCTCGTATCACTCTTAACGTGCTGTCAGTGTCAGACAAGCACTTTCTATTGAGATAGCACCTCTCCCTGACTGAAAAACCGCGGTGTGTCACGAGCTGGGTAATGAGGCTAAACCACACAGGGGCGTCGAGGCATAGTAGAATAGCATAGCGCACCCTGAGGCCTACTGAGCTGCACCCAATCAGTGAGACTAGAGACTGCGGACGAGGGCGGCATGTGATGTCACATGACCTGGTCACATGACCATCGAGGAAGCGCGGCTTGAATGTCTTGCGTTCATCCCTAAACTCCGGCTGCGATCCGACGCGGTCTGCTTTTAGATGGTCTGCTCGCTAACCCATGGATCGCCCAGGGGGGAAATAAGTCAGCTGAGCGGAACTTATATTTTTATGCGCGTTTTAATGGTTACAGCGTTTTATTTTTTAATTTATTTGTGCATTGTACGAGCTGTGGACAAGGTGCTGCGCAGCAGGACATTGCGTGATCCAGTCACTCCTGAGCCGAAGCCCCCAGGCTCCTGACTCTCCTCCCTGGAATTCAGCACAGTTCCGGCCCTCAGTCCATCCCTGTGACTCAAGCGCCGGAGCTCAAAGGACTGTTTAGAAGACCACACCTGTTCCGTCTACAAAAAAAACTACACCAGTCATTCCCCAAAGGACTATCTGGTGTGGTCTCTACAGGGTGGAGAGTCTGTTCACAACATCCTAAATCCATCCCTACAGGCAATAACACATAAACAGACAGCTGCCAGTCATGTGGTTTCTGTCAATACAGAGAAGAGAGACTGACACCTGACATCACAGGCTACCAAGGTAAGCAGTGTTACTGTAAATGGCAGAGGATGAAACCGAGGTATATGAATGTTTTTTAATTTAACTTAAACATAACTTTGACTCAAACTCAACCAAATACACAGGTAATTATAATCAACCAGTCAAAACACTGAAATCAGAGGTGGAACTTAAGAATTTTTCCTAGTAGCCAACTGACCTAGTTCAGTTAAAAAATGCAGTCTGACATTTTGTTTGTTTTTTTGTTACTAGCCAGCAGGCTGCGTAGTACTCAGTTTTTATTCTCTCATTTTGTATAAATTACTTGCCTAAGGCAAGTGGGCGAGCTTAATTTCCAGCTCTATCTGTAATATTTTCACATTTTGAATAGCATAATGAGATGGAATAAAATTAAATAATAACAGGAAGTTGACTCAGAGCTAAAACGCTGACGCAGGTTGAAACAGGTGTGAGTGACAAAATATTGCCCCCAAATGGCAAAAGGCAGGGAACAACCCTGGACGGGGGGCCAGCCCTTCGCAGGGCACAATCACACACCATTCACTCACACACGCACACCTACAGGCAATTTGGTGACTCCAATTAACCTCAGCATGTTTTTGGACTGTGGGTGGAAAATCGGAGTACCTGGAGGAAACCCACGACGACACAGTGACAACACGCAAACTGCACACACATGGAGCCAGAGCAGAGACTCAAACACTAGCGCCAGAGATGTGAGGCGACAGTGCTAACCGCTGCGTGACCGTGTCCCTCCACATCCACCCATTTTCTGAATCTGCTTGTCCTATGCCGGGTCGCGGGGGTCAGGAGCCTATCCTGGACGCTATGTTTTCTAAAACAGTTTTATTATCATATTAAAAATACTTAATCTATTTAGTACTAAGGACTTCAACAGAAACATGTGCTGTATCGAAAAAGTTCAAATTAATTTTTAAGCACATTAATATTTAATCCCACATCTTAGGTTCAATTCAAATTTAAGGTTCTTTAAATACAGTAATGCTTTATGACCCAAACAACATGGAGTGGCTAATGCAATCTCCTGTATTATGTCTCTGAGATACAGGCAGCTCTATCTGAGCTTAATCACACCTACATCCTCTTTTTATTGATGTCCAAGTGCCCCGTCTTCCCACTGTGCCACAACAGAGAAGCACGCAAGAGATTAGCCAGCACTGTTTATAGTTGTTTTATAATAACTAGATAAAGTACTACACAAATAACTATTTTTTCCTCGGATAATATCTTAGTATCCACAATCTGACAATATGCAGGAATAACAGTAAGATGGCTGTGCTCTACTGCCTATGGACAAACAAATCATGCACATACTGCATGTAGACTGTAGGCATATTGGCATGTTAGGTTAGGATAGGATAGTAATAATACAAGATAGCACACATACTTTATTGTCACCATATGGAAACTTTTTTTCAGTTAATAGGACATGTCAGATGTTGGCATGACAATACAAGCAGGGTAAACACATAAGACATTTTGACCCTTAAAACGCTACATACACAATATAATATTGTACTTCCTGAAAACCAAAATGCAGACTAAAAGAACAGACTTCAGCAACAATCCCATCATAGACACATAGTCCCCAATATCCCAGTATTGCACAGGGGCCTTCAATATTTAAAAAAATGTTATTGTTCTGGCCTGCTGAACAGAACCAGTAAAACAATCAAGACCTGTCTTATTTCTAGAAAAGACCTACAGCCTTAAGGTAACAACTCAAAGGCAATTAAACGTGGGTGCCTTAGCTTCTGGGTGAATTCTCTCTGTTTTGTTCAGAGATCCGGATCAGTAAATGTCTTCTAGACTACTCAGATCAACGCCTAGCAGTTTCCTGGTGGTAATTTCCCTAAGGGTATGCTTTTGTGCTTGATGCCTTGCTGAACCAACATGTGAAGCAAAGGATTAAAATACTAAAACGAAGTACTAGACACAGTACTAGACAAATGAAACCACAAGTACTAAAGTACTAAGTACTATACAGGTTAAATGTTTTTAATGCAATAATAAAACTGTTTTAGAAAACATTGGTTTCATGAAAGCCTCACGATTCTGTTCAGCTAAACTTCGCCAAGCCAAGTACTTAAAGTAAGGATGTACGGATCAATACTGAAATATCGATTCTTTCGATAGTGAATGTTTCATTGCTAGAATCGATTCTAACGTTAATATATTGTTTTTTAACCTGGCAACTTAAATGTTTATATTATTATACAGAGCAGGGCGTGAGCTACTACCAGGAAGGGCCGCCCATAACGTGGTAGAAAACATATATCGGTGTCAGTATTACCAATACCAACACTGGTGTTGGATTAATTGAAAGATAATCGCATGAGCGTGACTGGTTACATCCGAACACGCTACTTCGCGTCAGAACGCTGTTCATCCCGCAGTTTGACGTGGCGCACAGCACCACCTAGTGGGCTGAACGCGACACCTCAGCCACGTAAAACCCTACTCAGCCAAAAGAACACGCTGGTGAATTAAATGTATAATGTCGTATTGCATATATTACTACTCCTTCAAAGACAAAGTCCAAAAAAATAAACCTATTTATAATGACGACATGAAAGGTCATCAAACTCTTCTACGTAATACATTTACTAGAGTATACAAAGGTCAAGAAATCCAGTTATGCGTCTCCACAGACCGCGCTGTGTAACAGCCTATACAAAGGTCACACAATCCAATTATGCTTCTCCAGAGGACAACCACGGCCGCTCTTCTGAAACTCAACTACGGAGACCGAACTGCAAGCGGAGTTAAATGATAGTGACGCTGCGGACGAGGGCGGCATGTGATGTCACATGACCTGGTCACATGACCATCGAGGAAGCGCGGCTTGAATGTCTTGCGTTCATCCCTAAACTCCGGCTGCGATCCGACGCGGTCTGCTTTTAGATGGTCTGCTCGCTAACCCATGGATCGCCCAGGGGGGAAATAAGTCAGCTGAGCGGAACTTATATTTTTATGCGCGTTTTAATGGTTACAGCGTTTTATTTTTTAATTTATTTGTGCATTGTACGAGCTCGTAATGGCTGCTTCTGTTTTTAATAACTGCAACCACGACTGCGCTGGTAAGTCTACTGCATTTTGTAACAACAGCAATACTTTTTTCCCCCATTCTTTTTGACAATAACAATCCGTAAAGCTTAAGTCCTGAGGAAAATCTATAGGTTAGCAACTTGGTGTCGAATTTTATTGCAATGATAGAACCGTAATACAGCGACACGCGAAATTATTTATTGTACTAAACAGTGAAAATAAAACCGTTTCCACTGTATTTTCATCGTCTGTCAGTTACATTGTGTCAGATTTGCTACCCGCTAAAATATTTAATAACCTAAGTAAATAACAGTTGAACATCATTGAAGCCTATCTGCAGAGTTATTAATCAATACTAAAATACTTATGGACTTCCGGCTGTCTTTATCTGTTTATCACTCTTTCTAACTGTGAAGCTGTCTGTTGTACTTCTAGTTTTCTTGGCTCCGAGGGTAATGCGTCACTATGGGAGTGTAGCAGACACTCCTGGCAGAGCTGAGGAGTGACACCACAGCAGTGGCCCACAGTGAGTGAGGAGCATTCGTCTGTGGTAGATGGAAATGAGGATTACTGTAGGCTGGCGATGTTGACGGTAGAGCTTGGAGGTGATTCTCCCTGTTTGCGTCATTTTCTGTGAACCGAAACATTCGTACATGTATGTTTTGTTGTGGTGCGATCCTTATGTGGTCCCGTTCAGAGGCTGCCTTAAATGCTTAAATTTCAGATGGAGAAACTTAGTCTTTTGTTCTGCCTTTGTCCCCTAACCCCTCCTCCGCTGGCGCTCCTTCCCCGCCCGGCACCGTTCCCTCCTGAGCCCCAGCACCTGAGCAGAGTGGCTGAAATAACGCGGTTGCCGGGCAACCTTCCCGCAGCTGCGTCTTTGCGGTTGTTTGGATCCCACTGTAATTACGCGTGACCGCTGGAAGCTATGCTCTGTCTCTCATTGACTGCATGGCGGTGATGCCAAAACACCTCAGCTCTGATTCTAGTCCAGGCTTGTCAGTATAGGATTAACCATGGTTCTGTTTTGTGTGTGGCCTGGTGCAGATTGATCCTACGAACATCTGTTCATCCAACTTCCCTGGCCGTTGATCCGGTGACCTATCATGGTCACGCTCGCAGACTTGGTCTTCGGCCATCAATGTGTGTGGCACAACTGAGGCGACAGACTGGAAGGGCTGGATTCTTTGCTGTCTCCTCTAGATTTGATTGTGTGCGATCTGGTCAGTCAGAGTAACAAAAGCCCTTATCGGCTGTTGTTTTATTTGGCCCGATCCTGGCCCCCGTCCAGACACGCGACACATTCCATCACAGCAGATCATTTTTTCTCTGAATTCCATCCCTTGTGGTGGCAAGGCATGCGTGAATGTCTGTGTCAGGGCTGCGATTGACACACACTGCTTTTTTTTTGGGGGGGGGGTCAGTATGTAAATACTGGTGGTGACAAAGGGGTGGCTGGGGTGAAGTCATTATAGAGGCTTAGATACACCTTTGACCAATTCCCTTAAGTTCCACTGTTCATTCAGAGCTCTGGTTTACTGAAAGATACAGTTTTTGGTGCCAGAATCAGTGTAAATCCTGCGTTCACAGTATGTGCTCATTTATATTAATGTGACTTACACAGCTTATGAATGCCAGACTTGTGGGTTACAGGCATAATAAACTGCTCCAGCAGACTCATTTGGATAAAAGGTGCCTTAATACAGGCGTGATGACTTTGTGCTGTTTCTATGGTGTCAGAGTCGGTAGCGATTGTGCATTACGGCCGAACAACATTTTGTTGTTTTCAGCAGTTCAGTAGGATACTGGGGGCTTGTTGTGACTTTAATGCCGGGGAAAGCAGGTGAAGAAGTGACATAAATGAAAGTAGGGCTTCATTACATTGTAGACAAGATGCAAGGCACAAGGAGAACAGTAAAATATGTGATTGATATTAACCAAGAGTTAATAACTCAGATTAGTGATCAGTTAAAACGATGCTTTGAGCTGCTGTCGTCTGTCTTGAAGTGACCATTACAATGAATAATGAGGACAAAGTGCAAAGGGAATAACTTCAGGTCTGCCAAGGGGGCTGGGATTTACGACCCAATCGGGCAGGTGGGGGCAGATGAATTTCCCAGCAATCTAGCTCATGTTGCCGTCTTGTGGTATAACCCCTGAGCACCTTCTGAATGCTAAGAGGCGCCGGCCTTCGATCAGCCTGAGGTACACGAGTGTCCCCAGTCCCCATCGTATGGACCGCGGGTACGTGCACAGATAAAGCTGTCGCGGTTAGTGGGGCTCGTACCTGCGCATCCTGGAGAGTCAGCCCTGATGGAGAAGTTCCTAACGGACATGCCTGCTCTCTTGGGACCGCAGCTGTCGACTTTATCGGTGGGTCTTGAGCTTCCCCCACTCTCATATGTACGCTGACGAAACCAAGTATAAACACCAGAAGAGGAGCGTTCCCAGTTCCTCTTTGGTAGTTTTTGATATTCGTACAGGGAAGTTCTTTCTAGTTCAGGGGGGTGCTAACACTCAGCCGGATTGGATCAGGCTGGGTGATGCAATTTTGGGCAGAACGGCGCACAGAGACGCGTAACACAGCAGTGAGGCGACGGAAGCGGAGCTTTGTTTGGGAAAGGAACTGAGACTGGTTTAACTGGAGTGGGGGGGATGCAAAACATGGCACTGATACAGGGAAATGCATGATAGATAAAAAAAAAAAAAAGGAGTGGCATTTTGGGGGGGGGGGGCGGAACCACAGAGGTGCACTGGGATGGGCCTCCGGTTTGGGGGTGCTTAATGGGTACAGCTGCGGTGTTTCTCAAACCAGTTCTTGGGACCACCAGGTGGTCTATGTTTTTGCTCCCTCCCAGTTCTCTGAGAGGTGGGAGGGAGCAAAAATGTGGACCGTCTAGGGGGTCCCTAAGGACTGGGCATAGGGCACAGGCAAATCGAGCGGGAGTCCCAGTCAAATGACCGCCTGCACAGACAGCTGCCGTGGAATGTAGATGTAGCTGTGGTTGCTTGATGAGTAGGGTTCCAAAAACCTCAGTTAAACACTCACTCAGCCCTGTGTCTCCCTCCACCTGCCAGAGAGGGAGAGGCTGTTGACGTCGGTGACGGCTTATGGCTCCGGTGACCTCAGCGACACGAGTGCGGGCAGCTCCGGGCCGCCGCCGGCGCTGGAAAGGGAGGAGGAGGACCTCCGCCGGAAGCTCAAGTACTTTTTCATGAGCCCATGTGACAAATTCCACGCCAAGGGCCGCAAGCCGGTGAAGCTGGGCTTGCAGCTGCTGAAGATCATCGTGGTCACAGTGCAGGTAACCGGCCGCACGCACAGACATCCGCGCCACTAGGGGGCCTCGCGGCCGTCGAGCCACACCTGCTCTCAAATTATCCCATATCCCACTTAGCTTTACATTCCTTAAGTTATACTAGCCTGAATGTTAATGCATCTTAAATCCGATGTTAATAAAAGTTGTGATTATGCTGATAAAGATGAAGGGATTATTATTTTTGCATAATTGCATAGGGAACGATCCACCACCCATAATACTTCAGTTATAAAGACCACGCTAAGGTCACCTTCATCAACCGACCTTTTTATAAACCTGAAGGTCTGGTAGGTCTGTGGTTTGACGTCATCCTGCTGGCCCCTCTAAAGCCACTTCCATATAATCTGCTGCTGCCGTTTTCTCAGAAACACTTTTTATCCTAATCGCCAAGCTTTAGATAGTTTTTCCTGGATTTGAAGGTAAAGTATATAATCCCATGGTATTGCCTTCAGCATGTGAGCTTGTGTCCTTTACCCCTATTCTGCCTGCTGCCCCGCCATGTTTCTGCTGTTGTGTCATGCTGTGTTTTCCACAAAAACATTTTAAAAATGTCACCCGTGTACCTTGACCGAAGAGGCACGCGGAGATCCCGTCTTCGAATTGAGCTCCCAGCTCGAGCGATGAGGGTAAAGGAGGCCACTTCATAATTTCCGACCCACGTGTCACATTTTATGCTCTTGTCACTAGACCAACAACCTTTGGACGTCTTCGCGCTGTTCCAACTTGCCTTTGAGTTCACGGTGGGAATTTAGCGTCGAAACCCAGTCGCGTGCAACGCGGGGAGGCCGCAGGCGAGCGCTGAGCTGTTTCGCCTCGGCGTCATGCTCTGACCCCCCCGTGCCCATAGCGGCGTGTCGCACACATGCGTCGCCGTAACCGTCTCGCTCTTCCCGCCCCACGTTCTCCTAGCTGGTGCTGTTCGGACTCAGCAACCAGATGGTGGTCACGTTCAAGGAGGAAAACACCATCTCCTTCAAGCACCTCTTCCTGAAGGACTACAGCGAGGACTCCGACGAGTCGCTGGCCGTCTACACCCAGACCGACGTCTACAGCCACATGTTCTACGCTATCGAGCAGGTATTCCACCAGCGCAGAACCATTTCAGGCGCTGCGGGAACTTCGAACATGGGCCATAAACATTACTGCTCAATCTTTACCCTAAGTTCTGGATGTTGAGTATTCTTTTTTTATAAACTCTCCCACTGTATTTATTTCACATCTTTCATCTCCTTTTTGTATTCCTCCACCTATCCTCTGTTATCTCTGGTTTCTGGCCCCTGCGTGGTTCTCATCTCTCCCCCCTTGTTACCCCCCCAGTACCTGGCACTGCCGGAGACCACTGTGGGCCGCTATGCGTACGTATTCAACAAGGAAGTGAACGGAAGCGCCCTTTCCCTGTGTCAGCAGTACTACAAGAAGGGCCACATCGACCCAGCCAACGACACGTTCAGCATCGACCCCCATATCATCACAGGTAACCCCCCCCCCCACACACACAGCTCATTCTCAAAATATCTCAAGCATTTACAACACTGGTGCCCAGCAGCAGTTCTCTGGATCAGTTCCCCTTTTCAGACATATGGACCTTTATCTGCCAACACTGGACATAAAGCAGTACTTTTAAGTGAGTATCCAGTGAGTATTTTTCTCTTTATTTATTTGCCTTCTCCTCCCGCCCCCCCCCTAGACTGTATAGGAATCACCCCCATGTCCAGGCCACTGGCCGAAGTGAGAGCCGACTACAGGAACTTCACACTCAAGTTTCACAAGTATGTCACACAGCGGGGGGGGGGGGGCTCCTCTCTCCACCTATCAGTATCGCGTCTGATAGCAGCTATCTGACCCCCCCCACCTGAATGTGCCATGCCCCCCCACTCCTCCCTCCAGGCTGATCAACGTGACCATCCAGTTTCAGCTGAAGGCCATCAACATCCAGACCATCATTAACAACCAGATCCCAGACTGCTACACCTTCTTCATCACCGTGCGTGCCCCCTCCCTGCTGGTGACCTGCCGTCACCCGGGGCCGTGCTTTTCTTTCCGTTTATTTGTTTTTTACCTGCTGGGCATATCTATGATAGCCGCAGAATAACCCGACCGATTTCATCGCAATGGAAGATAACGGCATGTATAGGAATAGCACACACACACACACACACACACGCACACGCCAAACACTTCCCCAGTCATTCTTTCATAATAACATTCCCACATTCCGACTGGTGATTTTAATCTTTGTCTCCCTGTCAGTTCAGTTCCGGGGGGGGGGTCGTTGTGTTTTGTTTTTTTTTTGTGATGTCATGACTGGTTTCTTTTGTAATGTTGTTGCGCTTCCAGATCACCCTAGATAACAAGGCCCACAGTGGCAAAGTGAAGATCAGCCTGGACAACCAGGCTTCCATCCACGAGTGCAAGTCACCCAGCGTGTCTGGGCATGGTGAGGGAGAAAGGGGGCCGTGAGAAGGGGGGGGGGGGGGGTTGCGGCTGCAGCTTGGTGTAAAATCACATGGTCGATGCAAACATCTTCAGTAACTTTTTTGCCTTTCTCCATCCCATTTTCCCATCATGCCTTGCTGAACATCATACAATGCCGCCCCCCCTGCCGCCCCCCCTGCCGCCCCCTCTGCCGCCCCTTACTCCAGCGGAGACCCACAGTCGGCTGGCGTTCGACCTGTTTGTGGCACTGGTGTGTGTGCTGTCCCTGCTGCTGTGTAGCCGCTCCATCATCAGAGGGATCCTTCTGCAACAGGCAGGGAACCGGGGGTGGGGTAAAGGGGGAGGGGGGTAAAAGGGGAGGGGTAAGAGCAAGGGGGGGGGGGCTATGAAGTTGTCAAAGCAGGCTTAGGGTTTGCATTCAAAATTGTTCTGTCTCTATGGTGCCCTTCAGAAACATTGGGAAATGTGTGTAATTTCTTGGGGGGAGGGGGCAGCATGTTTGTCAACGTGGTTTTCCCACATTGTGAAATACCCCCCCCCCACCTCACCCTGTATAACTTATGACTCATGCCTTCCTATAAATGTCATTTTGTGGAATGATCTTCTCACCAAACGGCACTTCTCGGACGTACCCATACCCGCATAATAACCCCTGCTGATCGGCTCACTCTTTCCTGGGGGGGGGAGTAAAGCATAAACGCGGGGAGCAGAGAATGCTCAGAGCTGTGATTATTCACATTATTCACTGACATTTTCTCTAGGGCTCAGTAAAGCCAGTTTTCCAAACCTCATGTTTAACAACAACACTACCTCTCTGGTAACTGGTTCAGGACTAGAAAAGTGGCCATTAGTGTCTACAATTAAACGCCTGTTAAAGTCTCTTCAAACTATGCAAAACGCTTCACAGATTAAATGTAAAATCTGTTACTGCAGGGAGGGGGTATATGATACTGGGTGCAACTAACTGTACTCACAGACAAAATGCAGTTTATAGCAGGGTTTCTCAACCCGGTCCTCGGGGACCACCAGACGGTCCATGTTTTTGCTCTCTCCCAATTCCCTGCCAATTGGGAGAGAGCAAAAACGTGGACCGTCTGGTGGTCCCCGAGGACCGGGTTGAGAAACCTTGGTTTATAGCACATGCACCATCCGCCTGTGTGTGGGTTTGTCTGTGTTGACGTGCCGGTGAACTTTAGTTCGGTTATTCAGTTGCCTGCTTATGCAAGTCAGCAGTTCGGGGGGGATTCCTGTTCAGCAAAAAGCTGACTGCTGTTTATCAGATGCGCAGTGGTGGGGAAGGGTTTAAAATTATATGCAGTCTACATACCAGTCCCGATTTGAGTTTTCTGCAACAGCATGTTTTGTTTTGTTTTTTGAGCGCGGCCATATTGTAATGCACATGTTTACAGAGATCAGTGACGAAGAGACCGTCCTGCAGAGTCAGCGATGCGTGCTCTCACGTCGTCACTGAATGCGAGAGGAAAGCAGGGATGCCTGGGGGGGGGGGACAAGCGCTGAAATGCAATTGGCAGCCTTCATGAACACATGGCTCACAGATATGTGACTCAGTTTAGAAAACAGAAGCAGCCAGATTTAGTGTAAATCTGGCTCCCTGGCAGTTTTCTGGAGCTTCTCATTTGTGGTGCTACAGTCCCATTTAGGCTAATTAACAGAAGAAAGTTCTCATGCTTTTCTGTGTGCTGAGCCACGCGTGAACCTGTCCCTCTCGCCCTCCGCAGGAGTTCGTGCACTTCTTCAAAGTCAACCTCAGCCGCGGCGTGTGCTGGTCCGACAGGATGGAGTTCATCAACGGCTGGTACATCCTCCTCATCGTCAGCGACGTCCTCACCATCACCGGCAGCTTCATAAAGATCGGCATCGACGCTAAGGTCTGTGTCACCGGGGGCCGGATTCTGCAGGGGAGTCCCAATGTCGCGTGACGTCCCTTCCTGACGGCGCCGTTTCTTCCCCAAAGACCATATCGGCTTATGACGTGTGTGGAATCCTGCTGGGCACCTCCACCCTGCTGGTGTGGGTGGGAGTCATCCGCTACCTCACCTTCTTCCAGAAATATAACGTGAGTAACATACACAGACATCCGTCTGAAACACCTTTGCACTTCTGCTGCCCACAATTTGAACCGGAGGAGCGATTCTTACTGAAAGATCTCGCGTGTTCTTCCCCAGATCCTGATCGTGACGCTGCGCGCTGCCTTCCCCAATGTCATCCGCTTCTGCTGCTGTGTGGCTGTCATCTACCTGGGTTACTGTTTCTGTGGCTGGATCGTCCTGGGGCCCTACCACGTCAAGGTAGGCGAGGCCCCCTGCAGGCCTACGGGATACACTGCACCTGACACTGGGACATAACAGAGGCTCTGCACCCTTGAGCAGGGGTCTCACACTCGACTCAGGGGGTTAGCCTCAGTTGGGCCACTTGAGTTTTTTTTGTAGCTGAAACGAAAAAAATATATACGTATAATCGGCTAAACCTCTGGCGATGGTAAATTTTTCGAGTTTAGTGCTGCTAATTAGCGGAATAATGTTACACTGTTAAATTCTTTGTGTGTCAGTCGACAGACAGGAAATTATGAGACCCCTGCTCTTTAGAGCTCTCAGTCCAAGAGTAATGCTGCGTTCCACTTACCTCGGAGGTCAGAACTCTGAACTGGAAATGATGTCACACATGAGTTAACAGTGTTCCAGTACTCAAAGTTGGAAAGCCATTTATCAGTACCAGGGAGCAGGATTTCTTGCTTACCTGGATAACTTGTCGGATTTAATCTACCCCAGTTTAAATGGCCTTTATCTCTGTTCATTTACATTTAGCCCAGACTACTTTAAATCCGATAAGATGTCTGCTTAAGCAAGAAGTCCTGCTTAATGAAACTGGTCCCAGTTCTATCCCAGGTGATTGTTAGCTATTGTTAGCAATATCAGTGGATAACAACATATTATGCAGTATTTTGCGTAGCAACAAGTCCACAGATAGCGGCTAGACAGCACTGTGTGTACAATCGATTTAATGAGCCACAAATAAGATGAAAGTTCTAATAAACTGCATAAAACTACAGCTTTAACTTCGGTTGATGAAGGGCGCAGCCATCTTCAATTCTGAGCTCAGGGTTGTGTCCGTTCCTTTGAGTTCACGAGTTGGAATTCCGACTTCAGAGGGCGCTCCAGTTGAAATTTCCGACTATGAACTCGGAATTTACGAGTTCAAATAGAGCGCAGCATTAGTTACATTTACAGCATTTAGCAGACACTCTTTTCCAGAGCGACTTACAACAGTGCTTTTGTAGTCCATGACTGTTCTTCGATCTATAAAGACCTAAAATCAACAACTGTCATTAAAACCAAGTTACCACTAAGTACAGTTCTCTGGGAAATGAGCTCAAAATAACCTGAAAGAACAGAGGCCAATCAATCAACTTCTCGGTGCATTTCAGTAACCAACTTTAGTGGCTGCAATGATGTCTGGTGAGTGAAGGATGACTGGACCTTCGTCTGGTACTAATATCCATCCTCTCCACAGTTCCGCTCGCTCTCCATGGTTTCCGAGTGCCTGTTCTCGCTGATCAACGGCGACGACATGTTCGTGACCTTCGCTGAGATGCAGGACAGCAGCACGCTGGTGTGGGTCTTCAGCCAGGTCTACCTCTATACCTTCATCTCCCTCTTCATCTACATGGTGCTGTCGCTTTTCATCGCGCTCATCACCGGGGCCTACGAAACCATTAAGGTACGGCGCCGGGAGTGGACTGGAAGTGGAATAATGAGAGTCAAGAACCAAACGTGGAACCATGAAGGCAAAATGTTGTTGTGCTCAAGCCTTTGTTTGGGACGTAAGAGGTCTTTGAAGGCTCAGCAGCATGTTTACATACTTCAGAAGCTCATCTAAGTCTCTAAATAATGGCGTGTTTTGAATACAGTCACGCATGAATATGATGCAGGAAATGGCATTGAGGTTGAATTGTAATCCAGCAAATTCTGGTTCAAGTAGCAGGTCATTGCTCCATTGAGTAATCTTGAACTGAAACTGTAGGTTGCTTGGTTAGAAAATGTCACTCGCAACTAGATATAAACAAGCTGTGAACCTGATCCAATTGCAGCTAAATTATTGTAATATACAGGTTGTCAACTTACTACCGCAGTCGGTTCTGATTGGCCGGTCATCAGTCGATTTGGTAGCAAGTCGGCCCTTTATTTTATATGCAAAAATTTTCACATATTTGCGATCCCGGTACGGTCGTAAGGTCAATCAGTCATAAGTCGCATCGATCGTAAGTCGACGTCGACCTGGAAATGTTTGTCACCAGACTGATACTGCAGTATTCAGATAAACCCTTATTAAAACGTCTTCTTTCATAATGATTTAGATAGATAATTAAGGTGAGAGGAATGGAGAGACCATCAATTTTTTTTCTATTCACAGCACCAAACCCAGGAGCCAATACACATCACAGACCTGCATGCCTTCATAGCGGAGTGTACAGACACTCCCACTTCTGGAAAGTTCCGCGGCCTTGACGCCTCCCCCTGCTCATTCTTCTGTTGCTGTGACAGGTGCGAGAAAGATTTGTTTGGGGAGTTGTTAGGTGAGGGCTGCTGGTTTGTGCTTCTTGAATTGTCCAGGTATGGCTGCTTTTCGATGTTATCGCCACTGTCTCGCCATGTTGCTATTAATATAATTGCTCTGTGCTTTCTAGAACCACAACTTATGAAGACGTCCTGTTGGTGAACTAACCCCCTCTTCTGGCAGCACTGGGTTATTACATCCCGATTTTCTTCGGCCGCCTAGCCGGAAGACAAGACAGCAAGCAGTGGGTTTACTTATACATGCCGGTTTGGTTTACCTGCCACCATAGAAGCATCTGGCCAATGAGATGTGACCAATGATCGAGCCGAATGTCACAGAACCACCATATTGTCCCTCATTATTCCTCCAGTCCTTCCCAGCTACATAAAGAAGCTCCCAATTGGCATTTTACAAAACGGTATAAATTTCAAAGCTGCAATAGCACATTTGATACAAATGAATAATTAACCAGTATGGTAACAGTTACGCACAGTAGAATTATTATTCATTTTTTGCTAAGTATTATGACAGGTAGACATACACTGTGTCGGACTGAATCCAAGCTGTCGATGACTGTAACTTATACATTTACAATAGTGTATATTTCCTTCCAACACACCGACCAAGTAGTGCTGGAACTGCGAAGACTGTCGTAGATTTCTGAAAAACGTTCCTTCCTATTCTTATCCAGTCATTTTGTTTTTAAGTGCGTTACCGATTGCTTTCGGACAGGGAAAACGTAATGCGTGTCCTCTGCTGTAGAGATCGGACGTGTCCACGCTGTCCCCCCGCCACCATGTTGCACCAGATGTCCTTGTTTGCAGCTGGTATTAGTTAAATGGGGGAGAAGCAGGAGCTTTTGCTGCCTCTTACTGAGCAGAAAAAAGAAAACACAGGAGCACAATCCATGTGTCTGCTGCCCCCCTGTGGCCTGTTATGGAATTATGATGTTTATATTGTTTTTTTGCAAGCTTCTGCAAGGCAGTCTGTAGGTTCTAGTGGGGATTGGGGTGTGTCAGTAGCTAACAGGCATGTCTGCACAAAGCGGCAGTCCGCCATCTCTCTCCCCAAATGCAGTATTTAATGGGCCAAGCTAATTCACCTGACCTCAATATTTAAATGTGCAGGGGACATTTAGAGTAAACGAAAATGCCTTATTTTTCTGTTTAATTCTCTCTAAATATCAGTTAAGGGGCAGAAATTGGTTGCATTAAATGAATTTGAAGGAGGAGGATTAGTTTGCTAAGAAGCATGATTCGGCACCGAGGAGGAAGATTTGCCGAAGGTTAAATCTGTGATTCCTGTGTTTTCTTGCAGTTCTCTTAAATTTGAGCTATTTATGTATATGAGCAATGATCGAATCAAACGTTTTTAAGTGTCTTATTTATTGTTTTTTATTATTATTATATTTTGAAACAAACGCACAAAACCAGAAGGGCATCCCCCCTGCGGATTAACGCACGGGGGCGGCCTGCTCAGCGTACTGAAAACCCTGTATTGCTTGCACGCTCCAGCCCACACTGGTCGGTAATTCAAGTGCAATAGCCTCCAAGCTCAACAGAGGGCGCTGGCAGACGCTGGTGCAGCTCGGCCAGTCCTGTCATACACTGTCGGGTACAGTTGTGTGGAACCGTTTCTTTTCCTTTTCTGGATAACTGGGACTAACCAGGGTAACATGAATTTTAATTGTAATATATGTAAATATAAATGAGTGCAATGCCTGCTAAAGGAAAAGGATGATTTACCTCAGTTTTAAGTGTGAATCATTTTTATATGTACAGAGAGTGCTGACCGCCGAGGATTCCGGGACGAGGGTGGGGCGGGTGGATTCCTGTTCAGCCTCCTTTTATTATCCTGACTCTCCAATTAAAATGCTGGCAAACCTCTCCCACGTCTGTGTTTCGTGTTTTTGTGGGACATGGTGGGTGGCTTGTTTTCGGGCATCTGGCTGGATCCTTGCGGTTGATGTGGAAGCTTAGTTTGGCGTTCTGGACGTTTTAGGGGTTTTGCTGAAACTGCACATCCAAAAAGTCCCCCGACAAGGCGTAAAGAGATTTTCCCCTAGGGGATTAATAAAGTATCTATTATTTATATTATTGTTGTTATCTATGTTATTCAAGAAAGTGTCCGTGATTTTCAGACTTCATTGTTTATTGCGTTAACAGGTTGTGTATCTTTATACCTGTTTTATTCTACATAGTTATGCATAGTCATGCACTATTTTGCAGTTTCGCTTTAGATGCCAAACTGCATTTCGTTGTCTGACTGCTTGTTTGCGTAATAACACAATTGAATCTAATCTAACCTAACATCTAATCATGTATGAAATTCACCAACCATGAGTTGCAATTACATTCAGTGACCAGCAGATGGAGTAAAAAATAAAAACCTTGAGCGCTTGCTCATTTGCAGTTTTCATTGATGTGTCAGGTGGAAAACTGGGGGAATGAGCAACAATTTATTTATGGCAGGTTTGAAAAGAGTATGATTTTTTTTTTTTTTTTTTAAACTGATTATAAGGTAATGTTTTAATTCAAAAGCCAGCCGAAGTAGTGTGTATGGGCCTATTCTTCCAGACAAAAGACGGTTGATCTCAACTATAGATAAATGAGAAAACAGCCCGTGAAAATACCATAACAGGCATGTCAGCGGGAGGTCAAATGTCATGCAGACTAGCGTTGGAACACCGGGACAAAGTGGAGGAAGAAATATCGATCGACAGTAATTAACTTTAGTGTGACTTGTTTGAGTCAGGTTTGACAGGAACGCTGTGTGGAGGTGCTCCTATCCACCGCCCTTAATACGATTATACATAATTTACAGGAAGGAGCCAGAGGCAAAGGCAATCAAATGAGCCCAGCACGTACCCTGACCGGGCTGATCATGCTCAGGTTTCAGAACAAAGGCGTCCCAGACAAAGCGGACTGCGCTGCTGTGGGTTTCGGAGCAGCCTGCACACGCCGTCAGATAAAAATATCAGCCTATAGCCTATATGGGTCACTGTCTACCTTGGTGCACGCTGAGCTCAAAGTGCAAGATCATTTCACGATTGCACTATAAAGCGTGTGAGCCAAGGTAATGCTTTCGGTGAGCATAACTGCAGTGTACAACTCATAAAATACTAGCAGGTAAAGGCGGAACATTGTATCCCTCCTGTCTGGGCTAACTTTCCTATTTTAATGACGTGGGGCTGTGGTTTGCCTCAGACACGGGTGAATATCGTTGGGTTACGTGATAACCCTTGACTTCTTATGCTCAAACCAGATTAATAATAAATATATATATATAATAACAAAGAAAAAATAAAGGACTGAGAGCTGGCCAGTCCCTTCCTGTCTCTGCTGGCACACCATTTGTCAATAAAATTTCCTCTCATTGTTGCCACTCAGAATTATCATGTTGATGCCAGAACCTGCTGCCACAATGTCACAGACAGCCTGTCGTGTAGTGTTCTCCTTTGTCCGCTGATTTTTTTTAAGAGATTAAAAGAGGCTCTATACAGACCATCTTGTATGCCTTTCAGCAGGAGCGGGGACGAGTTTCGTTACTCAGCCCTGGCAGCTGTTTGATAGGTGAATTCAGATCACGTGCCAGTAACAGCATCCCTAAAGCAACCAACGTCTGAATTAGAGCAGAAAAAAAATATTAGTGTCCCATGTGACCCTCAGCATCGCTCCCTTTGCAGTCCCCCTACTGATTTAATTGTCACCCCCTTTTGTTTCGCTGAAACATTCCAGCAGAACCCCAGGACACCTTCTGGAAGTCCTGCCTGCACCCCTATGACACATTCAGGTCATGGAGCACTGCGTACCCAAATCTCCGGACTCTATACATCTGCTGGAAAAGGGCTGCTGGTTTATGGAAGTTCTCCTGAGGTGAAGGTGGCTGTTTCGGCAATCTAGATGACCCAGGTTAGACGTGGACATAAGAGGAAAAAAACTGGAAATACTGTATCAAGCACTTCCAGTACAAGACAAGGACGATCCCATAGTCTTATAAATGCCATGCCAGACCCCTGCTTTGCAATAGATTGTGCCACTAGTGAAGGAGGTCATTGTGTTGCTGGTTAATCATTGCAGGTCTGAAGATAATTTACAAATCAGGGTGCAGTACTAAAACACTGCTGTAAAATACAGTTGCGGATAAGCCATAGATAATGTACAGTGTTTGCCCCAGACTGCAAACCTGGATAAGGAATCAATACAACTGACTATCAACTGACAATCTGATATTGTCACAATGTAAATGGGAATGAGGGACAATGCAGTCCACGGAGGGAGACAGCACGTGGGTACATGATTCTAAGTAATATTCCTAAAAATGGGAGATTATCTCCCTAAATAGAAATGATAATTTCGCCAGCACACTAAGAATGAGGCCACGTGAATATGCTGCCACCCCAATCTCACCCTTATGTCCCCCCCCCAACCTTACGTTCGCACGCGCAGAACAACGCGCTGATGTGGGTTTTATTGAGTCATCGGGCTCTTTGTCTACTACCCGAATCAGTCTACTCCATCTTTTCATGAACAGCATGGGACAGTAAGGGAAAAAAAATTAAAAACTGAACAATCCTGATCATGAATTGTAAAGTGAAAGAAAATATATGTTCCCCAAAATATACTATCCTCTTTTAACCGTGTAATTGTTAATAAATAGCATGCAAGCAATAAAAACATATATTAACTCTACACTGATTTTCACGCCTTCCGGACTCTTTCGCGGAGTAGTACCATCTTAATGCATAGCCTGCCCACTGAAACTATTCATTAGCTGAAGATTGTGGTTAAGCCTGTTACTGGGAGACATGGGAGCGCTTTTAATATGCTTCGGTCGGGTGGTAGGACATAAGTTTCGGGAGAGGAAGGGTGGTGGCGCAAGTGAAAGGCGGAGGCGGGGTAGCTCGGACAATTACATCACCCTCTTTTAAATAAATCTCGGCCCTCGCTGCGATTGGTGGACGAATGAAGAAATTGGGAGTTTTTTCTGTCTTTCTGTTCTTTCAATCTCATGCCCGCGCCGTGCTGCTCGTCCCCGGGCGCTTCTCGCTGAAACGAGCCGAGTGTCCGGATGAAAGGGCGCAGATCGGCGCTGCGGCGGCTGCTTAAGTATTACTGCGGCTGCTTAAGTATTACTGCGGCGGTCTGACGCCAGAACCGGCCCGGTAAACTCGCTTCTTGGCAGCTTTACATTAAAATAGGGGGGAAAGGGGGATATACATTTCGTCCTTTATTGTTTTTTTTTGGATCATCCTTCGCAAGGGAAAGAAAGCGGTTTCATCCGAGCTTCATTGTAACAGAATCCAAGACGGTAAGGCGATTTTGTGAAAATGCAATTCTGTATGCCATCGACTTAAAATTTAGCCGAAATGATTAGGTCCTCTTGCTTATTTGAGTAGCATGTGTGTTAAGTTGTTATCCAGGCAACAAGCTACAGGTCAGTATTTGATTCTGGGTACCGCTCAGTCAGTATTGCAACGTGGCTGATGCTTGCTGTCCTTCTGGATAAAGGAGCCGCGGGTTTCATGCGTATCGGATAAAAGCAGCTCCGTCATGTCGCTTCATCCCTACGGGGCCCCGTAGCGTCTTTCTGCAGGTACCAAACGGCGTAATGAGAAATAAGGTTCAGGTTTATGCTGAGCTATTGCATGTGTGCACTGTTCCTCCATATCGCTGTAATTACTTAAACTCCTGCCTGAATCATCGGCCAAGTATAGAGGATTTTTATTATTTTTCCAACTACGACGTAATCCTATACTAGCTAACTTTGTTAGCCATTTAGTCCACCGGATGGTTTTGGAGATTTCGAATATGCGTTTGGCATGGCTTTGCGGGGTAGGTACAGGTATCGGGCTCCCCTTTATCAGTACCAGCATGGCCATGTCCTGGGGAGCCGGATAATGGGGCGGTGGCTCCGTCCTGTCCGAGGACACAGCGTTGGAAAACGCCTTTACCCGCTCGAAAGCTTCAGCCATAACTCGCCGGCATCAGTGGAGGTTAAATAACGTGTTGCTTTCCTTTGCACGGCTGCTTTTGATCTTCATTACTTTCGTATGTTTCATCGTGTTGGCGGCTCCCATTGTTCCCGGGAAGGCCCTTGGTAAATAGCGGACTCCATTCCCGGTTGGCTAGATGCATAATTTACTCGCCACAATATTGCATTAAACCTTATATAAAAATGCTATCATGACTTGTTTGGGTCGTATGTTTGAATTCATGTGAATTTTTTTAACAATACATTCTCAGCGACACATTCATTTTTTTTGCCAAACCCTTAAAGCTGTATAGTGATGTGTGTTTTCAGGTGTAATATTGAGCCGGTTATTAAGCTGTCGGTGGGAATCGACATTGAGTGATTTATCGCCTCATATTGTATGGCATGAAAGCGCGTCATGTGTTTCTGTGGAATATTTGGGGATTGATTGCATTGTACTATATATCTAGTTACCACAGTTCGGATACCTAATGTTTATATTTGCGGAGGGTGCAATGGCAAGTCCTTAATGCACGTAAAACCGAACGTGCATCAATAAATCCATGGCAGTCATTTTCGTCCTGCTCTTAGAATGAATGCGGTTTGGCTTATTACTGGGCGACTGTTATTACTGGAATGGCCGGTTTTTACGACGCGGCCGTTAATACCTGTAAGCTTTCCGGGGCAGGTGGAGTTAAGCGGCCCCTGGAGAGAGATCTGCGATCGTCAGGATCTTGCACCTCATGTCTCCAGATCCATAGATTACAATATGTCGTGCCTGGCCATCAACACATCTGTTTACATTCCTGCACGGAGGCATAATGTCGTACACAAAACGGCGGTCTGTGCCTCTTCATGCGCGGCGGCGCGGATGCGGGCGCGGCCGCTGGAAGCTGCTTTCGTCCGCCTATGGTGCCTGGTGTGAGATGCACTTTACAGTCTGGCCAGTGTGTGCATCCGGAATTTTAAATCCCTAAGTCATCTTGTGAATCCCTTACAAGGGAGACTGACTTTTTCGCACTTTTCCATTGGGCACCGCGGGGCTGGGAGTTCGTCATGGAGGTTCTGAAGTCACTTATTTTGGTGGTGGCTGCTGTTGCAGTTGTCCCGATCGTCATCTGCGTGTGACCTTGTTGCTGGCCCTGCTCTTAGGGGGCAGTGGCTGCTGCCTCTTCATCCAATAGACTTAGAAGTGCTTGGAATCTCCTCCCCGCTCTCAGCGGCTGGCTGTGTGCAGAGGCCGCTGTAGATGCGGTGAGCTCATTTTGCCTGTCGGCTGGCGCCTGGTTCTCGGTGCTGCCATAACTACTGTGCTTCTCCATCCGGGTTAATGGCACGTGTGAGATGTTGATTGGCAGTGTTGGGGAAAGTTACTTTTAAATGTAATATATTACAATACTGAGTTACTCCCCCCAAAAAGTAACTAATTGCATTACTTAGTTACTTTTTATGGAAAGTAATGCGTTATATTACTTTTGAGTTACTTTTGCGTTACTTATTTCTTACCTGGCTAAAGCTTTTTGTTGTTCAGGCCTTAGAATTATTATTTCATTTTCTTTTAAAAACACATATATAGAATAATAATATAGAATTATATAATATTCTCAGAACTTTCAGAGCTATGCATGCCATTTAAAAAAATCTCTTAACATTAATTATTGAAAGTTGAAAATGAATGTGTTTAAGTTTTTATTTTTATTTTGGTAGGCTATGGCCTACATAAAGTAAATTCACTGTCCAATGAGATAATAAAGAGTGCAATATAGGCTAGATAATTGCCATTGTGAAATAAGTTATATTAGGGCAAAAGACAGATCTTAAACATTTAAAATGTTTAATAACTTTTTAGAGAACAATGAAATTGTACTACTCAAGTGATCTGAATTCCTTAGTTCAATTTTTATCAGATTATTCAAGTCAGCCTATGTGTTTCTATGATGCTTCAAAAACATTATTTCTCTGTTCACGCTCCACTTCATCTGCCAATGAATTCAACGATCTTATCAGATCTCCAGCCGCCATGTTTCAAACGATCTAAACGTAACGCGCTTCCGCCAATCCCCGCCTTGACGCAATGATTGCCGTAGGGTGGGCGTGGTCAGCTCGGAATGCATTTTCAAAGCAGCACTGAGTGCGTGATTCTACGTGACTACGTTCGTTTTAATTAAATATTTTTTTAAGCAAATTAATTAAAATAGAAAAGTAACTCGCGCTACTTTTTAAAAAAAGTAACTTAAATATTGATGTGTAAATTTATAAAGTAATGCGTTATATTACTCGTTACTTAAGAAAAGTAATATTATTACGTAACGCACGTTACTTGTAACGCGTTACCCCCAACACTGTTGATTGGTACTGTTAGTTGCAGGTGGTCTCGTCATACCTGCGTTGCCTTATAGGAACCATGGATGGACATTTCTGTGTGGACTCTTACCTAGAGGTTTTCCAAGTCTATTGTTACTGGACTACTAGACAGCGCTAACATGCACTATATTGTACCAGCTGTGTTTTCACTTGGTTTGAAGGTCCCTTCACCTCTTGTCTGCTTTCTAACCTCCTTCACTTCTGTTCATATACATACACTGTATGTGCACGCCCTCTAAATTAGGGGAATTGGCTAATTAAACCACACCCATTTCTGAGACAGGTGTATAGAAGGTATTCATGCAATCTTTTGCATCAGACTGCGTTGGTGAGTTTCAGAGTGGCGCCGAATTTCCCACAAGCCAGTTTACCACCTTTCTGCCTTGCTGCAGCTGTCCTGGTGCACTGCTGGTGACGTGATTGTGAGCAGGTTCAGTAGTGAATTGGTCGGCCACACAAGCTCGCAGAAAGGGACCTGATAACCCAACATCAGTACCCAACCTGAACGTCAGCACGTGCCCACCAGCAATGTTCTAACTAATGGAAAACCTTTCTAGGAGTGTTGGCTGTTATAGCAGCAGTTGGCCAACTTAACACCCTTGTCTGCAGAATGACTTGCTGGACAAGCTGGTGCCCACATAGTTTTGGTCAAATATTGCAGATTCCATCTTAACGATGTGTTCAGGGAAGGAGTTCTGGGCCTGATAAGTCTCTATCTGAGCTTTTCTGCCTGACCTGTTTGCTCAGTACCCAGGAAATTGATCTGCTTTGGGAGAAGTCACTGTTCCTATTGATTTTTCTCTGTGGGCCTGTTTTGTGTAAGCTGGGTGTGTTTTGCCTCCCAGATGATGTCAGCTGTCTCCTTCCACGCCCAGTATGATGTCACCGGTCTCTCTCGCTTTTTAATTCCTATATCCCAGCTGATAGCTCTTCACATAACTGGTTGAGCCTGTACTGCCCACAGGCTTGGCCTAATCGACGCCTCTTTCTGGTGCCACCGGAGGCTCCTGGAATTTCGTGCCTCTTGGCTGTTTCTGTGTTTGTACCCGTTGTTTTCATTTCCAGCTGTTGATCACGTCATGTGGGCTGATACTGTATCAGCTGCTGAAACTCTTTAGTGTCCCCAGGACACAAATTAGCTGGGAAGACTTCTGTTTACTGCAGAAGTGCCAAGGCGAGGCCAAAAGGCTCCGTTAGGTTCGTTGGGATCGTTTGGTGCCACCCTATAATGCGTAACGTTGAGTTTTTATTACTTTGACCTTTGGATGAAGATTGACAGCTGATTGAGGAAACTCGATGTACTAGTATTGTAGCAGAATTGTGGTTTGCCGACCCGCTGTTTGCCTGTCAGCAGTAACACTTAGATGTCATCAGTATTGAAGTTGACTTGTGATGGGGTCTCTTGTCTACTTAGCTGTCTGCTAGAATTAATCTCCTTTTCTTCTCCTGCTCTCCCCACGCCAGCAAGTTTTGTTCTCGTGTTGAAGGCACCACAGGAAAACATCCATTGTGCTGTTGATTAGGTTTTTGATGGTTACACAAGGTCTAAAAAAAGGGTCCCTCTGCTGAATGACGGACGAGAGCATCGCCTTTGTGAATATCTACTATGTGTCCCATGCAGGAGTCAACGTCCATTTGCGTGGTGGTGGTGGTGGGGGGGGGGGGTTACTGTATCAAGGCTTAGCTTTGAAAACCTCTCGCAGGCAGTTTTTGTAGTAGTTACAAAATAATATTGGGTTATACGTCAGCGGCTGTGAGAGAATGTCGACCTTTTCACCCTGTCCCCCCTCCGCTGTGTCCCGAGAGGAATCCGGTAGAGCGGACCAGCGCCGCATGGCGCTGTTTTTGTTATTTGTGCCGGAATGGGTGGTTTCCTGCGTGGAGTGGAGGGTGTTGAGGCGAGATCGCGGTCTTAATGGCACCCCTGGGGTGGGGTCTTCCAGCCTGCCCGCTGAGATGCCAGGGGTGCTGCGGTTTGTCGTGGTGGAGATCCTCCTGCAGTTCTCTCCCAGGTGAGAATGGACCAAAGTGTCTTCATAGGTTCAGGGTGAAGGAAAGACGGTGCAAGGCGGTGGTAACCAGGGGGTGTAGCAGCTCTTCTGTGCTATTTTGTGCATAAAGTATATTGTCCTTGCTGCGACCCCCTGAGGGATTTTTCTAGTAGCACAACATCACTGGAAGATCGAGAGTCTCTGTGACTGAACTTGGTCCATTGAGAGTCTCAAATTATGCTGAGATGATTATGTGTCTGTCCTGCAGCTGAAAGCCTGGATAAGGCTTCAGTGCAAACTAGATTAGAAAAGAACTGTGAGGGGGGGGGGGGGATACTGATTTAATGCCACAGAGCCACGTGTTCTGCTAGAAAGCCACCGTTTCCCGTGAACCGTGAGGTTGTTCTGTCCATAATGTTTAGCGGCTTTACCTATGAGGTTTGAAGGGGCTTGAGGACCTCTGCAGTGACTCGAGGCGTTGGATGAAGAGATGTTGATGTGAAGCAGAGAACAGTGGTTATGTACAAGCTTACCATGGAGACGACGGGACACATCAGCCCGGCCCTTGGCGTCCTGCAGTGCGGTTTGTGTTTGGAGTTTCCATGCCAGTTAGCTAATAGCTGGTTTGCCCCAGCTGTCCATACTGATGTCGTCGTCTGGACGTGAGCCTTTCAATGTTTGTCTGTAGTCTGAGGAAAGCTCTGTCTGTTTTTTTTTTTTTTTTTGAGTAGGAGATTCTGGCTTCTGATTTCTTGTGCTCTTTCTGTCTCTCGCCCCCCCCCCGTTTACAGCCTAGTCTGGGGGTGATGCAGCACAAAGCAGCAGTACTGCCTTGTATGGTCACATCTCCTCGCTACGCCCGCAACCCATCTTCCCCCCCCCCCTCCCAAACAGTTCATTCACCTCCTCCTCTCCCTCCTAACTCTCCCACAGCAGCAGCTGTGTCGTCTCCCCCCCCATTTGAGGGCCTTTTGAGGAAAACACTCAGCGATATGTGTTTTCCTGACCTCAAGAGACTGACGGGGGGTGGGACTGCATAGTCATAATGTTAATGGGCAGGGGGGGTATGAATCTGAGGTTGGTTGCACAGAGACCCTGGGTATGTGGATACTAGCCTTTTACACACATTGTACCCCTCTGGGGTACAGGGTTCCCTGAGGTATTAGGCTGGGTCTGTATGCATCTTCCTGGTTGCAGTGCTGCTATTCCCGCACTGTACCTGTGGCTGCAAAATGGCAGCAGCAACTGCACTGAAGGGTGTGAGGGCAGCCAGTGAAAGGTGCATGATGCCCTTTTGGTGAGCCGTCCCGTGCTCCTCATTTTATTTATTTTCTTTTGGGGGGGCTTGTGTCTCTGGGTTGTCTGGGTGGGCCTTGCTCATTGTCTGCAGTGCCCAGTGGCACAGGTGACAGTGATGAGCCTCTCCCAGTTTGTTGCTTTGCAGTTGCCTTCCTGGCCCCTGCCTTTAGGGGAGGGGGGGTTGCACGCACGCTCGCTGTAAACTGAGCCTGGCACTGGCCCACCCTCCCCCGCCCCGTGTTCAGCCCCTTGAACTAACTCGTTGCCAGTAGATCACAGCACTGATAACCCCTGTGTGACTTCAGGAGGTTGTGACCCATTTTCCTGCGACTGGAGATCGGCTTGGATGAAGCCATCGCTGGCTCTCCCGTCTGATCTTCACGATTTTGGCGATTCCCAGACTGCCTGGGAGAGGGGGGGGGTTCCTGCCCATCTGGACACCTTTCCGTCTGTCTGTAAACACGCATCAGCTGTGTGGTTCCTAGACGGTCAGTGTCAGGTGTTGGTTCTGTGGCCGCCTGCAGAAGCAGTTTGGTCTGAGATCAGCTCTTGCCACTTCCTGGCGACCAGCTGGCGGTTTTAATGTTGACGGGCTTTTTGTTTGAATCGAGTGCCGTGAGCCGTGGGTTCTGGCGCTGTCGTTGTTCAGAGCCGCTGCTCCGCCGGGCCTCTTAGCATTTTCTCATCGGGGTGAGGAAGATGGTGGAATTCCTCTTTTTACTGAAAGAAGTTGTCTGGTTCAAATCTGTTTCCCTTTTATGGAATGAGCTGACAGCCTGTTCTGATGGGACTGTAATGAAGCGTCGCAAGAAGCAAAGAGATTCAACTACATAAATACCAAGATGTTCAGAACCTCTCCTGCACTGTTTACTGACTGTCCAAGCAGCGTTTGTGCTAATATCAGCTCTTCAGTCATTTTAATTTTGCAAGGATTCCCCCCCACACACACATCTTTGAAATTCTCTCTCTCCCCCCGCATCAGCACAGTGTGTACAACATGTTGGGTTGTCAAGACCTCTGTGGTGGCTTCTGGGAACAAAGCTCCTACCCGAAGTAGCAGAAATAATTCATGAGCGCGCTCTAACGGAATGGCAGTTTCAGGCCAGTCTGAATGTTAGCAGCGCCTGGAACGCGGGTTATTTATTTCTGTACATTGTCGCAGTCTGCAGTTTCGGGGGGGGGGGCGACGTAAGCCGCTACGTTGACAGGATGCCACAGGAATGTGGTGGGCGTGTGGATCAACGGTCTCACGTGCCACCGGGTGTCCAACAGACGGAACCTGGAACTGGTCCCCCCCCCCCCTAAGGGATTATTTCAGATCTGAGTTCAAATGCGGAGCTGATTTGCTTTCCTGTTGGATTTGCCTGCTGTACACATTTGAGATCCTCCTTTATCTGTGTGTGGTTTGTCTCCTGTCTGAGTAACATGTGCGTGCGGGAAAACCGATTCTATAGCAGTGATTTGCGTGTGAAGCCGGCTGCCTGCATTCTGCTGGTTTGATGTTTTAATTTTAGAATTTTCAGGGAACTATGAAATGTAATTAATTTTTCTACCTTTTTGGCCTTGGCGGCGAAGCCTTTCACACGCGCTTGTCGCCGTGCCCTGGGGTGGCCGCTTCAGGTGCTGACGTGGGTGTGGACTTGTCCAGCTTACGGGTGATGGAGCCTTGAGAAGAGGGGGGGGGGAGCTGGGTTCCTTTTGGTTTATGTAAAAGTAAAGGTGCCTGGAGCACTGAGAGAGGAGGAGTGGCCCTTCTTCCTGATACACGAGTGGGAAACGCAGCCCGTTTTTGAATTTGAAAGGGCTGCTGGGGTGGGGGTGGGCGTGGGGGGGTTTATCTTTTACTAGGCGTATACCAACTTAACCGGTTTGTCAGGCCCTCTGCAGCTGGTCCATTTGTACACAGTGCGTCTTTGTGAGGCCGACCCGCCAGACAGAACACCCCCCCCACCCAACGATTCTCACAAATATCCCAAAGTTCGGAAACCCCCTGGTCTCCATTTCCGGTGGTGATGTCACCGTGAAGTCGACCTGCAGGCCAGTCAGGGCTGGCGGGTCGACGAGCCGGGATCTGCTTGCGGGTCAGTGTGGCGCTGTGTTCCGGCGCCGGATCGGGCCCCATTTACCGCGGCCCTCTCCCTTGGCTGCCCTTGTTTGTTCAGCCCACAGAATGGCTCAGCTGCTCGGACCATCTGCATGACTGACTGGGAACAGAACTTGGAGGGGGGGGGGGGGAGCAGCTGGAGAGGTGCAGAAGTGAAACAGAGTCCATGTAGAAAGCAGGAAGGGTGGGGTGATTATGGAATGGAGAGTGGGGGCAGGGTGGGGATACAGAAGTGGTTCCGTTTTGAGTTCACAAGAAAAACCGGGAACAAGAATCGGGATTAAGCTTTTGTTGTCGCCGGTGGGGGGAGTGGAACGGTCTTTATCCCATATCCCTAAATGGAGGGAGGGCCAGGCGGCCCCTCTGCCAAATGGTGACGCTGTCGGCTGTATGCGTCCGTCGCACCCGCACCGGCCTCCATCCCAGCAGCGTGGCTGCCTGCCCGCTGCGTCTCCCGGCCCCCGCCACCACGGCAAAACCGAAAGTAAACTAATGTGTCGTCGTCTCGTTCATAGTCAGTGATTTGTGCTTTTATTTCAATCGGGAACCGGGAGTTTGAGAATAAGGCTGCTGAAATTTTCCTTAAGGGTTCCCTCGTCTGACAGAGAGGAGAATTATGTCCCAAAGTGAGCCATGCGTTTCCACTTTGGCTGTCTGCTTTTATCGGAGCCCCGTGACACGTGGGGGCCATTTGCATGCTTGTTTCTGCTCCACCTCTGTTTGTAATTAAGTTTGATCGTACAGGATGCCACCGACCGCTTTGCCGCTCCGTTTACTGGCCTTTTGGACAGCAGAGATGAGGCGTATCCTGTGTAGACACACACACACACACACACACACACACACACACACACACACACACACACACCCCTCACGTGTTTTCTCTCATGTGCTCCTTGAGTCCCTTGTCCTTGAGAAAATAATTTTTGTTCAGCTCAGCTTGTCACTTCCTGTTTTTCTTTCTGCTCCTGATCTCATGACTGGTTTCTTGGCTTACAGTTGTAGGGAAAAACTATTTCTATAAAACATCATTCACAGCAGACATTCAGATGACCTTTATGTAAGTTTATAAACTGCTATGTTTAATATGGAAAGTTTAAGAATAAAATTGTGCATGTGTGTGTTTATTTCTTGCAGTATTGAGTACAATAGAGACCGGTCTTCTTGAATCTGCTCCAAACTGGGAATAAAATCATTACACTAACTGGGGAGATGAAACCGGATGGGGTTGACACGGCATCAATGGAGCCTATGGAAGCAATAGGAGCAGAGCCCCTGGTGGAGGGAACAGCCACGGAGGAGGATCCGCAGCAAGACCCTTTACAGTCACACTCTGACGAAGCGGAGAAGCAGCAGCAACCGGAAATGGCAGCAGCGCCACCTGCTGTCCAGGAGGGGAACAGCAAGCCAGCAGACGCCAAAACAAAGGCGAAGGGCCCCGGCAAAACGAAACCTGGCGCTGCTGCTGTGAAGAGCTCGACAGCTGGGCCCGGTTCCCGACCCGGCACGGCGCAGAACCGCCCTGTCAACGGTGTCCAAAAACCCCTGTCAAACGGAGTGCAGAGAAAGGTGACCGGCGCCGTCCCCGAGAAGAAGCCCAGCGCCTCCGCCGCGGCTTCCAGAAAGCCGGCCGCTGCAGCCGCCGCCGGGTCGGCCAAGGTGCCCGCCAAGGTGCCCGCCAGGAAGTCCGGGGGAAGCAGTAACGGGGGGCCGGGCGCCGCCGTCCCAGCGCAGCCCAAGAAGGGTCCTGCCGGGGGTCCTGCCGGGGGTCCTGCCGATGGCGCCAAAGCAAAGCCCAAAATGGCCGGTGAGTAACTGCCTCATACGATATTTTAATGTTTAAATAGCCGCTTTCATCCATCCATCAGTCCTGTCGGCGTAACGGGCCCCTAACTGCTGACCTTAGCTTGCTAGACTGTCGACGTCAATAAAAATAAGTATTATGCTATTGAAAAATTAAAGTTGTACCCGCCTATATCATGGGTTTGCTCACTTAGACTCCGTCTGCCAAGTTTATCCGTTTTTGAGGAGTAGTGTGGCAAGTCTGGATGGTTTTCATTTAATCTGGCCCAAAAAATACATCTATTAGTCATGGAAGCATTTATGGATCATTAATGTCTGGGAAGGTGATTAATCGGGGTGGTCTGAAACGGGGCCGGATCCGCACCCCCCCCCCGGTCGGCTTTTCGTCGCGTCAGCAGTCATGTCGCCGTGAGGCGTGTTGACTCCCGAGTCGCCACTCTGGTGTGTGGTTTTCCTTTGAGAGGCGCCGAGTCTGTGGCTTCCTGTTTCAGAGGAGGCTGATTTTCTGCATTTGTGCGCAAACAAGCGCGGTCTCTCTCCCACGCTGGAGAAACGGGGGTTAGGATTTTGGCTTCAAGACTTTCTGGTGACCCAGCTACAACTTCTGGAGTAACTTCTTCGCTTTCACATCCGACACCCACGCGGAGTAACTCTTCCCAGGCTGTCACAGGACCCCTGCTTCTCTGCAGAAACGCACGTCTTACTCTGGCTTTCTTACAGCATCTACGCAGCCTGCTTCACATCTGAGCCCTTTTTTACGTTGATGTGTTTAACTCAAGCTGTTCCGCTCTTTCCTGTCTGCCTGGAAGACAGATGAGGGCTTAATGACTGTTGTACATGCAAATGATGCCTGTAATTCTCTCTATTTGAATTTGTACGGTCTTTGGGTCAGACCAGGTGAAAACGTGAGGGGTGTTCGAATGTGGAGGGGAATTGCAGGCCTTTGGAATCAGATACTGTTTATTGTTCTTTGTATTTGTTGTCGTCATTGATTTGATCTTTGTCAAATTATTTAAACTCACAATGTCATTTTTCTTTTAGGGGACACAATATGAATTCATTTTTTAAATTTTGATCTAACCCCTTTTCCTTCTTGTCCCTGTTACATCTCTCCTCCTCTCTTCTCCACTTCCACCCATCCTTCTTCCTCTCCCTCCTCCTCCTCCAGCCTCCAAACCCGCCGCTGCCAAACCTGACAGATCTGCCGTTTCCAGAGCAACCAGGTAAGGCAGCCAATCGTGTTCCAGCAGTCAAATAGATTATTTATTTACATTTTAATAATGCAAAGCAGCTTTATGCCGTAATCTTTCCACACGTGGTTTGTTCAGCATATACGGGTGACGTGCTCTTTTTGTAGAGTGCAGGTCGGACCCTTTGTTCCCTGTGCTGCCCCGTACGCTGTAATTCGGACACGATCCCTGAGGCATGCTGGGTAGGCCCGTATCTCTGGGGTTCCTTTGTCCTCACGCCTGTGCAGCGCGTGGAATGCCGGCCCATGACCCGTTTCGTCACACTCAGACCTGCAGGACGAGCTCTGCAGGAACAGGAGCTCCAGGTGTTCGGTGTGAAAAGTTAGTTTGTTGCTGTACCAGCTTTCCAATCTGATGGGGGGGGTGGTAAGGGATTGCTGTCCCTGAGATTAGTTTGTAGTCTGTGTTGTGGTCTTGAGCCACTCCCTCCCATTCAGGCAGCCCCGAGGGGCCCTGCTCTTCTCCCAGGAACCTTTGGGGGGGGGGTGTCATCTTCTTGCTCTCTGCACTGGCTGTGGTTCCCCATTTGATGATTGTGCTGTGACCCAGTACTGTCTGTGAACCTTGGCTCCAGTATGTGACCAGCTCACTCTCACCTCCAGTGAGGAAGGGGGCTGGGGAGGTGTGAAGGGAAATTCCGCACGGGGGTCACTGAAGTATCTATTATCTATCCATCCATTTTCATAAACCGCTCGTCCCAGTCAGGGCTGTGAGAGGGGGGGGGGCGGCGCCCATCCTGGAGGCTATGGGGGCCAGGCGGCAAAAAACCTAAGATGGGGCACTAAGCCGTCTATTAATATTCTGACCCAAACGCTGTGGGTGAGGGCGTGGCTCGTGTCGTGCACATGCGCACATGCATGCGCCTGTCCCTGCGAGCGTGCCAGCCGTGTCCTTCCGGTGCCCCTGTAGAGGTCACTGTGTAGGCGACCGCGCGGGGGGGGTGGCCCAGATTTGGCAGCATGGCTTCAGTCCACCGCAGTATCCTGGGCAGAGGGATGCGGCCAAAGCGTACCTGTATCCAGATGGAACAGCGGTGGGTGGGGGGCTGACACAGCATGTGCATGAGAGTTTGAGTCTTACCCTGCTGGGGTGGGGGGGGGGGGGGGGGGGTGGAAGATGGGGAACGGTGGCTTAGTGTGTGTTGCCCCTCCTCAGTTGGTTAATTCCCCTAATGCTCACCTCTGCTGTTCTTTGGGGGAATAAGCGGCATTAATCACTGACAGGAGCTGACATGTGACCCCCAAATTCCGGCGAGACTGGGGTGTGGCTCCTGCATCCTCCCGCTTCTTTGTCTGTGGCTGACGCCCTCTTTCTGTCACGTCCCCCTCCTGCCACTGCGGGTGCGCTCTGCCGTAGTGGGCCGTGAGCCAGCCCCCCCATCCCCCATCTGTCACTCCCCCCAGCCCCCCCCCCTTCCCAGACGCCGCCCCGAGCAGCAGGACCGTGCTTTGAATTGCCGCGTCTTCCCATCTAGACGAATCCGCCTGATTTATGCTTGTTCCTTCTCGTTCTCGGAAGGCAGGCAAACGCTCACGTTTTTCATCTTTTATTTCTCTGTCATCCGCCGCTCTGCCTTTCGCAGTGTTCGTGAACCCTGGTGACCCTGCTTCCCCTTTTTTAACCGCTCACTTTCTCGGCCTTGGTCTTAAACATGAACCATGTCGGTCGTGTCAAAGCCAGCTAGATCCTGTTGGAGTCTGTCTGGGTTATCATGGGATGTCTGGTCTACATGCATGAAGGGGGAGAGTAAAGTCCTTTCTGGCCTGGAGGCTGCCCCCGGCAGCGCCTGCAGCCAGTCAGTGCTCCATGCCTGGCTCTCGTTCCGCTTTTATCCTAAATGAAGTGACTGGCAGTGAAAAGTGCAGTGGGATGTCGGAGAGCCTGCGGTCCATGCTGGGTGACAGGGCAGTGGTTAGTGAGGAACCACTGGATCCCGGCAGTGCTGTGGCAGATTTGGGGACCATATGAACTGGGATTGCTCAGTCTGACCGTATTTGTGTTTTTTTTTTTTTTTTTTTTTTTGGGGGGGGGGGGGGGGGTTGCTATCGTTCGTGTGGCTCATACATGTCCCTTAAGCACTAAAGGCACCAAAGCAGGAATTCATGTGCCGGACTGCATATCTGAGGAGCTTCGGGTCAGTCTGGCTCATACGCTTTATTGTATCATGACTCCTGGGGTTTCTGCGGCGGAGATCGAGAGCAGCTCCACGAGAGAGCCTCCCCAGCGGTGCCCCCTCCGCCCCCCACACCCCGCAAGCCGTGCCAGCCAATTTCTCAGGCAGCACAACCTACACGCTCTTTGCACCGGCGGTGGGTGTTGGGGGGGGGGGGGGGGTGAGGATTGCCAAGGGCGGGGGCAGTCACCTTTTGCCTAGTGGGTTAACCAGCTCTGAATTCACACTTGAGCAGTTTACACTGTGTAGTGTTATTCGAATTGGGCCTGCTTGCTTCAAGAGACTTTTCTGAATTAAGTATTTTTTCCCTATTAGGGATACAGTCAGGGGCAGCAGTCGGTGGGATTCCAGTGAAGCACTGGAATCCCACTGGAAGCCCATTAGAGGGCTGCTCTAAGCCCTGTAATGAAGTGAGACTGGAAGGGGGAAATCTGAGCCACGTCGCCGATCGTGTCAGGAGGAGGATCGCAGCCCCCCCCCACCCACCCCCCAGCACGATCTGGTTCCTTCATCACGCGCGTGCCAGCATTCCTGAGCCAAGTCCTCTGTAGACATCGGATGGGTGTTTGTTTGTATCCCGCTGGGTGGTGTGGTAGGGGGGAGGGTTTGGATCCAAGCCTGTCGCGGCAGGGCCTGGCTCCAGTAAAGATGCTACACATGTGACTGGGGGTGTGGACAGTGGGGGTTTGTCATATGGAGACGAGCAGGCCCGTCTCCCCCTGCCGTGGAAGGTGCCGGTGACACTTACAGGGGATGTTGCTGAAACGAGCAGATGGTGTCTGCCTTAGACTGGGCACCTTGTAATTATTCAGAGAAATTATATTTCTTTGCTGCTCAAATGGATAGATTGGGTTTTATTTGTATATAAACTCATGTCCTGTTATTCCACGGGGTGTCCCATTTCGTCTGTTATCAATTAAGTAGGATGCCCCCCTAATCCATGTTGGGGGGGGACACTTTAGAGCTACCCCCGGTATTTCAAACTAAAACTCAGAGGCTTCCATACTTGGTTAATTAGTTCAGTTCTTCTAGTGCTTTGACTGGTCTGTTTTCTTGACCGAAAGACTCATCCAGTTGTTTCATATTAATGTTAGTGACACATAAATGATTATAGGAGACTGACCAATCAGCACACAGCAAGAACTCTGTGCTAGAGTGAAATTCAGGGCTTTTTATATTGAAATGGTAGCTTGTAAACCCTGTCCTAGCTCAGTGTCCCCTCTGACTCTGAGGTCACCCAATAGTAAAGGCTGACATCTTAATGATAACCTTATTTATAAATCTAATTTATATGAAATGGGTGATATCTGGCTCAGGCCTGATCCTGCAGCTAGCGCCGCGCTGCCCAATGGCAGAGATCCTTAGCGCCGCGCTGCCCAATGGCAGAGATCCTTAGCGCCGCGCTGCCCAATGGCAGAGATCCTTAGCTCTCCCCAGTGGAATGCTGCAGTTGCTGGTCTGTAATTAGCACCCGTCTAAACTCTTAATTCCCAGCTAGTTTTAGGTTACTTCTTCCTCCAAGCCTCTTACTGTCACCAGCGTCTGTGTCAGGATCCGGTAATCGCTGCTCGAGCAGGTGTAGGTGTCCTGTTACAGTGCCGTGTCATGGTGTGACGGAGTGCTGCAGGAGTGTGTGACCCGGGGCCTCGTGTGCTCGGTTACAGGAAGTCGCACCCGCACAAGGAATGTGCCGCCATCACTGCCGTACACATTTTATCACCCCATTTATTCTGTGAAATATGAGATTAATAGCCTGTACCTGCAGGACTGACATCACTCTTTCGATCTTCACATAATTGAGCCATCCTGTCTTTTCCGATTCACCACCGTTTGTCATTTAGGAGATTACGAGAATCTGCTCTGGTTCTAATCACTCCTGCTGCCCTGTGTCCCATGACGCTCCGCTCTGGTTCTAATCGCTCCTGCTGCCCTATGACGCTCCGCTCTGGTTCTAATTGCTCCTTCTGCCCTGTGTCCCATGATGCTCTGCTCTGGTTCTAATCGCTCCTGCTGCCCTGTGTCCCATGATGCTCTGCTCTGGTTCTAATTGCTCCTGCTGCCCTGTGTCCCATGATGCTCTGCTCTGGTTCTAATTGCTCCTGCTGCTCTGTGTCCCATGATGCTCTGCTCTGGTTCTAATCGCTCCTGCTGCCCTGTGTCCCATGACGCTCCGCTCTGGTTCTAATTGCTCCTGCTGCCCTATGACGCTCCGCTCTGGTTCTTATCGTGCCCCCCCGCCATGTCCCATGACGCTCCGTGCCCACTTGGTATTTGGTGCAACATGACAGCAAGGATAAACCTAAATAACCTAAATAATACAAACATGTCCTGTATAGTGTCACACATATTCAAACAAATTGCATCTTAAAGTGACAGCCCTATGAAAACCAGAGTGTCTGGTGTGCTGTGTCTGGAGTGAGTGCTTAAATCTGGACTGTCTGGGGCTCCCCAAGGACCAGCTTAGGGGGTGTCTGCAGCTGATCAGTACTGGAAGTCATGTTAAGATGAGGGACCCCCCCATATTTCTTCAAGTGGTATGGCTTACTGCGATTGTGTTACCACATAGAGTCCACACCCCAGGCTGGTACTGTCCGGCCTTCATGAAGCTCAGCAGGCCTCTGACAGGGAGCAGGGTGGCTGCTCTCCAAAATCCAAATGGAAAGAACCGGCTATGGGGGAGCTTGGCTTCAGACTCACATGGGGGCTGTTTTTAATTACTTTCATTGTAATTTTGCTTTTATTGTAACTTTCGATTTGGAAGAACAAATGCAGTGTCAGCGGTAGATGTGGGGACCTAATTTCAGTTGTCCCCACCCCTCCCTTTTGTTTTCTCATTATTCTTTACACTGTGTAGTGTTATTCGAATTGGGCCTGCTTGCTTCAAGAGACTTTTCTGAATTAAGTATTTTTTCCCTATTAGGGTTACAGTCAGGGGCAGCAGTCTCCCCCCCCCCCCACACACTTTGCGGCTGCAGTGACTAATTGGTGCCTTGTCTGAATGCCCTTCATTGAACCAGTTTCTTCGTTCCCGCTGTGATTGCCTCTTCACCCTACACGTCCGGGGATTGATGACCCTCTAACCGGCGGATTTATGAGTCAAGGAGAACCGAAGGAGTATTTCATAAAATGGTTCCGAAAGAGCGAGCCTAGATAACACTATACTTCATTCTAGGATGTACATCCTGAATCTTTTTTTTTTCCATGGCTGAGATTTCACATACTTTCCCTAATTTAGTTTTCTGACTGTGCTGCTTCCCCCCCCCAGGCCTGCTGGTGGTCCTCCTCCTCCTCGTCCTACTTCCACGACAACGGCGGGAAAGCCAGTCGTCAACTCCACCACCACCTCCCGACCTGCCTCTTCACGAGCTACGGCTCCACCTGCTGGCCGTAACACTGCAGCGCAACCCACCAAACCTACAACTCCTGCAAAGAAAGGTAGTGAAGGGGGAATCTGCTTTAGTTGCTTTTTATTTATTTTCCCTCCCTGTCGCTGGAAAAGACAACTTTTATGTTTTTATTTCTAAGTGGTTGTATAAGAACCAAGGCTAATCACAGCTTATTTGGTCCACAAATACCTTCCTTAAACAGTATTACAAAAACTGCATTGGTACTATGGGATGGTTTTATACTGCAGTGTTTGAATGTGTGTAATTCTTTGTCGTCAGCATTATAATGCTTTATATTTTCTCTCTTGCAGATGTCAGTAAACTGACTACAGTTCCAGTGAAAAAACCAGCTGCAGCCCCTACCCGGGCCCCCCCAGCCAAGACCGCAAAATCCGACGCCCCCAAAACAAGCGCAGCTGCCAGGCCGGAGCCCGCTGCCAAGAGGGCGCTTTCTGCCAACAAGCCGGCGGACGCCAAAACCAGCCGGCCCAAACCACAGGACGGCAAGCCCGCGGCGACACGGGTTGGGACCGCCAGCCCCCGCAGCATTGGTTCGAAGCCTGGCCTCAGCAAGGCAGCCACCGCCAGCCCCAAGAAACCGGAGGGTGGCGGTGCGCCGGTGCCAGTGAGCAAGTCCTCCAAACCCAAGCGGCCGGCACAGCCCCTGTCTGCCAGCGGGGAGCCGGCAAAGGAAGAGGAGCCTCCAAAGCCGGCGGACGTCGCAGAAGCCGCTGCCGTTGCTGGATCTGTGACGGCAGCTACCGAGGCGACACCTTCAGAGCCCCAACTCGCAGCAGAGCAAGAGCCGGCTTCAGTCGGTCAACAAGAGGCGCAGCTCCAGCCTGAGCTGGATGTGCAGCCGACGTCTACGGCAGAGGTTGAGCCAGTAGTAGAAGCCCTAGCTCAAGAAGTAGACCAGGCTCCCCCTAGTGTTGATGTGCTGCCATCTTCACCTGCAGGCCCAACTGAAGGACAGTCTCCACTAGATGATCAAAGTCGGCTATCACCTAAGATTCCTAAAAATTTGTCCCCGGAGATGGGGAAACAAGAAGAAGGTGCAGAGAAGGTCTGTAAACCAGTAATGGAGGCGGATATGTTTGTTCCTAAGAATGTAGGTGCAGGAGAACTTGTTGATTTGGTGGTACAGCCTGAGCTCACTACTCTAGTACCAGCCGAGGTCTTCACAGCTGAAACGCCTGTCCTTCTGGCTCAAGAGCCTGGACTGGCTGTTGAAAAGGCAGATGAAGAGATCAATGAAGATAATGACTATGGTGGTGATGTTGAAGAGGAGGAGAAGGAGGTTAGCCAGCAGATATCGGTGTCAGAGATGAGTGGGACTCAGCCGACCGAGGACTCCCGGCCTGGTTCTGCGGGACTCGCTGGGTCCATGTGGCGGGGTGGTGCCCTGGTGTCAGAGCTGGACTCTGAGGATGTTAGTTGCAGCCAACAGGGGGCATCAGAGCTGAGTGCACCAGGTGTGCTGGAAGGCACTGAGAGCCTGGATGACCTAGGAGAAGCCAGCCTCAAAGGGGCTGATGGCGAAGGAGCATCTGCGGGTTCTCCTGACCTTGAGATTGTACCAGACATTCCAGCTAATGAGGAGGATGAAGATGATGAAGATGAAGAGGACCGTGTGTATGACATGGAGGTAGGCTCAGAGAGGGCGGAGGACCCTCGTAGGGCACGGCAGGAGGGTGAGGACGAAGAAGAGGACGAAGATGTCGAGATGGCGAGTGAAGGTGTGACTGAGAGTGGACTGGAAAGCTACGGTAATGCAGATGAGGACGATTTTGCTGAGGATGATAGGCTAGACAACCTGAACCGTGCCCAGCCGCACCTCCTGCTCTCGACAGCCCCAGCTCCACACTGGGCCCAGGCCAACCCATTGGGTGAATCCTGTACACAGCCCCTACCGCTAGCTGCCTCTGCTCTGCTCGTGAGCCCTTCCTCTGACCCCTGGCAAGCAGACCCAGATACGCCCGTCCAAGCTCCTGCTGAACCTTGGATGGAGTTTTGTGCTCCTGTCGTTCCCCAAGTTCAGGAGCCAGTCTTCCACCTCCAGGTTATTCCAGAGCCACGAAGCGATGACGTCCAGCCGCCTCCTGCGGCACCTGCTGTGGAGGAGAACCTGATGTCCGTGGAGCCCATAGGCCTGCCTGTACCTGCCCGGGGCATGTCCCAGTCGAGCACTCTCAGCGGGACGGAGCTGGCCGCCCAGAGCAGCAGTGACACCAGCACGCCTGAGGAGCTGCGCGAGTACAACAGTAGCTCCGGAGTGGAGTCTGAAGACAAGCTGAAGACCCCAATGCCTCAGCAGCAGCCTGATGTCGAGCAGGACATGAGCCTCCCCCTGGAAAGGGGCGAGGGGGAGGAGGAGGAGGCGGAGACCCTCCCAGCCGACGAGGTCCTCGGGGGTCCGGCAACCGCACCGGCGTCGGATCCCTCCTCTCCCTCGGCCTCGGAAGACGAGGCGAGCGACACTGAGGGAGAGATGCTGGTCCACGACCCCGGCACGCTGGGTTCCCAGACCTTGCCAGCTACCGAAGAGCGTGAGGAGGCTGGGCAGCTGCCCTACGGGGAGGGCGAGGATGGCGGGGACACGCCCCAGTCTGCCAACTCTGTGGCATCCTATGGTTTCGACTGCACTACGTCCAACTCCAACGCCCACTCCACCCAGAGCCCCGGAATCTTCTCCCTGGAGAACGAGGACCAGCTGCTCGAAGAGACCAAGGACCCGACCATCAAAGAGCTCACCCTGGGGGCCGCTACGGCAGAGCCGCCACTGGGGGCACCCGTAGACCTCCTGCCCCTCGGCGCCCTCAGGGAGATTCAGTCCAACCCAGAGGAGCAAGAGTACATGCTGTGTGGGAAGCGAGTGGCAGAGAGTCCCATAGGGGAGACTGCCCCCCCCAAGGCCGGCCTCCCCCTCACTCCCCAGGAGGCCAGGGAAGGCACTGACGGCCAGCCTGCGTACTACTCTGCTATTTGTGAAAAGACTGATAGCGTTCTTGCAGGTAACGTATAGTCTCGCATTTGTGATTGCCCGCCCCCCCCCCTCCCCCCTCTCTCGTGTTTGTTGTGGATTTTCACTCCAGTTGGAAAGCAGGGAGGGCAAATGAGAGAAAGTTTAAAATAAAATAATAAAAAAAAAAACCTAGATAGTGCCACTTCCCTCTATATTGCTATTATGATTATAATATTAATATATGGCTTAAAGTCCTGTATGTGCAATAGCTACTATTTACCATGAATTTTTTTTTATCAAATAAGCCTGAAGGATTGACTGGTGGTCTGTTGTGAAGAAGACAAAAGAAATGTAAAATGAACTTGACCTTGTGTATTTGTCCTGCTCTTTTTACTGAACAAATGTTACTGAATTTATTTGCTTTTTTTCTCCTCCCATTGAGTAAACCCCCCCCCCCCCCCCCCCCCTTTTCCTGCACTTTACAGTTAGATCCCCTTTGTTACTTTTGAGTATTTACCATTTTAGCTTTAAATAAAGATTAGATATTTAACATTATTTATGCATTTCCCAGTTGGTCTTTTCACTGCGGGCTGCTGGAGTGTTCTATTAACGTCTGGGGGTGAGATGGAGCTGCACTACTTTTTGTTTTGGACCACGTTTCACTTTGTTCCAAGCTTAGGCTTGCATGTTTTTATGTGCATTTAATTTTCACTGTGATTTTAGTGCCAGTGAAATTCAATTAATCAGGCTCAACTATAAGAGCCTTCGTTTTATGTTCTTCCCAATTATACACACATTTTATCACCTATGTGCAGTTTCCTAGGGCTTAGTGGCCTTGTGGGAGTACAGTAGTGGCTCTTTGAACACGTAAATGAAATACGAAAGACAGAACAAAACACTATCAGCAACCTCCCCCCCATCGAATTTCAAATAAATTTAATGTGTGTGTGAACTTTTTATTTTCAAAGAAATGGTCAAAATACAACTCTGCAAGTATGTTTGCAGAGGTCAGCATGCAACGTGACTGGGACAGTCCCTAATAAAAATGGACATACTGGAGTATCCTCTGGAATGGTGTGTTTAAAAAAACAAACAAAAAAAAAATTAAAATCCTTTTTTGGTCTCAATCTTAAGCACATGCCAACCCTTTCTACATTTGATAAGGCTTGTGTCTCTCACCATGCACACACATGCCCACCTCATTACTAATACCGTGGGACCAGTCCTTCAACAAGCCTCCACTTTTCTGGCCAGCGGGAAGTCGATCCCACAGATGTAAAGTGTGAAGATGTAGAAGATTGAGGATGGAAATCCCCAGCTTCCATCTCCCACTGGGAACCCAACTGGATCCAGCTCTGACTTCCTCTTTCCTGCTCTGCATTTTAGCTGTACTGGGGAAGTGTTGGATTATCCCAGTGACACTGCACATTTCAGGGACTCCATAGCTTCTCCGCCTGACCTCCCTCTCCTCTCCGCTGCCTGGTTCCCGTTATAGATGGAGCCCTTTCTCCAGTGTAACCTATTCCCAGGTCGCAGTCTTCACTGGCTCCTGTTCTGCAGTGCCGAATGGACTGTCAAGCTCCAGCGGGTGATTGAGGCGCGTGCAGACTTTGACAGGGAACACTACACCATATCCTCTCCCCTGCACTGCTGGAATCAGACTGGCATCACGCATGTCTGACACGCCATTTCAGTCTTGCTGCTGGTTCAGCCATGAGATTTTATTTATTTATTATTTTCTTGCATGGCAGAATTTATCCACCAGATGCATTGAGTATTTGACCATTTACAGTAGCCTGCTGCTTTTTTTATTTTATAAATCTTCCCCCTTTTTCCACTTGCTGCCTTGTTTATTTGTGAAGTTTTGCACTGTATTTACCTGCATGGTGGAAAGTTGCTCTCTTGCATGTATTAACGAGCCGGACTCAAACTTTAAAAAAACTTTTTTTTTTTTTTTATTTATAAAAAGCTTTTAAGTTTCCCCTACATGGTTCTTACTGGTTACTGCATATACAGGATGTGGCCGCTTTATAGCACATAACTTGGTCCAAATTAGTCATTTGGAAGGTTGAATAAATGCATTGGTAAGCACTGCTTTAACTAACTCTCTAGCCCATACCCTCTTTCCAACGTCCATTAAATAAGGTTTTGGTCGTGTAAATACTTTAAATAATGCGTTGATATAACTTTACCGTAGAGAGAGTTAATACAGATACAGGTTCCCTCCCACCTTCCCCAAAAGTGAAAGATTTTAGAGCATTGTTGTCCACATTTTCTTCGAAATCAGCAGGTAGGACAAGTCCGACGTTGTTGGGTGAATATATCGATTTATTCTGCAACAGAGCATCTGTTGATTCGTGACGTCTAATTTACATCTTTATTCTTTAATGTAAAAATCCATTCGATCCACGTCAAAAGTGAAACGGACAAAGCTACAAGGACCCCCGAACACTTCCCTTTGTTTATCAGTAATTAGACGAACCTATAGTTAATTTGTGTAGGCCTATAAATCGGAGTTTGACTTTCATGTGTATTGACTGAAAGTACAATAGAAGCATTTTGCATCTGGAGTTACTCAGAAGTCCGTTTGATAGCGTAATTTCGCTGCAGTCATTGAGTCGCTGCAAATGCGAACTGCAAGACCGTTTTCAGCAATCGAAAATGAAACCTTAAATAAAAATGGTAATTTAAGATCCGCCTCAATTACTCGTCGTACAATGGAAAACGTTTTCTTTCGAATAGCCTTGAAGTGTTCCGAGTACTAAAGACCGCTATAGCGGGGTGACTGTACTTACTGACCGCTATGCGTGATATAGCTGAATGCTTGCGTCGAATATAAAGTACCTCCGTATTACTGGAAGTAATAAGACTGTATTTAAGATGCATTTAAATATTTTAAAATGAAAGCCCGTGTCCAATGTTAAGATTACCAGGAATCAGTAAAAAGTTCTTGAGACTTGGATGTGGACACTTTCGACAAGACGTCTGCCCTGGCGCGTGCTGGGCTTTATTCCCTACAGCAAATATCCGATGGTCAGGAGATTCGCGATTGCTTTAACTGTTACTTTAATCGCAGAGTCTTAATGGCTGAAATGGATTATCACATTGATCTTGGATTATCCGTTGCCGTTGAAAGTGCGTTTAAATGAATCTTATAACCGCTTGACAGTTGCTTAAATTTTCCGGTTTTTTTTTTTTTTTTTTGCAAATTACAAATCATAGCAAGGTTCTAACCATGTTGCCATTTTCCACATGCCTTGCTCTGTTGCTTGTGTTGCCAGTGTCCGTGCATAATGTCTTGCGGGTCTATTCACTGCTTCTTGATGCCAAGCATTGAGTTGAATACAAACCTATTCTGTAGTTTTTATGAGATCTTTTGAGAAAGTACACCACTCCAATGATTTTATATTGTATTTAGCTCAAATTGGCCATCACATTTTTTTTTAACCCTAATTGGCTAAGTTGCCAACTAGTAATTATATTCACTCCATACAATTGCTCTACAGTTTCGTCTTGTCCCAACTCATATTCCCTTTTCTTGATATTTATTTTTTCTTCCATCGCTATGCCACCCATTGCTCCACCCAGTCATCTCTCATTGTATCTTTAACGAGTCTCAAGTGATGTTGCCTCTCTCACAGGAGGCTGTGAGCTCCAGCCCAATCAGCAGCCACCGCCGGCCCAATCGCAGGCCAATCATGTGGGCTCTGTAGAATGGAAAACCTACAGTCAGCCTCCGTCAGCTCACCTGAGCCCAGCCTGGCAGCCCACCGACCTACAGTCCAGCACACCACAGGCACAGCCCAACCTGCAGCTGCGCAGACTGGAGCAGCACCAGAAGCATCTGCAGCAGATCCAGGAACGGCAGGAGCAGCAGAACCGTGAGAGGCGCAAGGAGCTGGAGCTTGAGGCTGAGCTCAGGGAGCTGGAGGAGGAGGAGGAGAATGAGAAAGAAGATGAGGAAAAGCTGTGGCGGGAGCAGCGGAGGAAGCTGGAGAAGCAGCGTCAGGACCTCCTACAGCTCCAATTCCAACACCAGCAGCAGGAGCTCAAGCACCGGCAGCAGATCCTACAGTGGCAGCAGGAGCTGGTGCAGCAGCAGCAGCAGCACAAGACTCAGTCTGCTGTCCTGCAGTCCCCAACATCTGTCCTCTGCACCATCTATGAAGCCAAGGAGGCAAGTGATGAAGAAGGGGAGGAGGTGGGTGACGATATGGTAGAAGAGAAGAATTCAGAGCTGGAGGAACGGGTGACAGTTGAACGCCAAGAGGGTGGGATGCAGGAGGAGGAAAAGGGCGAAGATCCCCAAGTCGATCAGGGTGATCCAAAGACCCCTAACCTGGCACCGTTACTGAGGCCCACAAAGCTCTCTCCACGCGCTGACCAGGCCCAGCTGGGTCTGGATTGGGACAAAAAGGTGGATATTGTCCAGCAGCTAATCAACCAGACCCTCCTTCTAGCGGGAGATGGGTGCCCACCTCTGCTGCTCCTGCCTGGTGGTGGGGGGGGTACCCTCAGCCCCCTGGAGAGCAGCATGTGGCCCACTTTGCTGCCCCCTCTCACCCCCCCCTCTGCCACCGTCACCTCAGTCAGCAGCTTCTCCCCTGAGGACCAGGGAAGCTCTCCCCAGGGGGAATGGACAGTAGTGGAACTGGAAACCCACCACTGAGGAGGGAACACTCCCCTCTCCGTGTTGGTGGGGGATGTCCTTCGCAGCACTGTCCCACTGCACTGTCCCACTGCACTGTCCCACTGCACTGTCACACCGCACTGTCCCACACTCAGAACTGAAAATTCCCCATGCTGTGGTTAACCTGAAGCTCTTGCATAGCGATGTCATTCTATAATGGAACACACACATGCCAGAAAGAGGTATGCACTGTCCTGACATTTTCATCCTGTCGGTAAAAGTATGTGCCATCCTTTGTGTGCCAAAACGCCATCGTCTGGATGAAAAGACCAGCATCTGCAGAAATGTGAAATAACCCTGCTGTAGGTCCCAACCGTTACTGATGTATAAGTCCAGGTCTATCGCCTCAGAAGGTTGGTCTCAAACTGATCAATATGCTTTCCAGTTAATGGTGATGAATTCTCTTCTCTGCAGCTTTAGTATTGCGCCCCTCCCCCCCAAAAAAAAAACAAAAACAAAAAAAAACAATCAGATTTGCAGTCAATAATTCACACAATGCAGGTAATTTCTCAGGTGTTTGCTGCCTGAACTGTCCAACACTGTGACCTATTAGTAGTAGTTTTTTTTTCATTAATCTCAGTCTCTATTACTCATTTATGACAAAAGCAAAATCAGGTACGTTTTAGAAGCATAGTCTAGTTTTGTTAGGTATGCTGATGCAGTGTGTCGCCTTAGAGCAATGCCACTATCCCTGACTGGCCTGCAAAAACTGGCTCAGAAACATGCCCTGTTTGTCTGTATGTACAGAACGATGTAGCAGGGCAAGGCATGAAACAGGTTTATGGCCTGATACAGGGAATCACAAACTATACGAAGGCATTCTGCAAATGTTGCAGTACTTGGCAAGTTAGTACTAGTGAAACTGATGGGGTAGATAAGGGACATATAGGAAGTTGACTTTCTGTTATGACTGTAACATGGTTGGGTGGGTTGATTGTCTGCCCCTGCATTCTAAAGCCATGACCTAATTTTTCGGTCTCTCTGTCTTTGTTTTGGGTTTCTGTGGTAACTCGTGATGTTATGACAAAAGAATGAGACGCTGAATGGCAGAGATAGGACTGCACTGTGGGACATTCTGAATTGGACAAAATGCACTAAAATCACTGATGCCAACTGGCGTCTCCGTAGCATAATAGAGGAAGGCAGACAGACTGTTTACATAACTACTGAAAGTTCTGAGCACTGGAGTTCTGTTCTTTGCCCAGCATTACAGTTTCCCTCAATGTCTCTACTGACAAGCAATTTTGCGACATTTCCTCCAATCTGTCCTTCTTTTTTTTTTAGACAGGGCTGCCAAACAGTGCTGTGGTTCCACTGACCTCCCACAGAGACACTGTTTAATCACTGCCAGTCGTTTTGAGACTGTCAGGCTCAAAGCTTTAATAAACACAGCCAACTGTCACAGGTTACAGAATTACATATTAGACAGCATTGAGTCTCCTGACCCGAGATCGAGTTTTTCTTTCCTGGATTGAACCCGTAGATTATCTTCTGATCTCGTGATTGAAACTCTACTGCACATCATTTTCTGTACAATTATAGCTCTAGAGAATAACATATATATGGTACCATATGATTTAATCTTCTGGAGAGGTAAGGGAAAACTTCTGCACTATTTTGAATCGGGTCCATGCACGTTCTAATCAGTAGCGGCTAAGGCCCCTTCCAGATTAACTCAATTTGTTGGTAAAACCATATCCTTATGTGTATCTATGCACATATTCGTATTTATGTAATGCATGTAAATGGTGAATATTCAATTCAGAGTTTATATGCGTCTCATGTGGCGAATCACATCACTCACTTCTCATGCCACAAGTCCTTTTGCTGTAATTTGCTGCGACGCTGCAGTGGACTGCGCGGTTCAGAGGCTATGACACTCATGCACTCACTCAGCATCGCAGCACGTCTGGTGGCCGCGGTTCGCAGTTTTCTAAAAGAAACATGTGGGAACTGGGCCGACTGCAGTTTCCCATCTGCTGAAGCAACTTTTGGCCAGATTCCTTAACACCCGTGTTTTAATGGTACTTTATTTTTTTCACCTCAGATCCAAAGTGGTTCTAGTAACATGTTGGCCTATGCTGGATTTGTTTAATCAGTGCTGTTATACTAGAATTTATATTTTATACAGAGGGAACTCGTAGAGCCAGTTTACTATGATGTTAGTTTTCACTTGATTTATTTTGAAGTATAGAAACTCTAATGTGAAATAGATGATGCCAAGGTACTAATAAAGATATTTAATAGAGTATGAAATGCAAGCCATTAGTGTTAGAGACTTCTGAAATAGTGTTCGTGATGTCATAGTGATAGAGTAGGTATTTTAATGTTGTCTGTGTAATTCAAAGCTCTGTGTGCACTGAATATGAACTGTTCGCTTTCTGTACGATGTTATATACGTCACATGACGTCTCTAAAGTCTACTCCTTCCATTCTCTGCTGCGTTTTATGGATTATCCTTAGAGGAATGGGTCCCCCCCCCCACCCAAGTACATATCAATCTTGCATATCACATAGAAAATGAGGTTCTAGTCAATATAATAGAGGTATTTTGTTTCCCGGATACTTTACAGGTTCAGCTTTCTCCTATAAAGTGCCCCCCGGAGATCCGTACTAACCTAAGGGCAGTAAAATCACACATCACAGTGTTTTTTTGTTTTTTTTTTCCCCCTTCCTGGAGTCTCGTGCACTATAGTGGTGTGTGTTGGGTTGGAGATCCTGGCGTGGAGAGGCTGATGAGCGACTGAGTAGAAGTCATACATATTACACTGAGGGCTCAGTAGGAGAACGGCAAGGATCCCACATAGAAAGGGACAGGTGCGGATAGCTGAACTGGCAGCTTTCCTTTTCTTTCCTGTATTTACTGCTGTATTCTGAAAGGAGAAAACCTTTAGAGATTAGATACTGTGATACTAAGAGTTTTCCATTAGAAACTATGCTAATTTCATGGCAGCTGTTCGGTGAATGGTTCCCCTGATTGGGTACCTCAGATACATGTCTTTTTTCCAGTGAAAGAAGCTTATTTTTTGTGTGTATTTTTTCAAATGATCAGTTTATCCTTATACTCAGCCTGAATGCTCATGCCCATATTCTCAAGAAATAAAATGGTTTTGGAAAGTGAGTTCTGTTAACTGGTTACTTTTACTAACCTGCATCTCAAGTTAACTTGACACAGCGCGCCCAGACGATAAACCACAAAACTTGTGTAACATCATGAAACCTTTGCATTTAAAGCTCATTTGTTAACACTTATACGTTTTATTAAGAATGTTAACATAAGTTTTATCCTCCTCAAAGACACTTAACATTTTCATTTTTTGGAAAAAAAACAAACAAAAAATAGCAATGAACTACAAACAGTTTGTATTTCTGCAACCTCTAACTTACCAGCAAATCAGTAGTCGAGTAACAGGAACGAGATTGTGTATAGTGCATTTTGTAACTGAACGAGCCCTTCACAAACATTACCTGGAAAAAAAGGACTGCAACCAAACGCCTCACAAATTACCAAGAATCACAATCCTGTCCAGGTGAAACGTATCTTTGAGATGTGGCTTAGGTGTGAGCTGGGTGGCCTGAAGCTGCAGAACACTCTCCTGGACCCTCCATGGAAATTAGCACCCCCAAGAGGTAGTCTGTGGCAGTGCAGGCTGAAGGCTCCTCTGTGCCCAGGTGGAGTAGCAGTTTGTATTGTCCCTGAGGTGTTGGACAGAGTAGCCTAAAAAGACATAAGTGGGGGAAATGGCCACTGTGGACACGTCCCAAATACCCCGACCACTGAGTCCTTTCTCTTGCCAGCAATAACTCACTCTGGCAAATGTTCAGAGAAAGACTGGAACCATCAGAATGTGCCTGACACAAACCCAACTGGCTAATACTGCCAGTTGTATGTATAACTTTATTTGGTTTAGCACAACAGTCTTGGGAAGTCCTGAGTGGCTCAGCCAATAACAGCGCTCGTCCTGAGTGGCTCAGCCAATAACAGCGCTCGTCCTGAGTGGCTCAGCCAATAACAGCGCTCGTCCTGAGTGGCTCAGCCAATAACAGTGCTCGTCCTGAGTGGCTCAGCCAATAACAGCGCTCGTCCTGAGTGTGGCTCATGGCTAAAGTTTGACCTCTGGCATTACCAACGGCAACAGGAGCACAACTTACTTGAGTCCTCTGAAAGGTAAGCGGGGCCTGTCTTATTTAGCATCAAATACTGAAACTTCCATTGTGCTAAATGTTTCAAGTGTGCGTTGGTGTTATGAATAATCAACAGACAAACTAAAGGGTACGTTGAGGATTTTTTTTTTTTTTGCTGTACATCTGCTCCCGTGTTTGTATTGTATTGTGCATTTGGCTGAAATACTATTTAAACACGACAACAGTAGATTCCATATCCTTTTCCATGGAATGTGGAGTGAGCTGTTTCACCAGTGTGAGTTTGCTAGAGATATGCCCGGAGAATATTTACCAGTCAAAAAGGTCTGCATTCACGGGATCGGGGTCCGTTTGCACCCACTGCCCAATAGACCACCTTCTGACAGAATGGCCAGCCTCTGGCCCCTTCTCTTGCCTCTTCCCCCTCTTGCTGTGCATCTCCGGCTGCGTCTGAGCTACGTCCTCATAGCACAGAAAATAACTGCAGAAGAAGAAACAGTTGTACTTGTGGCTTAATAGTGAACTCTTGCCCCTCTGCGACCCGCTCGATTTCTGCCCTGCACTTTACTCACAATTCAGTGTCCTCACTGTCTCCTTTCCCTATCCCAGTATTTTTTCCCTGCTGGCCCTCTGTCTCTTCAGGCCATTCTCTTGGCCTCTCCACATTCCAGCGCATGCGTTTGTAGAGGTTGCCCCCCGCCCCGGGCCTAACCCGGAAAAGAGCAGGGCGGCAGTAACGGAATATGGACACACTGACTGTGTTCAGTTGACACTGGCCGATGTAGAAATGGGATACGCTGAAAGGGCAAGGCGAAGCAGAAAAGAATCATATCACCATTACGTCCAGAAAACTGTTGACTACTGTTACGAAGAGCAAAAGTGCCGTGCATACCAACAAATGTTGACACGTTGCAAATTGACCCGTTGTGACAACAACACGGTATACCTGGATGGCTCAGTCTCCTCCACAGACAGCAAATTCAAAGAGGCATACATCAAGACAAGCTGCTCAAGTTGAGTGCACAGCTGCTGAGAGAACTGCAACAGCTGCACTAATAAAAAAGGGATTAAAAAAAATGCAATGCAAAACAAACAGGCAGAAAATATGAAGTGATCTCCATCCCTTGTTTTTCTTTAAGACCCTTTCCTTTGGGTCTAATTTGTTCTGTTTATTACCAAATTCTTTGACTCTGACCTGGGTGCGAATGTAGGGCGGAAGGGGTGGACGTTGGGGAAGGCAACTGCGGGCTGTGGCCTCCAGGTAGGCAAACCAGGGCTGGCATGTGCGTAAGAATATGCGAACAGCCTGGGTGAGACTCTCCTTCTGCAATCGGTCACATCTGTACATACATGGACAAGACAGAACAGTGAATCAGAGCACTGACTGTAGTATTATTCTATGTTGTGCAATTTTGAAGCACATGCAGTGTATTCCGAATGTGTCACACTACACTGACCCGTTTATCAGGTGTGCCTGTAATTTATCGGCCTTATTTAGAAGGTACTGAACTTGCTGCTCAATCCATCGAAGCTTCTCATCCATCACTGAGCTCTCAGGGTGAACGGGGACGGAGGACTGCTCGGTTTGCTCAGTGCAGTATCGCTGTGCACCGCCAGGGGGTGCCACCGCTTTTTCAAAAGCAGCAAACATCGAATTGATTGTTGGGGGTACAGTATTGTATGAAGATTAACCAATTTATCAAGCTTGCTGTTCGCCACGAAAGCAATACTGAGGGGGACATAGCAACAATAAACCATATTAAATTATATTTACAATTTGAATGAACATGTTCCCCTCTCTTACCGCTAAACTTACCGCTTATTACATCAAGAGGTGGGTGGCCCAGCTCTTCGGAAATGACTATGGATTGCTGGAACGGCAGCTTCTCTGTTGTCTCATCGGCCATAACGGCTAGACTTAGTAATCTATGTAATGGGCTTTGCGTGTGTTGAGACAATCTTACAAGAGGATCCAGTCTGGTACACCTAATATTAAAAAATGAAGGTCATCCATTGTTACGTCGTATACTCACATTATAGAAACGGCTTAACTGACCCAGCTTTAAAGCGATGACTCCGGTTTGAGAAATCTCCACAGCTTGTATGTTGGCGTTATCTCGTTTAAAATATGCTTTCATTTCATCTCACTTAATTGATTCGACGTTATAGTTAGATGGCAGACGATAAAGTAATATTAAAAAAATACTAACGGTACACTTCAGATTATCATACTAATGTGTTCTGACAATCCGTTTAGTCTAATATCAATATTAAAGATATGATGCAGAAACCAATACTGTACCAATATACGATGGATGGCTAATTACGAAGCCTCCACTTAGCCTAGCTTAATAAATACAATTCAGTTTCTCTAACGAGGGGGTTAAACGACTTAAGTAATTATTATTTGACGTGAAGGTGGTATATTTTGTCATTAATTAGTTGCTTGACACAGAGATAATACAAATGACTACAATTAAATGAGCTATGCTCACTGCTGATAAGGCCCTTCGTGCTCTTGTTGGTCCTGCGAAGAGCGGGTCACGTGATCCGCATGGCAAACAGGCCAACGTCACCGTTTTGCCGCCTCTTTGAATGTCAATTATCAACCTGGATATTTACATGAGCATCGGATCATACACAAGGCAGGTTGCAGCATATCGAGGCCATCACACTGCTTCTGTTTTTACAGTTTTGTGGAGAATTCAAGTTTGTTTGAGTATTTACAGAATGGCTTCCCTGGTGTCTGGCGAATCTGTGGGGGGAGCAGTAGAAAATACGTAGCCAACCCTGCTGCCACCCCACATCAAAGTAATAAAAACAGATTATGATCTTTTTTAAGATGTACTATACAATGTTTGAAATGACTATTGCAAAGTATAAAGCAGACATGCACCCGTAATCATATAATTTTACACATATGCTCCACACTTAAACATTAGTTTGCTAAACTTTTAGCTTGTTTGCGATAATCGTACACTTCTAGACATCTTGTCAGTTTCCGAGCAACATTGCATAAGTGACATAACATAACCTGTTACTTGAATAGTATATGGCATGCTTTTTATTGTTATGCTAATCCCTACGCTTAGGCATCTTTTCAAAGCATCTTTGACAGATTTTCAATGAAAGTATCCGAGTAATGAACATTGTGTTTATTCATAGGGGTAACAAAACCATTTGGAATTGATCAATGGTCTGAGAGGTGGCTTCTTGACCAGAAACGTTTCCTCAATTATTGGCAGTGCTGTTTCTGCCGATGGGGGGTGCTCTGTGGACACAAAGCTTATTATTTTTAATTTCTGAAATTACTGTAATTATTTTAAGGACGTCGGTCACAGAATTTTATGTGTTATTTTAGAAAATTATGCATTTCCAGCGCTTTGTTAAATACCTTTTTTTCTTATCGTACTCCGTTGTCTATCCGAGTAGTGTATAAATGATCTGCGAGATAACTGTGTCTTGTAGTTAAATATCCTCTTATTTAGCTTATATATTTGTATTTATATTTATAAATTGTATTTAACTTACGTGCGCGGCTTCTTACGAGTTAATTTTAAAGAAAATCACATAACACGTCATATGAGATGCCGTTTTAACCAGTTACTATTTTAAACAATAGATGGAACATCCAACTCTTTTTACATAGAAAGAGAACTTCTTACAATTGATCTGCCACGTGTTTATTTATTACAGTTATCTTGTTTACAAATGATTTCGGCATATGGACTTTAAAGATGTGTAATTAAAACATTAAACCCATATTTATCTGATTTTATAATGACAGAAGTTGCTTAAACGCGATCGTTTACATGTCCAATAATAAATTATCAAGTGGTATCCAAACATTTGGATTTCAGTGCGTATATTATAAGACATGTCAAATAAATGACCTGTCAACAAATGCCTTTGTTGGCGGATTTCTTATCAACAGTTGCGCCTGAATCAACCGAGACTCAGCGAATCCATGGATTCACCACGAGAGAGGGAATTACACGCGGTCACGTGACGACACGGGCGCGCTCCCGGACTCTCGCTCTCCCCTCAGCCGCTCGAGCATCGGTCGCCGCTTTGGAGCGAGATCCTGACCTCGCGGACAAGCCGTTAGCAGCGCTGGCGGAAAGGAGGAGAGAAGCCGACGTGTGGTCTGGCCACTGAACCCAGCGATATTAAACAACGGGGCTGGCTTCCCGCCCCCGAAAAACCGCCGTCTGCTCTAGCAGTCCCGCTGGACAGAGCCCCCCGACCGCTTCGGATAATGGCACATTGCGACTGGAAAGAGGCTTTTTGTGGCGTGTGATACATGGGAGTAGATGCGATGCATTTATCCGGGATGCGTTACACTGAGAGGAGACGAAGGAGTTTGCCTTCTAGTGTTCTGGCTAGCTGAATTGTTTACGGGGTGGGTGTTAAACGCGCACCGCTTAATGTAGCTTTTGTGAGGGCTGCTATAAATTGGTTTTTGTTCGTAGCTTGTAAGCTAGCTGTAATATTCTACCCCTCTAGTTAGCGATAGCGGCTAGCCACGCATTTAACACAGTCTCCACAGAAAGCAGCACGGTCTCTGCCAGCTGACAGTCTAATACAAGTTTCGGCGTTTTAAAAGTCGGTTTTATTTTCATTTTTTAACTTGCCTTTTTAACTGGGTATTTCTGGACAGCGTGAAAGGGACAGTACAACAGAACCTCACCAGCTAGCTCTCAAGCTAGCCACAGCTGTCGGGATGATGGGTCGGGGCTGACCGGCGGCACGGTGCGATGCGGGCCACCTCAGCCCCACCGTTGACTTTGATAAGTTCCCAAGCGGCTTGAATAAACCACATTATCGCTAGCTCTGCCGTAACCGTCGGTACCCAGGAAATTTATTCACTTTGTACAGGACGGCGTAGACCGATGCTCAACACCTAGATACTGTCACTGCAAGCATTGTCGGTGTACATTATCTCAGGAGAGCCTTGTCTACAAAACAACATATGGCCAACGACTCGATGCAAGTAAGTCCTCCAAGTTTTATTTCAATTATTATAATTTAAAGACCACGTGATTATGCCACTGGTTACCGTCCGCCTCGCAGCACGATCGAAAATGTCATCATATAAATAAAAACAGCACGCCTTTGTGATCTCTTAGGGACCGACCCCGTGCGTTGTATTAGACGCGCCCGTGACTGGAGAGCTGGCGATAAAATGTCCACCTTTATAGATGTTAAGCAGTCAGCCTTCACAAAACAGTCACCTTGCTAGACTGTTTTGCTCCTCGCTTTTTTTTTGAGGGGCGGTATTGTAAAGCCGGCATATACTGGCGAAGTGTTTGTCTTTGGATCCGTTGAACCCGTCGATAAAGAGAAATATTTACGTTTACGTATTTCTTCTTCTGAAAATGCCCCATATGTTCCTCTTCCCTTCACAGATTTACAGTTTGTTTTCAGTTCATTGCAACGACAGTTCTGTATTTGATTAAGAATAGTTTGAAGTACTTATACTTTCAGTTCTACAGTTCAATTGTTGCATTGCAGCGGTAGGATAAACGTTATAATACACATAAAGTTATATTGCAACTAAGAAGTAACTAGTACTTTTAATGAAAGGCTTATAATGACACTGATCAGATCAGTTTCTGTATTATTTTTAAAATGTAAGCTATATAGCAGTGCGTATTTAATCTTTTGGCACTTTACTGTTAGATGTGTGTTGTTTCTGTTGGTCACAGAGATGCGCGTAGCGAACCTCAGAAGACTTTTTTCCTCGTTTTCAGCCAGATACGCAGTATGTTTGAGCACTTGCGGTACGCTTGCCATAGCTGGTGATGGTGATGGTTATAATACTGGGCATCACATGGGCTCAGATGAGATCTGCAGGTTATCACTTTTTGTGTGTTCATAACACTGTGCTGTGGAACTATATTGTAAGTCGTGAAGGCACGTAATTTGCATGTTGGGTGTTAGGATTGGGGCTTAATTAAATGGGATTAGGTTGCACCATTAGGCAGATTCACTCTAGCATCCTGGAAACTCCAATATGGGTGATGTTAAAAATTAAACAGTGCTCATCCACCCGATAGTCGCACATCTTTTTACTTGCACTATCCGGGGTGGCAGATCTTGTTTGCTAATATTGTTAATCCTGCAAAAACAAAACTGATTGTGAATTGTGAACAGATTGTGAAGAAAAGGTAGGGTTTCCAAAGCTGAGCTAAGGTATTTGTTTAGTAGATTGATATTGTCTTCAGAATATGACTTGCTGGTAAGTTGTGCATGGGTAATAAGTGAATAGTTTGACACTTTCACATGCTCTGTTGAACATGACAAAATTCACTCTCACAGAAGTTGTAGGCCTAGCAGAAAAGCTTCACTGGTCACACATTGAAACATGGGAACTGATCCTAACATGTTGACATTTTAAAATGCTTCTGTGCAGCATCTGTTTGCCCTTTTAAGCCCGGACAGTGTGTACAATGGCTGTGGGCGCAACAAGAAGCAGGCAGAGAGAGGCTAAGTCTCAGGGCGAGGTCAGTGACAGAAAAGGGAACCCTTGTGCTGCCAGACAGGTTATGGGAACAGAGGAGGCCATTATCTCTCTGGTTGGCTCCTCCATTCTTCAGCCTGCACTAGCTGCAAGTGGCTCCAAGAGACCCCTGGGAACCTCACCACAGGCTGCCCCCGAGTGTGCCTTGGTCAGGTTCCGCCAGTGGATCACAGAGGCTTCTTCTGAGCATGTCTTTGTTCTGCTTAGAGGGGAGAAGGGGGAAAACAGGAATCAGAACTGCGTCATACATCCTTGAGTGGGTCAAAGGAAAATCAAAAAGGGGCTGCTGGGGGTTATGACATGGGGGGGGGGGGGCTCATCATAATAGTGTCAGCATTAGTTCTGTCAGCATTTCAACTCACTAATCCCACTACTTCAGAAAACAGCAGCTGCTGTATGCCTGTGTACATGCCCAAGATGCACATGTGCAGTGCTGCATGGTATTATGGCATTTGGAACCTAACCCTCTTGAGAACTTCTACAACAAGTCTTGCACACACCACTGCATCATAAATACATGCACATACAGACACAAAATTGAGGAATGTCTAGAATGGTTTATACATTCTTACATACTACCAAAAAGATTGTGGGTCCATGTTATATTATACTTAATAATATTACATTCGTTTAATTATATTATGCTTAGATTGTCCCTGGAATTTATTTTATGGTATTCATCTATATTCAACTATGAAATATACTTTAAAATCTAAATTTACAGTAATGGATAGGCTTGAGACTATGTTGTAATCCCAGGAAGAACTCTGTTGTCTAGTTGAGTAATCTAACATGAATAGCAGTAACTGTCAACATTTTGAACTGATACAGTTTAATACTGTGAAACTTTAATATTGTCTCTTTGGGGAAAAAGTAGTGTTTGAGTATTGAGCATAAATTTTAGTTATTCTAACGAAAGGTAGCAAAATGAATCTGGGGATTTCTTTCCCTTATTTTCTCACTTTTAACCATTTTTAACCGTATAAACATTTTATCCGCCCATATATATTTACTCTGTCCAAATATCCCCGCCCCACACACACACAAATTGCTACAGATTTCTGGAACCAGAACCTATTTATAATTTCTGATAATGGTCTGATAATACTACCCCCCCCCCCCATGGAAAATCCTAGGTAAGCTCCAGCACTGGGTTTTACTGGCTTGGGTTTGCTCTGCACTTTACTGATCAAGATCAAAGAAGCATTATGCCGATGACATGGTAGGCAAATTAGCACAATGGTGTCTATTGTTTAGTCTAGTTCAAGTTGAGTTATTTCCTCCTGCAGTTGACCATACAGGACCCATAGGCAGCAGTGAATTTCTGTGGCAGCAGGTGTAGTGGGTGGGAGTCACTACTCACTTTCGTTTTCCTTTGGAAACGGGCTGTTGTGTTCTTGCCACAAAGCTCATTTCCTTCTCTCCTGATCTGCCCTCAGGGCTAAGTTCCATCCTTCTGTTTTTATCATTTGTTCTGCTGTCCACCCCCCCCCCACACACACCTTCAACCACCTTTTCCCCCCTCCTTGTCGTATTAGCAAACCCCTTGCTACTTTCCCATTTTTCTTGTGCATTACAGTATTGCTGCCTTATATCTTGGCCCATCCTTACATCAGAGAGACTTGGCACAGCAAAAAGCAAGTGGCAGAGAATCTGAAAGTAGAGTATCAGCTGCTCCCTGTCATTTCTCTAAAGTTCAACTTAGAATTTTCCCACAATAATAGCACATCCACTCTTCCCACAGCTTTTCTTGATCTGGAAATGTCATTCTTATGTGTATTTTCAGTGCAGGAGATCCTTGTTAATGGGGTGTGTTTTGTAATGTAGAAAGTTTGTGTTTTGACTTTGCTGAATGTGCAGACTTATTTTTGGATATGCGTTACAGTATGATTCACATAAAGTCTGTTGAAGATGAGCATTTTATTATGATTAAAACTCTCCAGCACTATTTAACCTGGCAAACAACCCATTAGTTAAATGTGTACAGCACTGAAATAAATAGCACAGGGATGGTAGTATAGTGTGTGGAGTAAAAGCATTTAGCTGAGCTTGCACAATTGTCTGGTAAACTGAGTGGTTTGAGCAGCAGCTTGTTCTCTGAAGATCCAGCTCAGGGGCCTTCTGGCTGCTGTGTTCTAGCCTACTGTCTAGGTAAACCTTAATGTGGATCCTATCAGCACACACTCAAACCAGCCTCACAGCATTTTTGGCTCAGCTCAAGCGTGCATAAGGTTTTCATATGAATATGTTCCTCAACCATGCGGTTGTATTAGTTTAGTGTACTATCCGGTTTTGTGGATAAGATTTCAAAAGAAATAATTGGTATTGCGCAAATATTTTAGTACTGGCTGAACCGGTCTGTTTTGCCGTCCCCTAAGACAGAGTAGAAGACTGAAAGAGAGATAGGGAATGGTAAGTTGTTAAGATGATCTGAATTTTGTTAACTTGGAGCATTTTTCCCATAACGGTGATCAGGGTTGGGGCCATTCCAGAATGCATTGATCAATTCCAGTCCAAATCAGGAAATGGACCTGGAGTTGGAACTTAAATCTCCCTGAAATTCAAATTCAACTGCAATTCTGTTCCCCGTAGTTTTTTTTTTCCCCAATCCCAGCTCCAGTTCCATTTCCTGATTTGGACTGGAATTGATCAATGCATTCCGGAATGGCCCCAACCCTGACGGTGATTAATATTAAGACTTTTTGTTTCAGAAGAGAGATCTGGTGGGATTCATTTATTTGGAGATGCTTAATAAAATTTGAATAATTGAACAACTTTAGGTAAAGTGAAGAATAAAATGATGGAACAGTCATAATAAATGAATGGCTGTATTGTAACAGAAAATCCCAAAAGCCTTCAAACTCCAAAGTGTTCTCAGCTGAAATCCACTTGTCACTCATCTCTCTTGGTGTTTTTCACATTTTTCCCGGGCCTGTGCTCAATGCCTTGATGGTTCATTTACCAAGAATAAGCTTTAAAGCCCTTATTTCCGGTTTTAGCTGTGGCCAAGTATGAGTATGCTGGCAGGGAAAGAAATACGGTTGCTTCTGAGTGTGGATTAGCTGTAGGCTTTCACTGTAGGAGCTTCCAGCCCAGCTAAGATATAAAGACTGGCATGGCTTCAAATGGCTCATGATAATGCCACATGCACGCTGTCTGTCATATAGTTGGATGATTTCTTTCGCTTGTCCTCAAAAAAATTGTCAGTCTTGGCATAGTAAATGTAGCGCCCAGTCTGCTGAGTGTCTCATCATCGCTGGTTTCAGTGAACCTATGTGCTAAAAGTTAAGCTCCTTGCTAGCATGTTGTGTCGTACCAGACTAGTGTGCTTTTTGAAATACTGTATATTCCAGCAGGGTTCTGGTTGTCTGGGTGGCAGTTTGGATTTTTATGAAGGCTGTAGGCTTGTGTGATTTAATGATGTCTGTAATTAACAGGAACAGGCAGGTAATGGTCAGTATCTGATAGTG